TGCTTCCAAAAGCAATAACCAGTGACTTTTTTCTCGAAAAATAAATAATCATTGCCTAAATTTAAAACTTAAATTGATAAATTCATTTCTAACCTGACAAACTTTTTGTTTCAATAAAATATTAATTGAATCATAAAATTGGAAAAAATAAAAATTTTGAAAGAATCGAATCAAATGTTTAAATTTTTTTTCAGATCTTCATAATTTTTAGAAGATCGTTATAATGGTATAAGTAAACTTAAATTGAAATTCTTTAGAAAAACATAAACAAATGGCTTCTCTTTTATCCTTTTCTATGAGAAGTATTCGACGTATTAAAAAAGTTAAATTAAAAAGTTTTAATAAAATATTTGCTGCTTATATGCTTCGTTATCAGCAGTGTTGTTGTATTCATACGAATTTTTATCAAATTTCAATATTAAACATTGTGCTTTTACGATATAAGTTTACTTAAGAATTGTTTTCTTTTGATACAATATTTGTTTCTATTTTTATAGAAGATTGGTTTTGATTTTAATTACCTAGTTATTGAAACTGGAGTGTGAATTATTCATTGGAAGTTATGAAACTGAATTAAAATAAAAAAAATTTTGTTGTCAACCGGGTAAACATTCACTAAACACTTTTATAAATAAGAAAAAACATTCATCACTCACGATTTATAATTATTGTTTTTTTTTACCTACCTAAATTGTTGATTAGTGTGCTTTGAATCACGTAAAACTCTACGTTAATTAACAATTGGAATATTAAAACCACAAATAATTAAATGATTTAAATTTGCAAGATATTTTTCTTGTGTTTATAGGTTTAAACGTTCGCAACGTCACTAAAGGTTAACACCAAAGTTGAAATTTCTCTTGTATTGACTTAGTTTAAAAAGTAAATAAACTAACAAACACCAAGAAACCTTTTTTTGAATTTCATTTACGATTTCCAGATATCGATAACTGCTGATAAATAAAAAACAATCTGAAAGAAATTTTAATTAACAAAAAAAAAATTTTTTTCTTTTACAATTTATTCAGATAATTTTTTTATGTTTAATTATAGCAAATAGTTTATGACAGCATTTAATTTAATTATGCTGGTAAGAATATCAATTGAAAAGTTCACAAATGAAAAAAAAATAAGGAAAAGAAAATTTAATGAAAGTTTCTTCAATCTCTGGGATTCATAAAGTTGAGATTAAGGATTAGGCTGATCCCTTCGACATGTAATCATCCAATTGCTTATCAAGAGCCTCTTTGGATATTTGTGGCTTTCCTCCATTACCTAAAAAAGGAAGAAAAAGAGAAAACAAATATCAAATCGATTGCAATAGAAAAGCGAAATTGAAATTTAATCTTTAAATCCATTTTCCAGCAGCAGTTTTCAACCATCACGAAGAAGGATCGCAACAAAGGAAATCTCGAGCAAATTGTTTCTATACCTAATTTAACCGGATTATTTAATGCTAAAGATGATTGGACGAATCTTAAAGATGAAAGATGTTCGAGAAGACGAGAAAAAAGTTTTTTTTTTCCTATGGAAATCCTTTTCAAGGTAGTAAAGATCAAGAGGAGTAATTTTTATGTTTCTTTCAAAAGAAAGTTTACGCATAAGCTGGCTCATGACTTTGAGCCTTAGTCCTCTCATTGATTGTGTTCTCTTTTGTTCTTCTACGCCCAAATTTACGCAACTTTTTAAATATTTAAAGAGTTTTTTCGTCTTTCTTGCCATTAATTAATCTTCATGAGACTTCAACCACTTTATGTCCTTGTTTAAGGTTCTGAATTATACCTCGACTATTGTTATTATTGTTGCTGACACCACGACGTGTTCGTGATCTACCACGACGTCCAGCTTGTCCTTGTCCATTACGTTGATTTGCTTGTTTTCGATTTACGGCTCGTCCTCGAGTTTGTGCTTGTGCACTTCTATTTATTTGGTAGAAATCGAAGAGAAAATTTGTTATTAGAAATCATTGCGTAACGAATATGTTTATGATGATGGAATTTAATTCCAAAATATTATCATAAGTCATAGTGTCGAATGCATCTCCAAAAGCATTCGTTTCTGACATTCTTTCCGCTTTTTTTTAAAGAGAATTTCTTAGAAACACAATCATGAGGCATTAAGTGATTAAAATCCACCTTTTAATGATCTTTCCACGTTGTCTATTTCCATCAGCCATATTAGGATTCTGACGAATATTTCTTGCAATTCGTCCACCGCCAACTCCGGCGCCATTGCCAGTTTGTCTGTTTTGGTTTCTTTTGACAATGCGTCCGCGAAGTGGTCTGTTCAATTGATTGCTTCGATTTTTTGGCAAGTTCAAAGCGAAGCGGCGAAGTTGATTGAGAAGAGCGAAGCCATCATTTAAATCGCTTTTCAATAGATTTGAGCGTCTCACAGATCCTTGATTGTTGACGTTGCGGTTGTTAACGTTGCGATTGTTGACGTTGCGATTGTTGACGTTGTTATTGTTGACGTTGTTATTATTGAAATTGTTTCGGTTCAAACGAACGCGGCTTCGGCTTCTTTGTTGTTGTCCTCCTCCGTTAGAAGGTCCACGACGCATACGTTTAAGTGGTTGACGTACTCCAAGTCTATCAATGACACTTCCTTGTTGCTGTTGTTGGTTTCGGTTACGAGATTGTGAACGTTGCTGGTTTCGATTACGGGACTGTGAACGTGATCGACTGCGACCACGGAAATTACGGCGAGGACCATCATTCAATCTGCAAAATATGAATTTTAAATTTTTCATAAAATAAAAAAGAAATTCATTTTCATACGGAACGAAAGTTGTTAAGTTGCTGCCGCGCTTCAAACTGTCTTCTACCATTTTTCTCTTAATAGTTGCAATGAGACTGTTGGCTGGTCTGCGTCTATTTTGACTCTGGACACGACCACGAGATCTCATAATGCTTTTCTGTAAAAGATTTTTAATTAATTATCGAGAAATGGATGATAAATAAAAATTATTTTACATTCTTCAACTTCATAGCCATTCGCATTTTATGTTGCTTCTCTAATTGATCCAAAAGTTGACGATTTTTTCTTGGTCCTCCTTGGCTTAACTGTCTCGATGGTCTTCTGGTTTGGCTTCGTGATCTGGAACGTCCTCTTTGTTGCTTTGGAAGAACTCCATTTCCTTGCTTTATCATTGAGAATCGATCGTTCAAAGTTAATCTTGTTGATGTGTTCATGTTTTATCGTGTTTTGTTTGGACAGTTGTTTTCTTCTTCTTATCCTTGAATATGGCTGAATACTTCAAATACAATACTAAGTAATAAAAATACATATTAAAACCATGAAATATTAGAAAATTGACGTATTCACTTTCAATTTTATGGGAAATGCTTTAAAATTAAAAGAAAGTTATCTTAACGTGGGAGAAAAAGAGTGAAATTCTAAAAATAACTCCAAATTTCGCCATATTATAAGATTTTTTGAAATTAACAAAAAAATCTTACCTTCTCAGTTTTTCCTTGTAATTTTAATGAAAATACAAATTATTAACTGATAGATTACGTGTTAATCGCTTCCTTAATCAATTTCGACTGATTTTATGATAATTTTTCTGATTTTAATTTTTCCTGACACTTCTGATTGAAATAAAATGCTATGGAAATGAAACCTTACAAATCCCAAAACCTTTCAAATGTTCGAAAAGTTTAACATCCCGGACAAAAACATTGTCCGTGTTTAACATCATTGAAACATTGTACACTGCAAATAAAATATTTTCTAATGTAAAACATTTTTGTTGTTGATCCACATAAGAAGTTTTTTTTATTCCTGGGAAAAATGAGAAATCTTGTTCCAGATGCAATCATATTGTAAGTTTCGTTTTGTATTACTTGGTTTATATCAAAGGATCGTATTTCAGATGCATCATCATTGGAACATTCATCATTGTTTACTTTATCACCAACATATTGGTGGAATTTCTTGCCGCAGATAATCCAAGGAACCTAACATTATCGCAACTTGCAGAAGGCGTTTCAAAGGAATACACTTGGGCACTCAGACTCATCATCAACTGCATTGGATATTCAGCGTTATTCATCCCTGGAATTCTTATTTACAAATATTCAAAGCACACTCACTACCTTGAACGATCTGGTAATAAAAAATTCAATTTTTTCAACTTTATATTAATGTTACTAAAAATTTCATTGTTTTCAGAACAAAACTACTTGTATGGCATCATAAAAAGTTGCTTTGCTGATAACGAAAAACTTGACACAAGTAATCACTCGACACAATCAAAAACTTCTAATCGCACGGTCACAGAATGTATTTTACTAGTTTACTGTTTTATGGGTTTAATGGTATCTTACTTAACATGGGGAGTTCTACAAGAAAAGATAATGACAAAGGAATATGTAGCTTTGGATGGAAAAAAGAAATCATTTTTTAAAGATTCACAATTTCTTGTGTTCTCGAATCGATTTCTCGCCTTCTTCATTGCTTTGGGTTATCTGATACTTAAAAGACAAGCACGTCATCGTGCGCCACTCTATAAATATTCATACGCATCATTCTCGAACATAATGAGTGCATGGCTGCAATACGAAGCTTTAAAGTTCATAAGTTTTCCAACACAAGTGCTTGCGAAATCTTGCAAAATTATTCCAGTCATGATCATGGGGAAAATCATATCACGAAATAAATACGAGTTCTATGAATATGTCGTCGCTATTGCAATATCCATAGGAATGATTTTCTTTCTAAGTGGAAGTTACGATCACAGCAAACATACACCGATTACGACACTTACTGGCCTCTTCCTGCTTTGTTTGTATTTGGTTTTCGATAGCTTTACATCGAACTGGCAAAGTGACTTATTCAAATCTTATGGAATAACAAGCATTCAAATGATGTGTGGTGTTAATCTCTTTAGCGCTCTCTTCACTGCTTCATCATTATTTGTTCAAGGTGGATTTAGAGAAGGTAATTAAGATAATTAATTCAACTTTTTTTTTTTTTAATAACTTTTTTTTTGCAGGTTTTGAATTTTCTGCAAATCATCCATCGTTTCTCCTCGATTGCGTTCTTTTATCAATAAGTTCAACAGTGGGTCAACTTTTTATTTTCTTTACCATTTCCAAATTTGGAGCTGTTATTTTTACTATCATCATGACATTAAGACAAGCTTTGGCGATTCTCCTATCTTGCATCATTTATCAACATGAAATTTCTCCGTTAGGTATCTTTGGTATTGTAATAGTATTTCTAGCTATATTCATTCGAGTTTATTCATCTCATCGACTGAGAACATTAAGAAGAAAACATGAGCTACTGAAACAACGTTTAAATGTCTAAAAGATCTTCTGTTGGTTTATAAAGGTTTCCTTTTATTAATTTTATTATTTTAACGATCACAATAAAATTTCCCCAACTCGCTTTTATTACAATTAAACTCTTTTAAGCATTCTGTAAAAGAAACAAATTAAGAATAATTACTTAAAAAAACAGTTGAGGAAATTTTATTCAATCAAAATTTTATCACTTCAATTCAAACTAAATTTATGAAACAAAACACAAAAACAAAAACAGTGCAAATTGTTAATTAAAGTAGATCACTCGAATAGTTTTTTTATGTGAGAATTGATAAAGTTCATGTTTTAAATTTAAAAAGATCAGCTCGAGCTTCACAAAACTCAGAATCATTCTGAGATTTTTTGAAAGGAGAGAGAATTGTAAGAAAATGTTTACCAAATCGAAATATTATCTAATAGTATTGCATATTTAAAGCTTATATATCAATCGAGTATTTTTCTTTGGTATTTAATTATTTGTTGACTAGTAAATTGTTGGGATGGTCCAAAATTGTTGATAAATGTTTGGTAGATTTTGATGCTTCTTTGACTTTTAATCATATGTCGGCTGTTTGCAAAGACTGAATAAGAATAAAATAGCAAATGCTAGTTCAGTTATTTGGAGCAATAGCATCAAGGCACATAGGATATACTCGAGTGATAGAACATGGGTTTGGAGGAAAAGAAGATATAGTACGCCCATCGAGACGGGTATTGTCAAAATTGCGCTCAACCATACATGATACCCTGAAACGAAAAATGTCATAATCATCCTGAGATACTTAATTTGATATGTTTATTTCGAAAAGCTTCTTACCGTGATCAGATAAGCTGCCTTTACGTCCCAGATGTATACGAATTGACTCTAAAAGGCATAATGCCAATAGCACAATAGCTTCTTGGATTAAATCGTCGTTTTTATAAACCAAATGAACAAATTTTAATGTTTGCATGCCTGTGAAACGTAAACGAAAATTCATTTATTTTTATTTCATTCTTCCTAAATATGAGTTTAAATTTACCTATTTCACAGGTTGCAAACATTCCGAAATAAAAACTATTTAAGTACATTAAAATCTCGTAAGTGAGAGAAGAATTCACCATTTTTGCGAAATTCTTTGATAAAGATTATTAATAAGTCTTTAATTACTCCATGATGTATTTATATATCTGTCTGAAATAGAAATAAGCATAAGAAGTTTTGTTGTAGTTACGTTTGTTACTATGGAAATTATTTCGTATGTGATTTGACAAGGTATGAACTGAAGGGAACAAAAGAAGATGTGCTGACGAATCTAAATATAGATCGTCGTAAAAGATCCAGGAAAATTTTTCAGTCTCATTGCACTGTTGTGTAGATTGATTGCTTAAATCATAGGATGACTTTTTCATATTCATTTTCTTATTTTTCTCATATAAAAATTTAATTTTTTTGATTCAAAACAGACTTTCAACTATAAAATTATCCGCACATTATTTACCTTTGAAATATTTTCATTGCAAACTAAAGACCACAAGCAAATTATTCCAGAAAACTAATCAGCTAATGAAAAACTAAATATTTCCTTGAATTTACAACATTTGTCACGTTTTCATTCAAAATTCTTAATTGAAGAAAGCCATAACTTTTTTTGCGAAAACTTTAGAAAAATGCGAGAATTTTTAAGAACCTTACTTATTAAGAAAAACCTTACAATCTATCAAGGGGTATGAAAGGCTATTTGCATTCGAAACTGAAACAAAATCGAGGTAAGTAGTTTGACACTCTTGTTTTGAATTTTTTTAAAAAAGTAAACAAACAAACTACAATTCCTCAAGAAGAATGACGGATAGTGAAGATATCCAATATAGTGAAAAGTACTGTGATGAAAAATATGAATACCGGTGAGAATTTACTTAAATTTAAAAAAATTCAAATTAAAAATTTATTCCTTTATATTTGTTGCTTTTGACATTGACAACGTGCTTTCATTGATTTCAGACATGTAATACTCCCTCCTCCTCTTGCAAAACTAGTACCGAAAAATCATTTGATGACAGAAACAGAATGGCGAAATTTAGGAATACAACAATCACCAGGTGAATATTCTAAAACTACTTTAAAAGACAACGCAGGTCAATTTATTCAAATTATTTCAAAGGATGGGTTCACTACATCATTCACAATCCTGAAAACCATGTAATATGTTTTAGAAGACCTCTAGGATATGATCCTGATAATTGCTGAAATTGAAAAGCATTGCAAGTTTTCAATAATATTTTGAATAAAATTATGAACTTTGATCTCATTTATAAATAGTGTTTTATTAAACTGGATGTTTTTGTATAAAAAAATATAATAAAAACATTAACACATTAAAAACATTAACAATAGTCCTTCCTTTGTCAGTATTTTGATTCGATGCAATGACGATTTCAGATCACAACCACCTGTTGAATAGAGGAAAGTCTATTAAATCATTTGTTATGAAAATAAACAATAAGAACAAAAAAGCGACTTAATCAGATTTTAAATGATCAACATTATTATTTCTGTCGGGAAAAGAAGACAAATGTTTTAAAAAGTATCATCACTTAAGTCGCTTATAATTAAATTATATTCGGTAAAGTACTCACATTAATTATTTCATTTCAAAGGAAATTCTTCACATCATGGATGTTTCTGTAAAGAAATGCAGATATTCGTTAATTAAAATTGTTTTTCACTTCAGAGATAGTTTAATTATATATTTTTGGTATCAGTACTTATTAAAAATAAGCAGCCGAAAAATTATTATCATTGTTTGATCAACCGGTAATTTTTTATCATCATTATTATTGAATATCACAAACAATTAAATTATATTCGGTAGAGTACTCACATTAACTATTTCAAAGGAAATTCTTCACATCTTGGATGTTTCTGTAAATGAAATGAAGATATTCGTTAATTGAAATTGTTTTCCATTCAGAGATAGTTTAATTATATATTTTTAGTATCAGTACTTATTAAAAATAAGCAGCCGAAAAATTATTATCATTATTTGATCAACCGGTAATTTTTATCATCATTTTTATCATTGAGTGTCAAACAATCTCATAATCATATTTACCTTTAACGATTTCCTTCTTCTCTAGATAAATGTGGTTCTGTTTTCTTTAAGAAACAATTTTGATTCCCTTTTCTATCACAGATTAAATATTAAAAGGCAGTTTTGTATAAATCATCTGTAAGACAAATTAAAGAAAAGAAAATTAGTAGTGTTAATTAAAAAAATTTTAGGCTTATTTATTATGTTAAATATCAGAATTGTCAAAGACATTGGATTTCAAATCAATTAAAATCATAAACACGGACCAATGTTATCATCATTTGAACACAACGAATTGAAATTAATTTCATTAACTAATTATGTACTTACATTTTTCGAAGATTTTCATATCCATGGCTGTTGTCATTTGATTCTAGAGAATTAATAAAATGAAAAAAAAATTAATTAATCTCATGGAAGTTTAACAATTCCATTTTATAATTTTTTAATCAAATATTTCAGTTTTAATTAAATTGGAGAATATAATCAAATAATTTCATCAACACGGACCAATGTTGTCATCAATGAAAAGAATATTGAAATGAAATTTGTCAGAATGAATTTTTACCTTTCAAGTTTTCATTTCCAATTCTCATGACTAAGCAATGCGTCTTTGTTCGCTCCTCTTGTTCACTAAAATAAATTAAAAAAAAATTAAAATTAATGTTTACGTCAAATTAATCAAAACTTAGTTATAAATTATTTAATCAGAAATATTAAATTTGAAATCAAACTAATTTCATAAACACGGGATTATCATCACTTTAACACTAAAATATTTAAAAAAACTTTTCTTTACTTACTTTTGAAACATTCTATCGATGGAAACAGCCTGCAAAAAGAATGAAATAAAATTAAAAATGAATCAACAAACTTTGAGTAATTAAAAAAAAGGAAAAAAATGTTTCTAAAGTTTTTCGGCATTTCTTCGAGTCAATTGAAACAACTCAGAAATTTCCTATAACCCAGAAATGATGTTCCTCTGGTTTAATTTTTAAGTTACTGGCACCCATAACGTGATTATTTTAGTTTCGCGTTTTGAGCGTGGCCAAGAGGTAAATTCTACATTTCGAGAATAAACAACCCTTAACAAGTCATGTTAAGTCATTCAGTGTTGAATCGATTTGAAAATGGTTTGGCTAAAAAGCAAACTTAAATGAAACTCACATTTCAATGTTCCATATTCAAAGTTGTTCCGTCTATCTGATTATTGATGATCAAGAATCTTTAAAAAAAAGAGAAAAATGTATAATTAAATATCTATGAAATAAATTTCATGCTAAAACAATCAAATTTAAAAAAATATAAAAAATGTATCACAGTTTTTCGGCATTTCTCATCTCGTGGGGTATTTTTATCGAGTAAGAAATTTCCTATATACTGAGACTAAACTGCTTTTAATCGCACACAATTTACCCCACTCCGTAGTGGCCGGCACCAAACTGGATTGGTTTTTATTACATCCAGTCTTAATGTGATCCTAGGGGTATTTGTTATGGTAAATGTGAGGGTCGAACCGGGAACTTTTCACAGCAAGTAACAAGTTAAAAGTCCCGGAACCATTCCTCGACGTTAGAACTAAAAGTTAATGTGGCAAACTTACCATTTCAATGATGTTGGTGCTTACAGCAGTAAACCAAGATGATCACAGCTTTTAACTATTCCGATGTCGTGTCTTTCGATTCCGATATCCTTGCATGTGAAACATCTAAAATATCAGAAAAAGATTAGAATTTTGTCACATTGACAGACATTTTTCTTATCTATAATTAAGAATTTCATGAGAATTTAAAACATTTTTTTTTGTATTTTACTGACAATGCAAAAGTGTTCAACGAGTATTGTCACTGTCAGTAATATCAGAGTTTATCAACATAATTTTTCAGACTTTTATGTACTTTCCATTAGGTTTTGAGTTGCTTATATAATAAAAACAGATCTTTATCTTCTTGATCATCATTTATTATCGTACAATCTTTGTTGATGACGATAAAAAGAATCAATTGAGAAAAGTGAATTAGAGTTTCATGAGATCGATAACGAATAAAGAAAAAATAATTAATAAATATAAAATTCAGAAGTGTAACTTTACTTGTCCAGTTGAAGATAGTTGTTGTGTGTTTACACAAAGTCATTTGTCAAGAGAATGGCAAGTAAAAGTTACAAACAGAGATTTTTTGAGTGTTCTCGATTTGACGAGAATATCCACAAAGATATCAGAATTTAGTATCTACATAAAATATGTTGAAAAGAGAAATATTTCATTACTAAGAATTTTCATGTAAAATACTTATGAGTTTCAAAGTTTTTCTTACCTTCCATCGACATAAGAAAGTATTCAGATAGTCTGATATTAAAATCAGTTTTCAGAATGGTTTTTCATTCAGATGTTAAGTTGTCACATAACTTGCGATGTTTTCGAAAATTTCTAAATATTAGAACTTGGAAAGAAATATCACATTCAATCTCATTCAATCTCATTCATAAACATTCAGATTCATTCCAAGCCAGACACTCAAAGATCATCCATCAAATCTTTAAAAACACTTCACTAGAGAATTAACTAATTAACATTTTCACGCAGAAAACGCTTCATATTAAAATTGAATTCAGAATCATTTCAAGAGATTAACTATCATAATAAAAATTAAAAAAGGTTCAACACTTTAAAAGCTTAAAAACAGTTTGATTTTGAGAATGAACGGCACAAATTTTAATTTCAAAATAAAACCATACACATACAATAGTTGCACGAATTTTCCTCTTATGTTTAAAATAGATTATAAAGTGTTATCATTAAAAGATATTTTTATCATCTTATTTCTTCCCTTCTTCTTTAGATTAAAATCAATTATTTAATGTTTTGGCTGAGTAATGTGCAAAAATAGTTTTCAATTATCAAATTCAGTTTCATCAAATTATTTGTCAACTGAATTGAATGCTTTGAATAATTATGAAAAGTTTTTCGTGGAGAAAATTTTAATAAGATGAATTTGTCATAATTTTACAAATAAATTTTTGCGTTTTCTTATTTGTTAGAATTATCCATTATCCGACTTTCCATAGCAAATACGAAAAAAAAATAATTAAACATTATCTACGACTTCTAACAAAAAATGAAAAACTGGATAATTTATGTAAATTTTGGATGACGACACGTAAACATTGAATAAGGGATATTGATTTGAACTGACGATTTAATATCGTCTACGTTTATTTTGGAAGTCATCACGGTGATTAGCACCACCACCCGAACGATCATTCCATGGATTGGAACGAATGTTTCCTCTTGGGGGTCCACCTTGACCCTGTCCATCATTGAATCGATTTCCTTGATCCTAAATTTCGAAAAACATTATTTTCGATTTTTTTGGAGAGGATAAGAATTGGTAAAAAAATAAAGTTTCAATTATGCGATAACATATCCGTGGATTTAAATGACACTAATCATCATTTCATTTTCAAATTTATTGCTTAGAGTTACAAAATAATCACCAGAGTTCATATCGCTTGTGTTTCGATTACATTTGTGAGCAATTAATGATGATAAGAAATTATGTTTATGTACAAAGTGTGTAAGAAGCTGTTTGATTGACAGCATAGAAGAATTTGTAGAATTGTCAGAATTTTTCATCGTTTTCAATACGAATGTAATGAGAAACGATTTTCAGTTACAAGAACCTTAAGTTAATAAGAAAATCCGTCATTTCCCATTTTAATGTCACAATCGTCAACAGAATTTCCATTTGACTTGTTAAGTCTCAGAATTAGAACGCAATGTAAATAGTCGAGTTAAGAACTTTAAACATCGATCAGAAAATGTTTTCCATGTTCATTTTCTTTGATGTTTAACATCATAGCATTAGAGTTGAGAAGAATGTTTCTTTGAATGAGAATTTGAGTAAATAATCTCAGATCAGCGATGATCAGTAATAACAAATGATGAGATTCACAGAATTTTCATTTTCATCAAAATGCCACAAACTTCATCGAAACGTTTAAACTCAAAGTGATTATAAATTGTTGAAAGAAATAATTAAATGAATATTATATAATGAAAGCAATTTTTTCATAGAATTTGAGAGAAATTCAAATTGTTTTCAATCGATTTTTGTGTCAGCTTTAAATGTAATGAAGAATTTGAAAAATGCATTTCTAAGAACAGTCACAAGAATCATAATGCATTGTTTCAAGATTAATTAACGTAAGAATCCACACATTAATAGCTATCAGGTGTGAAACTATTTTATATTGGACAAAGAAAAATATTTTCGACTTATATTTGTTCATCATTTTTGTTGTTTTAAAAATGTGAACATTTTTGAGAATCAAAACAAGGAAAAAAGATTTTCTTACCTGATTTCCTTGATGCTGTTGAAATTGATTTCCACCGCCATGATTTCCTTTATAAATAAAATTTATTATATTAAATAGAATGATTAATTTTCCTTTCATAATCCTTTATTGTTTTTCATTTTAGATCGCCAGCAAGTGAGTAGTTGATGAAAAATTTGTAATTAAACATTAATTTTCCACTAAAAAATTTTTTCTTTTCTCTTTAAACAAATTAAATTTACAAAACATATGAAAACAACAGTGTACAAAAGAAATTTTCTCAACTTTGAGAAAACTTAAAAAGAGCGAAGCTCTTAATTGTACACCAAAATATTGAAATAAAAATAATAATAATAATAATAATAATTAATAGAGAAGGTTTATGCTTACCTTGATTCATCATATCATAATTGCGTCTGTTGTCGTTGTTGTCATTAAAATTCTTGCGACCTCCACCGCCGCCGCCGCCGCCGCCGCCACCACCACCACCACCTCCACTTTGATTCCCATGGTGGCTCATTTCTTGTTGATCAAGCATATTATTGAGCTGTTGTGCTTGCATAAACAAAGAATTCTCTTGTTGTCTTCGTCTCATTTCTTCATCTTGCTTTTGCATACGTAGTTGCATTGTTTCTTGTTGTTGACGCATTTCTTGTTGATCACGCGAACGGAATTCTTCAGCTTGTCGTTCTTTGTTTTCCCATTCACGCTTCTGTCGTTCACGATCTTGTTCACGCATTCTTAACTCTGTTGAAGAATGAAATTAATTTCAAATTTAACAAACGATTGAATGAACTTACGTTCTCTCAAAGATTCAGTTTCGTGTTCAAATCTGGCATATTCCATTTGTGCTTCAAGTTTCTCTTCTTCAATTTGCATTTCTCTTTTCAATGCATCATGTTTTTGTTTATAGAGATCATACATTTGCTTCCATTTTGTTCCAAATTCGTGCTCAAACGTCCCAATTTCGGCAAATCGAGGACCATTCTGTCGTGCTTTAAAGAACTCGTTGTTCTTTTTCATAAGAGATCTCTCCGGGAAGCCATCATTGTCGTCGATGTGATCAAAAGATTCGACAACACATGGCCGTAAACTTGAAGTGAGGAAGAAACACTTTTCTTGACAATATTTCATTGCAGTCATTGCTCCTGATTTACGAGAAAACTCGACGATTCCTTCACCAGTTGTCTTACCACGATCATCAACAATGATCACAGCACGTTCGATGGGACCAAAAATCTCAAAAGCTTTGAAGAGCAGTTCGTTGGTAACAAATGGAGTCAAATTTTTAACACGAACTGTTGTTGCATTTGGAGCAAAACGGATCCTTAAAGGTTTGTTCTTTCTCATGCTTCCGTCAAGCTCTTTTTTAGCTTTTTCGGCGTTGATATGATAATCGAGTTTGAGAAAAGCAAAACTCTTTTCAGCATTAATGAAAGCTTCAGATATTTCACCGTAAGGTTTGAACATTTCTTTCAATTCTTGTTCTGTAACATCATTTGTTAAATTTCCAATGTAAAGTCGATTTCTTCCAGAAAATTTAACCTCTTCATATTGCAATTCTGGCAAATCATGCATAGGACCCATTAGATTCTTTAATTTATGATTAACCATGAAGTCCTGCAAAAGAATTTTTACAAAATTTATTTGAATTGTGTTCTAGGCACGTGTTGCAAGTTATTTTCGGATTGAAAGAATTTACCTCATTTTTTCTTGAATTCATGCCCTGTTGACATATTTTTGATGATTACGAGAGTACCGAGAATTAGACGAGGAAAAATGTTTAATATTATTATTTTGATAACAATGAAACATTCGCAGCAGTTCTTTAAGGCAATGAAAGATTTGAAGTATAAAAAAACATGCTTTACGACCATTGAATATTGGATCAAATTAGAAATTTTTCAATTGTATTTAATTTAAATAGACAGCTTCTACCGCGGAATGTAATTATTTGTGAGAAAATATTCATACATGACATCATTAAAAGTTCACCATATAAAATGGCTGCCGATAGCACGCTATTAGATGTTACGTGTTAAATTCATCTTTCTTACATCATTTTTCATTCCTCCACGCATATTTCTCTGTTGGTTATTGCCCATTTTATTCTGAAAGCCTTTTTTCTTTTGCATATTGGGTGGAGGGCCTCCTCCTTGTTGGAATTTTCCTTTTGGTCCCTGTGGCGTTTGAACTTCTTGCTTTGGAACCACTGGGACATTTGAAGTTTCTGCAACCAACTCCATTTTCTTTTTAATTATATCGACTTCACTTAAAACTACTTAAAACAAGAAAGTATGATAGAAGAGTATTAAACAAAAGTTATTTTAAATTTTCTACGCGTGCTTTAGATATTTTGGAAAATGAAACTTTTTTGCTTCCCACTCACGAAGGGAATGGAAAGTTTAAAATAAGGAAAGAAGCAAAACAAGTTACAAATCAGAAAGAAGCGAATAATCAAAAGTTAAAAATACTTTAATAATATATTTTGCTTTTTAAGTAAATAAAATGGTCAAGATATACGCTATTAGTGTTTTCTACAAATCTACAAACGACGCAAAACTTTTGAAATCTCATTACGATCTGCAAAGCTTTAGTTTTTTCCAGAGAGGTAACAAGAAAAATTCTTTAATTTGCTTAGAAATCTGTGTGTGAGAACAATGCATTAAATATGTTTTTAAATATGAGTCATGTTTTAAACAGTCATAATCGAATTAAGAATCTTTATCGTTTTAACTTTCAGGTAGTGTTCAAGAGTTTTGTCAATTTGCTTCAAAAACTATTGTTGAAAGAACATCAACAAGTACAAGACAATCTGTAAAGCAAGATGTCTACATGTGTCATGTTTATGTTCGATCGGACAATTTAGCAGCTGTTCTTATCGCAGATCATGAATATCCTGGTAGGACACATAAATATCGATTATGATAACCAAGTTTGTTTAAACGATAAATTTTTATTTTCAGGACGAGTCGCTCATACTCTGATAACTAAAATTCTTGACGAATTCTCATCAAAAGTGTCCAGCGATCAATGGCCTAATGGAACTGAACAAAGTATAAGCTACACTCAACTTCCCGCTTATGTTGCCAAATATCAGGACCCACGTGAGGCTGACCCACTGACAAAAATGCAGGAAGATCTTGACGAAACAAAGATAATCTTGAGAAATACTATTGAACAAGTTTTAGTGCGAGGGGAAAAATTAGATGACCTTGTTAGTCAATCAGAAGAGCTCTCAGCACAGAGTAAAGCATTTTACAAGACCGCTAAAAAGACGAATTCATGCTGCAACTTTAGTTAAATTACTCACGAAAGAAATTCCATCAAATTTTATTCCACTTCCATGATTTAATGTTTCTATGCTGCTCAAGATTTTTCTGACATCTCTCTGTTCCCTTGATGTTATTTGTTCTTTTAGAATATATTAATGTTCACTGTTTTTAACTTCATTTTCATAAAAAATGTATTATTGATGTAAACAAGAAATATAAATATAACATTAACATACCAGCTTCATATTCATAATTTATAAAATAAAAAAGGAATTTATTGATATTCTTAAATAGCATAATGACATAGTTTTACATAAATGTGTGCGAAGAATGACATTCTCAGCCCCAAGCTTGAGAGATTGAATAATGTAACGTCAATTTATTCTGGTTTCCATAACATTCATACAGATTCTTCAAAACCTGGTCAGGTGAGGGTGCGAATGTCTGGTTGACGTAAAGGAACTATGGAAATAAGCAGAAAAAAATTAATTCAAACAATTAAAAACATCGGAAAATTTTCTTACAAGTTTTTCTTCAGGATCCAATTTGAGATATTTGTGAATAAACTTGCAAACCCAATTAACATCTTTCATATAATCAACCGTCCACTTTCTCTGCTTCATAATGGGTGCATTTCCAGCAGCATTCAACAGAAGATCAACTGAAAATTTCATTATTGTAAAATTATCGATTACAAATGTTTTAAATAATTTTTCATACTTTTTGTTACATCCGAAGGCTTTTGTGGCTGCTCCGTTTTTAATGACAGACTCTCCATACCTACAGATGAGTCCGGAGCATTATCTTGCGACATGACTTTTCTGACCTGAAGATATTTTGGTTTTAAAAACTTGTATGAAATTTTTGTTGATTTTCAGGAGTTTTTAAGACTCTTCACCTAAAACTGCACCCACAGAAAGTTAGTTTCAGACGTGGGGAGTGTGAAATCTCTTGGAATCACCAAATTTGGCACTTTGTATGAAAAGTTCCAGGTTTCCAGTCCGCGGAAAAACTGCTTGCCTCACGATTTCTTTGCATCTTTTAGATTTCTTCCTCTATGATTTTATACACTCTCCACCTAAAACTGCACCCCCAAAAAGCTAGTTTCAGGTGGAGAGTATAATCACCCACGGAGAATTATCATCCACGGAGAAACTTTTTCTGTGTGTTTTGTATGGAAGGTCAAATCCGCGCGAACGCACCAAATTCAACATTGAATTTAGTAAACATAAACAGCGAGGAATCAGGAAATTATAAATTTAAATATCTTTTCTATTTATTTATTTAAATACTAATAGTGTAATGACAGTAAATTAGTAGTGAAGATGGCTGTTAGACAAGTGTTATTTATACAAGGCTTACAGAATTTGACGTAATTATTTGTTTTACCTTCTACTTAGATCAATTTTTAATAAAAATTCTTTTGTAATTACAGAAAATACAGAAATTTAAATTTTATCAGACAGGATAAGTTTGGTATAAATAATGTCAGATACATGAGAAATAGAAGTAATCGAGACATTAAACAGAATCTTCGGCAATACAATAATTCAACTACACCTTTCGAAGGATATATTCCACCTCCCAACCATATAGGAAAAGATGTGCTCCCAAAAGCCTTAGCATTCACTGTCGCTGTAAGTAATTTTAATTCTAGATTTTAGAATAAATCACTTAAAAAATCTTCTCAAGTTCACAGCAGGAAGCTTCATGAGTGTCACTATTTGGGAGTATGAGAAAATTAGAGCCAAAGCAATAAATGTGTTAAAGAAATCAAATCCCATAAATTGGCTCAAGAAAAAGCCCCAAGCTGAGCTAATTTTATCTGATTTAGAAGTTGAACTAGCTAGGATAAAGAAAGAAATTGAAATATTATGGAATAGACTGACACCAGGGCAACGAGTGTTCACACCGATTCTAGCTTTGAATCTAATCGTGTATGCTTTATGGCGAGTTCCAGCAATGAAACCTTTTCTTTTGAGATATTTCTGTAGTAATCCAGCAGCAAAAGCCATCTGTTGGCCGATGTTTCTATCGACGTTTAGTCATTATTCGCTATTTCATCTGTTTGCCAATATGTACGTTTTACACAGCTTCAGTGCTGCCGCAAATGCGTTAGGCAAAGAGCAATTCCTTGGTCTTTACTTGTCTGCTGGTGTAGTTTCTTCTCTTGCATCGTATATGTTCAAGATTGTCACAGCTAATCCAGGATATTCATTAGGAGCTGTAAGTATTTGAATATTTGTTAATTATACTTAAGTAAACTAATTTTATTTCTTCTCAGTCGGGAGCTATCATGGCAATTCTCGCTTATGTTTGTGCTCATTTCCCAGAAACAAAATTATCCATCTTATTCATCCCACAATTTCAATTCTCTGCCGAATCTGCAATACAAGCAATAATATGTTTTGATCTTGCCGGCATCATCTTTCGTTGGAAGTTGTTTGATCATGCTGCGCATCTTGGTGGAGCTGCTGTTGGCTTATTCTGGAGCTACTATGGTCAAACTCATTTATGGCCATTAAGAGAACATTTTATCGGATACTGGCATCAATTTAGAGGTAAACCTTAAAAGATGTTCTAATGTCAGTGACTTTAAAACGTAGAATAAAAGCTGAAAATTCTAATTACATTTAGAAAAAGTAATAAATAAACATTCCTTTATTCAATGATCTGTTTCACCACGAAAGTCATTTATACGAGTTTATAAAAAGCTAGATTCTCAATCGTAAGTTAAAAACATGCTTGCAAAGATTCCAACTATGTCCATTGATATTAACAACAAGAAATTTCCATAATTTTCTTCGATGAGCCATTTAATTAATTCAATTAAATTGGATCGCATCAAACCGTCGTTTTAATTGATTTTCTTCTAATGAAATGCCTTCAATCAGCCTTTCGGAAAAATTAAAATATCCAACCCTCAGTCAAGTACTTGAATAAGGCGATGAGGAAAATTTTCCTTTAGGGGAAAATTTTGTGTGAGTTCGAGCAAAAATGAAGTTTTTGGTGCTGACGGGTGGGGATTTATGATGAGATGAAATTAAATTAAAGACGTCTATTGGAAGGCGGATGGGCAATGGATTTTCATAGGCAAAAGAATGATTAATTTGAATTTTTCTCATGATTACTAAGGCGAAAAAGTATAAACAAACATTAAAGTTTTTTCTTTTTTTCCTTTTCATCAATCCGATGACATGACGCTGTTCGTAAGTTAAAGAAAAACCAAAGCTGCACGTTAAATATTTTTATAGCCTGTTTTGAAAGAAAAAAAAAAGGAAAAAAGTTACAAAATTGACGAATAAAATGATGATGGAAAAGCAAAGAAAGCCGATACTTACCGAAAAAGGAAATTAATCAACGCAAGAAGTGTCTATAAACATCGATGAAAGCTTGAGATGAAAGAAGAGAGAAAGAAAAAATAACAACCCGCAATTATTAATTAAAAACTCTTTCAACCGTTACTAATTCATTGCCTTTTCATGCCATCAATTCTAACAAAACGGCTTGCTCCGAAGCGACACTCAGTATTGCCTTTATCGTTGACATCATTATTGGAATTATTTATTTACAAAAAAAATATGACCTTTTAATTGAGCTCTTGTCAGTGAACGTGACTCGATGCGAGAAGCAAAATCTTTTGCCATCGATAATTACGTGAATTTTCACTTAATATATTCTAGGAAGAGAAGAGAACTTGTCATGTTGTTGTCAACAAAATTGTCATAAACGAGTAATTAATAATCATTATATTAAACTGTCGCTTTGAGCTTCATCGTCTTTGAGTGCGGGGTCAGGGGAAGAATGTAGCGAAGTGCGAATAAATTTCATGATTAAAAAAACGGTCGGAGAAGCGCGTCTCCGAGGTGAATGGGGATGGAGAATCATTTTTCTTATAAAGAAGCTTGAATTGTGGACACAAGAAGCAAATTGTGTGACAGATGAATGCCATTTTTTATTTTGTCGCTAGCAGAGAGTGAGTGAGATACATAAAGAGGGAGAGTGAATTTTATCTGAGATATTATGTTGTCAGAATATTATTTTCATGCTACAATGACTCTTAAGTTTACATTTTATAAGCAAAAACTGTGGACAACCACGAGCAAGCTAAAACGTACACTAGCATGCTTAAAATGAGGTGAAAGTTGAACGTTTGTGAAAGCGTTGGAGTTGATGAAGTGAATTAATGAAACTTTAACTCAATCATCACCAGCCATCCACATAAATGTATTGAAAATGATGTCATTTAATTAAGTGAGACAACTTTCAACGCTGTTGCAGTATAACTTTAAAATAATTAAAGGAGGGAAAAACGTTGTCTAGCGACTTTGTTTTCACTTCTAAGGATGACTTTATCACCATCAAAATCTCATAAAAATTGGATTTATTATCATCGCGATCAACCCTTTTAAGAATAAAAGATAAAAGCGTCCTTTTTCCTTGTCAATTTCACCCATTGAAGTAAATATTTTATTATTTCAACAAAATAATTCTTCTTTGATGAACAGCTACAATCTGATTTCATGTAAATTATTTCTTATGTTCAAATTTTGTGAATATCTACATAAATAAAGCAAATCTTTCTTTTTACACATTTGTTGAGTTTACTTTCAAGTGAACTTTAATATCGTAAGAGCTTTAATAAATTTTTATTTTATTAAGTCGTTAATCGTGGAATTTATTTATGTAAACGTGCATACCATCAGTAAACAACAAGCATAAAAATCATCAAACAATTCCACGCATAAATTTCCTTTGTTCATACTTTTCTTGATGTTTTTCACTATTTTTCTCAGCTATTTTTAATATAGTTGAGGAAATTTATTCAGCGCAATTGAGCTATCGTCTTTGTGTGACAAAGCTTTTGAGCGACACCGGTAAAATGAAATTCTTCCTTTTAGTTGGGAATTACATGCATACAATAAAAGGCAAGCTAACAAAAAGGGTTGGTAAAGGAACACAATATGCTAGCGTTGAAATTAGTTTGTTTTCCCTCTACACGTTGTGTAACTTAACAGCTATTCACTGTTATATTAGTTTTCCGTTCATGTCGATGAATTGACTCAGAATTCTTAAGTGATGAAAAGGGCCTTTTAATCTTTTGTTCGAAAAGGGTTGATTATTAATCAAGATGTTCATAAATCTGAAGTTTATGAAGTTCCATGAAATGTTGTAATATTATTCACTCAACTGTTAATATCTAAACAAATGTAAATATTTTGAAATTCAGACACAATATAGCTTATCAACGAATCAAAAAGGACAATATTAATGTGTAGGTGGACTCATGTCATGAGTAGGTAACAGAATAATGTTGAACTACCAAATATTTCATGAATTAATCTCTATTTAAAGTCAGATGTGCATAATAAAATTTGTTGCCTCAATCAATCTCAATACAAACTCATGAATATTTAATGGTAAAATTTTACAGAAATATTATTGAAGAAAATTAAAATTTATGTTTTAGCCTCCAGGTTCAGAGTGCATTGGAAAATTTTATATAAATGACATCAAAGCTTTTTACGTTTTATTAATTTTTTCATCCGAACATGCTTTAATGTCATTTGAAATTCAAGCTTTTATTTGCTTCATTTATTCTCATGTCGTTGAATGAGAACGAATAACATTAAATGCAGAACGGAAGAACGAAGAATGAAGCGGATGTTAAAATTTATATTAATCGGTCTTTCTTTTTACTGAGCAATTTCTGAACCTCATCGCTTCATCTCGTCGCTATACACGCTATGAATCTATTGTCGTTGAAAGAAATCTCGTCTTTTTTACCGAAAGGATGAATGAAGTCATTCAAACTAGGGAATATCGCTTCATAAATTTTAAATTAAAAAAGGAAAATGAAAGACTTTTAAAGCAAATTATACTCTCGTCACTGTCTCGTGAAATCAATTTTTTTATTCCGACAACACCAAAGAATTGAGTTGGATAAGATTGAATTTGAAATCTTGCTTCTCCTACAAAATAATTCATCTTATTTAAAATGAAATGTTGAGAAAGGTTTAATCGAACTTTCAACATTTTAAAGAGATTCAAAAGGAAAAGTGAATTAAATGTAACAAAATCAGGTTTGAAAAGTTGGGAAAGGGCTACCTAGGGGTTATTAAATATGATCGATAAAAATATAAAATTCTCAAAGAAAATCATCTAATAAGCATGTTTGACAGTTAAATAAATAAATCAAACTTGATATCATTATTCACCTGAAGGTTCAACTGCTAACAATCGTCAAATACAATTTCAAAAGCAAAACAAACTTTTCTTTCCCATCATTTTCTTCTTCTTCTTTCAATCGTATTTAATCTTTAACTGAAAGAAAAAAAAATTATTCAATCTTTCAACGGTTTATCAAAACAGTTCATTCACCGCACCACTTCCTTCTAATGTTATTACAACATGACTTTTCCTCGACAGAAAGAAAAAAAGAAGATTTAAAGATTACAATTTTTCATCTCATTTTCTGAGAACTTATGCATGGAAGAATGAAGTGGACAGGAATACAAATCATAATCATCCTGAATTATCGTGTTCGACTATAATCACCGCTTACCATTTTCATCCAAACTGAATTAATTTATGAATATTGATTTCAGCTTTCCCTTCGTATCTTAGAAGTTATGTATCGAAGTGTTGTAAGGAGCTATTCCCTTGTTTATCTTTCATAAACGTTCCACTAATTAGAGTCTCATAATTATTATTTATTGATCTAATAATTGATAATTACAAGCTCATAAACAAGAAGAAGTTGTAGATGATGCATTGAATTCGAACTTTTGTGTTTATGTACAACACAACCAACATTTCTGATGTTTCAATTTTTGTTTGGCTTCAGATCATGTAAATAATTTATGTTTGTTCTTCACGGCAATTAATTTTCATCATTTGAGTCAACTTCGGTATAAATTTACCAAATAGATGTATCCATTAAGAAGAAAGTTCAAATCTTCAAAGAAAGTTCAAATTAAAGTAAAATTTAAAGAGAGAGAAGCTTTTATTTTGTATGAACATCAATTTAGTGCACTTATTTACTTTAAGTACTGCGATCCGATATCTTCCCTCACTGGAATTGAATTGTCAACAATTAACTTTTTGTTCAAAAGTATTTGCACAAACTTTTCGAGAAGGCCAGCATGATAGAACTCTGGAAGTTCACTTTCTTTTGGGCTACGCTTCATTTATTTTCTTTTCATTGAAACTCGTTTACTACCTGATACAACAAGCAAGTAACAAAAACTTATTTGTAAAAGAAAAACATTCTTTCTTCATGAACAAGAAGTTTTCCCAGCATCACAATTTCTCCTAAAGAATGATAAAAATTAATCCATTAAAAATTACTACGTGAGATTAATTTTCAGGACTTTTCTTTTGCTTTCATTGATCATTTTAAATTTGAGACGAATAAGTAAATAACTAATTAAATTAAGAATTTTAATTCAATGGTTTTTGTGAAAGAAAAATTTGTTGTTTGTTTTCTGGGAATAATTGAATCAAAAATCACTGAAAAGAAATAAGTTTCGTGCGCTCTCTCGCAACTTTCCCCTTTAATTATCGAAGAGTTTGTTGGCAATTCCAAAGTTTAGGGTTTACTTGCTTTCCGTTTACAAGAAGCAGCAACTTAAAAAGTTCTACCCCTAACAAATAAGCACAATAATTACAAGATAAATCGTGGAAGTTAAGTAAACTCAAAAGTTCTCATCTCGAAGCAAGAGCATCGTCGAAACGTTGGAAATCACATCGCAATAATTGATTCGTTGATTAAATTCTTGATGAGATAAGTTTCTCTGAAAATCAGATGGTTCCAGGCGTGTTTATTTTGAATAATATCGAGAGAGTCAATTAGAAAATTTGCATTTTAAGCGTTTGCTTTGAAATTGATTTATTATCTGTGTGGATATCTAATTATTTACTCTCCCACGCATTGTTTAAATTTGTACAATAGAACGAAATATATTTTTGAATAGAAATATTCAAATACGAAAGGTTTTCATAGAAATGATAATAACTGATTAATTAAATGCAGCAAACATGTAAAATTTTAATGATGCTTTAAACAAAAAGAATTGTAAAATATTAATTTTGTGAAATCTGATAAAAGCATATTTGAGCCCTCAGCATTGCCATGATAACAACTCGCATGTAGATAAATATTTTCTGCCTTTTACATTGTTGATATTATTGAATTGTACAAGCACATTGTACATTGTTATCAACAGGTGAATAAGTCTGCAAAATTATGCTGCTGTTTGTCGCTGTCATAATAAATTTCTGTATTCATATTGTTAAATATTTTCGCAGTATTGAAAATCTGTTGCCACCTACCATTACAAATGGCATGGCATTCATGACACTTTATATAACTGCACATTGTGTTTCATTTGGATATATGGAAAATCATTTGTTTGTAATGCTCTTGTCTCTCTACCGCAAATAACACTTTCATGTAGTTAAGTTTGATAACAATTTATGCTTTCCAGAATAGAATTTCTGAAAACCTGATGATGACTTTATCTGTTAGGCGAATGCTTTGTGGCTTATCAAACCTTTCTCAACTGTTTAAGATGAATATTGTGTTATGATGTTGACAGTTAGCACAATTATTTGAAATTAAATATTTTGCATTATTTATCTACTTAATTAAAAATGCTTCAATTAATTTTAACTTACTGCAGAAGCAGCTTTAATGCTCTGTTGTGGCTACCAATCGATACTTTTAATGTCTCAATTCTTCAATAAAACATAAATTTGTAACAACACAACGGAGAAGAAAAAGAATAAATTCGGCATGCTTATAATAACAAAGTTTAACGACCATCCCTCGATAGATTTCATTAATCAATTTCTTTTTCTTGTTAATTCTGAAAGATTAATTAAATTGAATAAATAACATTAAATAATTTTAAATAGGAAATTTTCTTCTTGCTCTGTAGCCAATTAAGGACAATTTTGTTAATTTTTGGCAGAGCTACAAGGTTTCCATATAATTAGGCAATTATATTCCCTGATTACGAGACTTGAATTCCCATTCTCCACAGTATTTATGACTTTGAACAAAACGAAAACATTATGAATATTTAAAGGTTTAAATTTTAATGCTCAAGGTTAATGAAAGAAAGTTTCTAAGATTATCAAATACAGATATTTAGGAAGTGTAGAAGCTTTTACTACAATGTTGTAATAAATGCGAATGTTTTTATATTCTACTCACAAGAAATAATCAAAATGCATAGATTTATGTCTTGTTTTCATTCATATGTGACGATAAAATGTAATTTATGCTTACAATGCTAATGGAATGGCTTCGAAGACACTCAATTCTATGCAATTAAGCTCAAGTTTTTGTGACTGTGAATGGTCATCAAAAGTAAGTTAAACTAACATAAAGAATTTAAATGAAAAAAATTTCAGATTTCTTTTTTGGCTGCCTTTTCATTTATCAAGTTCCACTTCAAAGAAGCCCAATTCTTGCAAGTTTGTCAGACATTATTCAAGTTAATAAATTAATATAATCTGGTTTTTTTCTTCTTATTTCTTTTTTTTGCTCTTCCGATTTCTCATAAAAATGTCCTTCGAATACATTTGAATTTCGCCATCTCCCATCGTTGCTTTCTCCCTCCCTCCCATCCACGCATAGAAACTTGGTTTCTGGCAAGCAAAAAAACAAAATAAATTTGCGACTCAAACTCATAAATCACTTTTTCAGCTTCAATATCTCCTTTTATAATGCTCAACTATCAATAATGATGTTTGTCTGAGCTTTAAAATGTTAAAGAAGAAGTCTTGTTGGGTTGTTTGGTTGCAAAAGGCTGATAAAACTTTTAAACGCAAAAAAAAGATTTGCCAAGCTCGCTCATGATTTCAAATCTGTGGGAGTAAAGTTAAAAATCTTTGTGGATTCAACGATTTCCTTATTAAAATAATAAAAGCGTCCATTCTGTATGATACTTTATTGTTTACTAAATATCCCAGCAATGATGAAATAAACTCTTACAAAAACTGTTATAATTTTTGTCTTTCTCGTCTCTCTCAATAATAAAAAGCAACAAAACTTGATCCCGACTTGCGCATTGTGAGAAGAGAACTTTTACATTATTAATGTTTATAAAACGTTCTGTCAGTTTATGTCAGACATAATAATGAAGACATGTTTAAAGTGGATGCATGAAGATATAGTTTTAGCATATCAAAACTTTCAACAAATGAAAGTCAACCGCGATCCATGGTGACTTTACTTAACTGATTCTTTTCAGTAAATTTCGTTACAGACATTTAAAAAGTTATTATGCATTTCTCTTGACAACATGTTTTTCATCTCATAAATTTCAACTTTTATTGCTCATATTTAGTTTCTGCATTTCCTTGTCTCTTTTCTATGATGTAAAGCTTGGCTTGTTCAGCTTCATGCCACATCATGATTTTACTTTTTCCTTTCTTCTCTTCGAGTGGAAATTTATTCAACCCTTGTTTCTGATATTATAAAATATTATGATGGTGTTGAAGTCATAAATGGTAATGATTTTGATGAATTTAAGTACGCTCAAAATAATTCAGCTTTTGAGGAAACATGAAAAGGATTTTAGAGTGGAAGAACGATTCTTTATTTTATGACTTTGATGTACATTTATTTTGCATTTTTTCTGGATTTTCTCAACATATTTTCCGAACAACAACAATAAGAAAAACGACGATTTTATAAATAAGTAACATCTTTATTCGCTGAGCATGGAATGTAAATTATCTAAATTAGTTTAATATAAGATAAGTTTTAATGTAGAAATAATGCAGCTTAAGAAAGTTAAAAGTTTTCATTAACTACAGCAAGGAGAAAGTTATTAAGAACACCAGACATAAATTATGCTTCTTGTCGATGACATGATGTGAGTTTTAGAATTAAAAATTATTCCATCCATAGATACATAAACAACATAAACTTTTTTATAGTTTTAATCATTTTAAACAACAGTGTAAAAAGGCAAATGTCGTTTCCTCAACACTTTACGCTAAAAGCACTCAAATTGACATAAAAAAAGGAATAAAATGTTTTTGATATTCACGTATGTTGTGAATTTTCAGGCTTGAATATGTAACTTTATATATTTATATATAAATAACAAGGAATGTGCAGTTGTAGATTGCTTCTTCAATTTTTATTTCATTACATTTTCCGACTTAAAATTGAATTTCTTAACAATTCACTTCAAGTTTTTATGTGTCAAAAGCGAAAATAAAAACAGAGCGAAAGCACTTGCACAATCATCTGTTTCTTGACTTCAAGACGATGCTTCATAGCTAAATAATCCTTTGTTCAATGTGATGTACATTTTCTCATACATATCTACATGAGTGGGAGTATGCAGAAGTTTTTTTTATCTCACTCTAGGATACAAAAGCACTTAATGGTCTCAAGTGTGAAGTTTTTAGAGGACATCATAAAGTTTTAATATTTTTTATATTATTTCAAGATTTTCCATGCTGAAACAAAATCAAATAAAATAAGAAATGAAGAGAAAAGAAAGCTTTAAAATGACCCAGAATACGACGTTGATATTATAGCATATCGTTCGTTGTGATAAATTTGTATTTGTTTATAATGTAAAAAATACTTCCAAAGATGTTTCATGGGGCGGGTGACATGGATTTCCCAACTTGATAAGATAATTCCACTTGTTTGTTTATATTTATATACATACTTACATTGTAAAGCGAACGAAGAAGAATCGTATTAAAATGTGAAATTAAATCGCTGGATCAAAACAAGAAATCCAATTTCTCAAAAAACATTTCCCCGAGACTGTATGAAAGAGTCTCAGCTAACAAACGAGTTGTGGGGAGTGGCAAACGTACTTAGATCTTGTTGGAATCAAAATTTCAATTTTTCTCAAATTTTTCATGCTTTTTAGATCTAAATCCTTATATTAACTTGTTCTCTAACATAACGTCTGAAATGTTTCGACTTTTTCGTTCTCTTCTTGATGCCTTGTGCAAATGTAAACAGTTAGATGAAATTCAAGAAGAATACATGAAAAATGATTCGAGTGAAAGCTCTTACACAATGATGAGCGGTATACTGGTGTAAGCTGTGGATGGGAGGAAATGCAAGATGACTTCAAAAAGATATTTGTGGTTAAATTGAAAGTAACTCTCTAAGAAATGTAGCGTGAAATTGAAATTCATCGTACATGTATGCTTTCAGCAAAAAATAAAAAGTAAAACGAGAAAAGAAAGCGATGGAAAGCATGTACTTTGTAAAAGATTTTCATTTCTCAAACTTTTTAACATTTCACATTTGAAAAGAATGAAAATCCTTTTAACAAAAATTTCATGAATAATTTTCCTGGGTGAAATGAGATTTAACAGAAAAATATTTTCATATCTGATGTATATTAAAAGCCTAATGATTTAAGCTAACTCTCGGATGTTTTTTTTAACAGAAAAATATAAATTTATGTATGAAACTTTTCAACATATTTACTGCAATGTCTCTCGAGTGAAGAATTATTTAATTTTTTTGTGGCAGACACTTGTTCAAAAAGATTTATTATTTGCATCAAGCAAGCTTCGCATCAGGAATAGAATCGTCAACTTATAACGTGTATGAGTATTCGAGTTTGTTTATGTTTTCATTTCTTCAAAGCCCATAAATTCAAACAAGTCTTAGAATTTCACGCGTGCCTTGATAATAAAACAAACTGCGATGATTTATAGCCGAAAAAGAGAAAAATTTCTTTCTGCTGACGATACTTTTGCGCAAAATTGACACTGAAAAAAATGATATTAATTTTCTGTGTGAGCGAAGATATTAAAGTCAGTAAACACGTTCAGCTGCTGGATTAACATTGACACAAAGCTCATTGCTTTGGGGATAGACGAAGCTGTTCACAAAGATGCTGTGGGACAAAGTTGTTTTGATGCTTCAATTTTCTTTTTGTCACTATAAGAAGATTGTAACTTGAAACGGGTGAAAGCTGTTGTGAAAAATTTACAAAAGGTTATGCCCTGAATTAATATTGTTTAAACTGAAAACAACACACAAAGCGAAATTTTATGAACTTTGACAGAAATCGCATTCTGTGAACTTTTAAGCAATCACATAATCAAATTTAAATTTTGTAATCAGTTTTTGCTTAGAAGACAATCAACTCGTGATTATTTAAAGAATTCCAACTCATGACATTTCCACAAATAATCTTATTTAATAATTTAGATTTTACTGATAAAATAACAGAAATATTCGAGAAAATCATAAATTATACTTTTGTTATCAATCTGAGATTAATTCAAGCCGCTATCGGATTTTTATCGTAAAACCTCCGCGTCATCTTAAAAAATATTTTGCAGAAGGTACCAATTAATGTTTATAAATCAAAATGGTATAAATACCAGAAATAAACCAACTGTAAAGTTATTTGTAAAGTTGAAGTAGAAAGATGAAGATTATTGTGAGTTTATTAGTAGTGCTGTTTGTTGTTGCAGTCAATGGACAAACTGGTCCATGTGCCAACGTCCGAACTCGTGCTGCTTGGGGTGCACGCGCAGCTAACCCAGCCTGGCTTTCTACTCAACCACCCACACATTTTGTTGTTCACCATACGGTCACTGCAACGTAACAAATACAAAATTATATCAAAACCATTTTTAAATGTTGATCTTAATCTAAAAATAATATTTAAGATGCACCACGACAGCTGCTTGTGATGCTACAATGAGAAGCATGCAAAACGGTCATATGACTGGCAACGGATGGGCTGACATTGGCTACAATTTCTGTATTGGTAACACAAATATTGTATATGAAGGACGAGGCTGGAACCGTTCTGGAGGTGAGTTATTCAAACTTTCAAGATTCCATTAATTTATTTCCATTTAAACAGCTCACTCTCCAAGCTTCAACACTCGCTCAATTGGATTCTGCTTCATTGGTAACTTCATGACTGTTTTGCCTCCACAAAACGTTTTGAACACAGCTCAAGCTTTCATCATTTGTGCGAGAGATTGGGGACGTTTAACAACAACGTATCGATTAATGGGACATAGACAAGATGTTGCAACTGCTTGTCCTGGTGATGCTTTGTTCAACCAAATCCGAACATGGCCGCGATGGTCTTAAATTAATTTCAACTACGATTACACTGAATAAATAATTTTAATCCTTTATATCCGCTTTTATTTAATTTCATTATTTTTAATATCTTTTAACTCCTTAGAAGCCTAATTAAATTTTCAAAGTTATCAATTTTCTTGAGAGCCAAAGATTTGCTCAAAATAATCTTTTTTCAAGAAGTTTTTACTTGAACTTAAATTAAATTGTTCACACCTGTTACTTATTTTGTCTTATCTTTCAAGACACAAAAAAGTTCACGTCAATCGCTGTCGAATTTAATCTTATCTTCTGGGATTGGTAAATTCATGTGAGGTCATCAGACTATTGTCCGTTCGGTCCATGTTTTCATTCAATAAAATGGCAGATAAGCAATAATTGAATTTTGGGGAAAACAATTTTATCTTGGAAATTTTAATGCGATTAATTTATTAGATTACCTGACCTGACAACAGGTCTTCCTAATTCACTTCACTTTAATTGCTTTCAATCAATTCATCTCTTCTCGACTTATTTTTGTCTAAGCCAAACTCAACTCGTTCAAATTTTCCAAATGTCTCTATTAGAGAAACTCTAAACTCAGGGAAATTGAAATAAATTTCCTTAAATATTTTAATGATTCAATTAAATAATTTTAGTTATGGAATGAAAATTATCAACACACACTCACAATCACACATACAAATTGCTATTATATTCAACATAGCAACATAATTATGAACAAACAACCTTAATTAAAAGCATCTGGTTTTTTATGGCTGAGAATTTATTTGGAAATGATTCGAAAAGGCTATTTTAGTCTGAATGGAAGTAAAGCAAAGCAGAACAAACAAATGAAGCTCAAAGCGTAATGTTTCAACTCTCTAACGCCGACTAAAAGTTTAAGGGTAGATTTTCTATATTTTATTACCAAAATACGTTCGAAATTTTAGAATTTTAATAACTCAAAGCCTTTTGTTTTCAGTTTGAAAACATCTTTTAAAGTACTTGAGAAGTCCAGTTGAAAATTATACAGTTTAGCTCAAAACTCAAGAGTATGCTGTACGATCCATTAATCTCTTTCCATTCTCATCCATAATACATTTTCTCAATTTTCTTTTTCGATTAATAACAATTTTTCATAATTTGATTTATTCACTTTGAGCATGATTTCGCTATCCTTTCTCAACAAACTTTTCCTTATTCTCTGTCTCATTTTTCTCCGGGTATGAAAGGAAAGTGTCACAATACAAAATTTACTAGTTTCACTTTTGACTCTTACTTACTTTCAACCCACGCTCTCATGATTTTCAAGACAATAACTTATATAAAAATGGAACAGATGATAAGGGTTGAATTTGCTAAAGCAACATTGATACAATTTCATTCATTCTCTATGTTGTTGTGTTGAAAATGACGTTACAGATGAAAGAGTTGAAATTTTATTTGTGTGCTTAAACATGAACAGCTTTTCTAGCTTCGAAACTAAATTCAAATAAAAGTTTGATTGACATGGAAAAGGCGATGCTTCCTTCATATATACATATACAACATAAATATTTATATAATTTACAAGCACTGAAATTTGTTTTAATTAATGACAGTTTTTGGAGTTTACAACAATTAGTTTTGTTGTAGAATAATCTCGTGAAATATTTTATTGCCTTATTTCGGCTCAACCACATAAATGTCGGGAAAAAAGGAAGCGACATTAGTGTCACTTTCTTCGATATGAAACGGCTTCCAATATAATTTATCGTCATTGATTTTGGGACACATAAATAATTCGTATTGTTGAAGGAGAATAAATATGTACTTGGGAAAATGAATTAAAACTTGAGCAAGCATGACTAATAACTGATACTCTGACATAGAAAGAAGTTCCTTTTGGGGGTTCTTGGATTTATCGACAGTGAAACGACGGTCTACATTTCGCAACCCGAACCTTTGGGTTTAAAATTTTCTCTCTTGAACATCTTTGAGCATTAAATATAAGAAATAAAATTTGTGACACATTTTTTTGATCCTTTCTATCTACGGGTAGGAAAGGAGATGAAAATATTCCTAAAATGGAAAAAATAGGAAATAAAATATGACAAGAATGAAATGCCATTAATCAATCATTGGAGAAAAGGACTCGAAAAGTTTTTCTCTAAGGCAATATATTTGATTAATACGCGTTTGTATATTCACAGTAAACAGAGATATTCCGAGAAATTTTCTGATGAAATGGCTATCGATAACGTCTTTACTAAATAAGGTTTCAAGTTCACTAGATTGAATGAAAACTTGATAACTCTCGGAACATGATACGGAAGAATTTTAATGGCAAATTGAATTCCATTTGTACTTATGATAAATAAATATGTGAGGCTTTATTCTAGAAATTAAATTAATAAGGCAATTAAGACATTTTAAGGTTTCACGAATGAAATTTTTCCTTGAAGAACAAAGAAATGAAAAAGTTTTCAAAATTTTACTCAAGTCATTTAATTTGAATTTCACAAATCTACAGAAGTGTTTCATGTTACAGAATAAGCAACAATAGATGAAAGCATTACTCCTTAGTCAATCAAGCTGAGTTGTCGTAATTGAAATTTGATACAATTCATTCTTTTTAAAGCAAAATTCATCTTCATTGAAAGCATAAACCGACTGTTTGTCTTACTACATAAATGTGAAAATATTCATTTCCATTGCTGTAGCACGCTCTATAAAACACCAAATGGAGTGAAAATTTATACACTTAAAGTGTTCTTTCGCTCCTTGCAGAGCTTCTTCAAAGTTTAGATTTCTAGATGATGTAACATGATTGAATCACACGCTTTCTTTGGCTTCCGTTTAATATCTTTTAAAATTTTTATAACTCAACTTGAATAAGATATTTGAAAATACATCATTGGAAGATTTCCCTGAAGCGGATGACTCAAATAGCAAAGAAATCATTATTATCGCATTTTCAATTAACGAAGTAAAATAACAGCGTTTTACCGTCGTCGTCATGGATGATTTTTTTTATTTTATATTTCCACTTATTTGAAAAAGGAAAAATGTTGAAGACAAAGACCTCGTTGTGGATTTGTTATGAAGAATATCATCGTAATGTTTCCACATTTACGGTTTGTTCTTTCAAACATTTTTTAGTCATTTTAGATTTCTTTCATCTGTTTTTCATTCTTTGCTGCTCGTCATGATTATAAAAGAAATACAGAAATGAAACATTCAAGACAACTTTATGATTGCAACTCATGTCAAATGATCGTCTTGAAAACTGAAAATAATCCTGATGAGCTATCAAAAGTTGAATGTTCTAACAGTTATCGCTTAAAAGCTTGCTTGAAGATTCTTCTTATCGTAATAATTAGAAGAAACTCTAACTCAAGTGCTTTTCGATATTTATTGACTTGTGGAAGTGAAATGAAAGACAAAATTTCCTTTTTTTATTTTCATTTCGAGGTTGAATTTAGTTCATCATCGATTTATTTTATTTTTGAACTTAAAGGGAAAATGGAAGGAAAAGAAGGAAAACAAGAGAAACTTTTTTCCAACTATCGAGAATTTAATGAAGCTGAAAAAACTATAAATTCTAATATGACTCTCGCATAAGACGACGACGACGACGAAACTTTTCTTACCTTTCAGAAAGTGCTGAAATAATAACCGTAAATTGAGATTGCCAGGAAAGTCGTAACCATCGGCTACTAAAATGAAATCACCTAAACTTTCGACATATTTATTAGATACAACAACATACATTAAAGCTTTTTTAAATCTTCCTAAATAATTAAGCAACAGCAATCATGATAAATATTTTCAAATTTTTGTTCGCAGTTCCAATTTTAGACAAAAAATTAACCTCAACAAAAATATTTTCCGAGTACCTTTCAAAACGTTTATACGAAGCTTGTGCCTTGTATTGAGAAAGGTAAAATAAACTTACTTAATCACGCTTTTAGAGTTTACTCTTTCACCTTGATAACAGACATGACACAACGCGATGGAATTAATATTAACTGAATACTCGGAATTACCAAAGTACAATTAACTTTTATGATTTACATAATTAAAACTTTTCTACGCGTTTTATTTCTGGTTTAAATGATTGAATTAATAATTAAATTGTTTTGTGCTGTTTTTCCGAAACGAGTAAAGGCTTTTGTCATCATAATAATTAAAAAATAATTCACGAACATTCTTACTTCATTCGTAGCGTTCTTTCGGAAGTTCATATTTTAATATACCATTTGCGTACAATTAAAACAACTCTTAACTTTGTTTCACGCTACAAGGACTCCGTCATTCCTATTTTAATTGAACAATGAGAAGCGAATCAAAAGTTGTCTCATAGATAAATGCTGGATGTCAGTCAACGGAATGAATAAACAAAAAAGTATCTCAGACTCAACATAAAATGCATTTTCTCAATCATCTTGAACCTTCAAGGGTTGTTTACATTAACAAATAACAGAATAAGAAAACATCAGATATCATTATGTAAGTTTAGATATGTTCTCGAAACTCTTTTGATTAGATATGAAGAAGATGTAAAAAAAGTTTTTTAGTGAGATTTATGGGTATTTGGAAGTATTTTCATGTTATTCTCTTCCATTTCAAAGACATCACATGGAGAAGAGCATGACGTTGTTTACAAACAGCCCTTTATTGATGTATTTCGAGAAATTGAACACTTTGTTTCGACGTTTCCTTTCGGACAAGACAAGAGAGATATATAAAAAACGAACATGTAGATCGAAGTGAGAAAGAAACAAATGTTCCGAACCATAGACATCTTTTATAAACATAGAATAAATCTTGTTTCCTTCGAGCTTGAATAGAAATATGTCGTTAGTGTCGGTCTATCAAGTAAGAACATGTTATTAAATTGGGAATAAATATATTGGTTTCGAGCATTGACATGAGGAAATTTGTCATCAAATTGTATGATTCGTGCAAGATTTCTTCATGAACTGTGAAACTAACGTTGATATTGAGTTGACAAGCGTTATGATAGATTGAAAGCCACTAAAACTCCTTGGGGATACTAAAGATATTCCAATCTTTATCTTTACGTCTCGAGGATCATTTTTATAGTTGAAAATTATAGAAGCTTGTTGAGTTGATTGCAAAATAATGAAACATTCTTAATATCTGACTATGATAAAAGATTATATTTATTTTATGTCCCTCATGATGTTATTTTAGGATGTAAGTTCTGTGATTCCAATCCCAGGGTCGACTTTGATTATTTCCATTATTTTTTATAAAAAAAAAGAAGTGAAATGAAACGTTCTGATTAAAAACCGAATCATTCCATATTGCAGTGATTCATTTTAATTACATTTTTGAATGAAATAATATTTTTAAATCGTCTTGACAATTTTAATGAGAATAAAGTTGAAACTTGAAAGTTGTCTTGTCAATCGTCGACAATTCATGATATTGATTTTCTATTAAAAGCAAATTGCGGGAATTTAACGTAGTCATCAGAGTTGGGATTTGACTGACTGACTGACAGACATTGACTTGTCAGTCAGTCAGTAAAACGACTTGAGCGGAACATTTATATGAACGTGTCCCAACAAACGTATATTTTTGTTCGCGATTTTGACTGACTGACTGACTTACTGAAAGACATTGACATGTCAGTCAGTCAGTCAATCGAGTTGAACGGAACATTTGCCCATCTCTGGTAGTCATGCTTATTTGTTAAATATTTATATCTAAGAAAACAAGTTTATTTGTTTCTTTGTTGACTTGAAATGCTCGAAGCTGATAATTAAGAATCAATAATGGTAAGAAAGTTGAACTGTACAATTTCAAAAGTATTCAAAGCTTATCAACCTTTAGACGTTTAAGCTTATTTATCAACCATCCAACTGCATTCATAAACTTTTCTATAAAATGAGTTTATTTTTTAATACGGACGATGGAGCGCATATTGAGCGACTCAATTCGGAACAGAAGAAACACGGGATCTTCATAAATGTAAGACCTTCAAGAGCTTGGGACGATAATGGTAGAACACAATCTCAACATCAAACACCAACTTTTATTCACCGGAGAAATAATCTCAACATTTCACCTGGTGAGCTAAAACGTGAAGCTTTTACAGAAGTAATACCAAAGAAGGTAAAGACGATAAAACACTGTTTTTTCTACTCTTAAAAGCTTGGGGGTAATTTACAGCTTGTGTCACGAGATTACTTATTTGTTTTAATAGCTTTTAAGTTTCAAATATCTTAGTCAAGTGCACCAAGCGTCATTTTTCTTTATGCAGATTTTTATTACTTAAATGCACCGTTTGTTGATTCTTATAACATAAAAATACATTAAAATCAACTTGAAGCTTATGTTTTAGTTTCATTATTCACTTGAGCATTCTATAAAAACGAAAAGGTTCATCACACGTAAATAATTCCCCAAGAAAAGAAAAGAAAAAACTTAAATTTTTATCATGCAAATGACGTGAGAAAGAAATCTTACAGAATATAATTTTTGATTGCCTGAAACCGATCTACAATTTCTTACGTGCTTTGGCTGTTTTCCCTTTATCACGACGAGACGATTCCGATGAATTTCAATTTCACATTCAATCACCAGCGATGGTTTACTCGGCATTCGTTTTTGTAGTAGTCACGGTAAGTATGCATTTTGAACTTTGCTCCCAAAAACGATTATTCAAGTAAGGAAAAATCATGAATTTAGATTTATTCAAGCTACATTCTCATGGATCGTATAGTTATAGTTCGGACTCTCGAGGGTCGTTTCGAAGAGGCGGTAATTGCATATCTATTCATCGTCAATCTCCTGCCAATCATTATAGTTCCATTGATGTGGTACGAGAGCCGGAAGATAGCACAAATATTGAATAGCTGGTCAAACTTTGAAGTAGAAAGCTTTAAGTGAATATTAATTCAACATTGAAAAGAATTTTTCAACCTTTTTTTCCAGACGATTTATTTTAAAACTGTTGGGAAATCACTTCAAGTTGATTTAAAAAGAAAATCATTAATTATATCGATTTTATTGCCAATATTAGCTTCTGGTTCTGTTATATTGACACATTACGTTATAAAGACAGAAGACGTTCAAATTGGAAAAGCTTTTTTACTTCAAGTGATGCCATATTGTTATTTAGATACATTAACATACATGATGGGTGCTTATTGGTATCTCGCATGCGAAGTGTTGACTTACACAGCGAGAATTTTAGCGGAAGACTTTCAAAAGGTTTTCATTAATGTTTGTTAAAGTTAATTTAAATGATAAACTTGAAACATGTTGTAGGCATTAAGGCATATCGGGCCAGCTGCTATGGTTGCTGACTATCGTTCTCTTTGGCTTTCTTTGAGTAAACTCACGCGTGACACCGGAACCGCAACATGTTACACCTTCACGTTTATTAATCTTTACTTGTTTTTCGTAATAACATTGAGTATTTATGGTCTGATGGCACAAGTTTCCGAAGGCTTAGGTATAAAGGACATTGGACTAGCAGTCACAGCCTTTTGCAGTGTTTTGTTATTGTTTTTCATTTGCGACGAGGGCCATAATGCTTCTTTTAATGTTAAAACGATTTTTCAAAAGAAGATTCTCATGGTAGAATTATCCTGGATGAACTCAGATGCGACTACCGAAATAAACATGTTTCTTCGAGCGACGGAAATGAATCAAGCCAACATCAATTTAGGGGGATTCTTCGATGTGAACCGAAATCTCTTTAAATCTGTAAGAAAGAAACTAAGAAGCTTATCTTAAAATGATTGTGATTTTTCATCTCGTTTGTTTTTCTTTTATTCTTTTTATTTCACTCAACGACAGTTGTTAGCAACTATGGTAACGTTTCGACATTTTTCACCAACAGAAGAATAGAATTTTACGAGAAAGCATTCATTTAAACTTATTTTTCTCATTTTCTTCTTTGAAGGTGACTTACTTGGTTGTTCTTCTTCAATTCCAAATCTCAATCCCATCAGAAGATGCGGCTGTAATCAAGGGAAATAACAGCGATTATGTTGCTTGAAAGCTGTGCGACAACATCTTTAATTTATAACTCTATCGATTTTTCCCCAGGCTTATGATGAAGTCTCTTGTCACTACTTCAACTCTCACTGATGTTTTTTCCCTTCAAATCAACTGATCTTTAGTGTTTTATCTTTCATGTGTTGTAAATAGGCTTTCAGAACAAGCAGAAAAAAAATGAAATACGCAATGGATTTATCGAGACTGTCATTAGAAGCATCTTCAGGTTTTAATAGGAAATGTCTAAGAAAAAGCATTTCAGTGAATGGTGCTTTAGTTATGGCCATCAAAGGGTTAAGAATTTTAACGAACTTTCCATCAGAGACATCAATTGAGAAATACTAAAATATGTGCATAAAATTTATTTATTTATTTGATTTGAAGTATAAATAAATTTGAAAGTTGTTAAGCCTAAACATGTAGTGAAAGAATCCTCGATGCTTATGATGTTCACATTCCCAAAAGATGTTTTTCTATCCCTAAAGTTCAACAATCTAAATATTTTGACAAACTGAATGTTATAAATAAATTACGTTTTATTCGAATTGGAAATGGATTTTTACAATTTTCGGTACACATCTACATACGTCAATGCATGCTGGTGAGTGGTGAGGGAATGAAGTATAGGAAAGGTTACATAATTTTTCATATCCCAGATGATCCGTATTTTATACATTTACTTTAACATTACACTTGAAGCTTTTCGTATTTTTTTCCTCCACACTGAACACGCTTAAAATAATTTTTTCGGATGTAATGCTGTTACCTGGATTGATATTGTGTTAGACTGTTTCCGTTATATTATCAATATACTTCATAGAAGGGCTGGAAATTTATGATAACGAGTTTAACTTGAGTTGAAAAAGATTTTATTCAAATAAATGGTAATCGTTTGCACAGCAACGAAATTTAAACGAATTCATTCAGTTCTTAAGGGTTTGGATTTTTATTTTTATTCTATTTCGTAGATATTCAATGTCGTAATCCGATTACATTCTATAAAAGTATCTAAAAACAAAACTGTAGCTGAACTCCTACGATTGGCGTTTGTGTTTATTTTTATTTGGAAACTGATTGCTTGCCATAGAAATGTTCGAGGCACATGTGGAATGGTCAGACAGTTCTAAGAATTTGGATATTTTTGATATGATGAATTCGAGTAAACATTTCAATCTTCCTTCGCACTCTCTTCTGTGATATTTTGATCAAACATTGGATTATTGAAGGAAGTGTTGAGATTTTCAATGCTTTGATCGCTCCCAAAGTGCAAATCGACACCAGACGCACTACAAGCTTCGTCTTCGTTCACATGGGGAGCGTTGTCAAAGCGAGCGAAAGTTACGTCAGTTGGTTGAAGAAAGCGACGATTTCTCACCACAACAGCAAAAAGTCGTGGAAAATGCTTGTCATCATAATAGACAGCATAAATCAGCGTCATAAACAGTGCCACAAAGAAAAATGTGCCGAATACGAACGCAAGAACGTGACCACTCTCGTTGGGCGTAAATGGCATTCCAGAGATAAAATAAAACTTTGATTGCGCTATGAAATAAAGTCGAGTAAATGTGAAAGTTGTTGCAAGCAAACAATGAACCAGCCAACTCACTCTCATAGAATTTATTCAACAAAGTCTTCCGCAGATCGTCCATCAATTTAGTGCTGAGTTCATCGTATTCATATCGATCAACAATAATGAGCTGTAAATACAGTTGCCGTTCTTTCCCCGTTACGACACTGATATGATAAACGATTTTGTCTGCATCAACAACACTTGTTGCATTGACGGCTGAAATGGTTAAAAAAATTGGAATAAACATTTTCGCCTCCAATGTAAATATGAGCGTGGGTGGCGATTGCAATTCGTAACCATTTTGATGGTTTGGGAGATGAACATTCATCAATATTATCAAAGTGGGAAAAAAGAACTTTCATTCACCTTCTGCAATATTTCTCTTGAAAGTTTTCAATTGAAAATTATTGATTGCGTTGAGTTTCATTTGGAAAAGCGCTCCGCATTCGAAGCAACAATGACCAATGGGTTCGATGGGGTCGGTACAAGGCGGAATACTTCGACAGTCTCGCATCTCATTCGAACATAGCTGCTCCATTAAAGCAGCATTCTTGCGATGACAGACACATTTGTTCTCATCGATACAAGAACTTTCATCAAAAATCGTGTTTTCGACGTTTTTGAACATTGACTGACCAAATGTTGACGACAAGAACTCTTTAAATTCCCCAATCGACAAAATGCGACCATTTATGGCGATGGTCTTGAAAGACAATGACGGAATTGATTGTAGGTCGACAACATATGAATTATTGATGGGGAAAATGACTTCGTCGTTGTCACATGGCAGTCGCTCTTCATGTGGTGTCGCTTTGTTATAAAATTCATCGTCAACTTCAATCTCACTTACGTCACGAGCGTTATTCCAATTGCTGGTCGATAACCATGGCGATTGAATGACACTTTTAAACATTTTCGTTTCATTTGGCTTGCATTGTGGATCGTTTTCGTGGAAGTTCAAAGTCGTTTGTGAGTCTAATATGAAGCCGCCGGTCTTGGGCAAAATGATTTCCTTCATGCTAAAGTTTGACAACTTAATGAGATCATAACTTCGTTGTGGGAAGTGAAGTGCATCTGATGAACATGGCATTTTGTTGTCCTCCCAATTATTTGCATCACCGATATTTGTACGTTGGTTCCAAATTATGCGGCGACTCTCCCCCAAACCCAGGAACTCCGCACTCACTATTAACAAAATTATACTAAATTGATTCATGGTTTATGAAACGCGAACATCAAACCACAAACTGAATTGAAAGCCGACTCATGATTTCAATTTAATTATGTAGAAATGTGGGCGGATTTAAATTACAAATGAGAATAAATTCCGAGTTTTAGTTTAACATTCTCGCTTCAAAATTCCAGAACTTCACATCATTATTGTTTACTGAATTTTCCAAATTTAAAACTCAAAAAAGGTGAAAAACCTTGAAGTTTATTACTTCAACAAACTTGTCAAAATTGTTTTCAAATTATGAAGATGACATTTTATGTTTAGAACCCGCTAAGCTTCAGCTTACAACGGTCTTCCGTATTTCTCCCACACGTTAATATTTCATAAATTTCTGCGCCATTCTGTCGTCAAGAAAATTTTGAACTGTATTTTGAAAGGTGTTCTACCGATAGAATGTAAATTACCATAAAATAATTTTAAAACGTGACTTCTATAAAGACAAGGCTTGCGTTTGAATTATTTGAAGGAAAACAAAAAGAAAAATTCGAAGGACAAAGTTTTGTGCGAAAGCAGAAATAAGAAGTTCAAAGCTTCGTCAATTTTCTTTTGTCATCATTTTGCATAAATTTTTGTCACAACATAATTTAATTTCAAACTTTATGCCCGATCACCGTGATGCGTGAATTTTTTCATTCTCTCCTCTACTTCTTCTCTATTTCGATTCTTATCGCTTTTCTCTATGTCATTTCTCGTTTGAATGCTTCTTGTAGGTAGCAGTGCTGATGTTGTGATTATAGAGATATTTTCTTGCTTGTATCGATTGCTGGTGTTCCGAAGATATTTAGGATTCTCCGACCCCTTATTGCCTGTTCTGTTTACGTCGATTTTAGTAATGAAACACGCAGGAACTTTTCACCCTTCGCAGAACAATAATCAATAGAATGACAAACGAGAAAATGGAAAATGACATTCCAAAAGTAGTTTAGATAATACGATGTACCTATATGGCGAACAAGCAACAAAGATGAGAAAAATAATCCAGTTCGAAGATAATGTGAACTTTTTCGTCTCGATATTTTACGAGTAAGAAACTTACTTAAAAACCAAGACAGCAGAAAAATTCAAAACTTTGCTGTACGTGCTCTCAAGACCGCCCCACTTTCCAGAACTTTTTCCTTTCGATTTTGCGGTAAAACTTTTTATGATATATTTGATTTTATTTGTCTCTCGATGTGTCCTCGTGAATGATTGAATTAATGTTCAGTTAAATGTAACAAAGGTACGATTAAAGCACTTTAATTCAGCAATGAAGTGACAAGCTTCGGTGTCCGGTTTCGATTGAAACATTTGAATTTTTTTTTAAAGGAAGATTAGAGGATTTTACTTACCACAAGGCAGAATATTCAGATTTGCTTACTCCCACGATGCCACCTCTATCAAAATATATTTTTGTCTAAATTTCGCTTTTCCACTGTCGACTGCCGAGATTTAATCAAAAACCTAAAACCTACTGAAAATATTCTCCGTTTCTTGCGGAGATTAAATTCATACCGAAAGGCAAATTCTAGCGAGTTTAGCTCACACACAATAAGCTTCTCTAATTTCCCTGTGGATTTTTATTATTTTATTTTATTTTTTTCCCTTTTTTTTCTATTCAAGAGACAATAAAAACTTGATCTGATTTCGCTCACTTAATCATTTTGCTTCATTGTTTAATGTTTTTATTCCCCATTTCAAATATCTTCAAGCAAAGGCAATCAACGAGCGCTCAGCTGGTTTCTTTAATTTATAACTAGAACGTTTAATTTGCAATACGCGATTTTTATTTCATATCGTTTTTTATTGTTTTGGGAAAAGTCTTGTTTTCACATTTTGCGGGAATTCGAGAAGAGAAAGTGAAAGATTATGGTGTGACTTCATGTGTGTGTCGAAGAATGTGAATAAATATATTTAAGTGAAGGGTATCGAATATTTTGACATTTATGGGCGTTATTTATGGGATTTCCATTAAACGATTCTCACTTCGGGACGTCTTTAAAAAGCTTTTTCAACTTATTTAATACAATTCTTTTGAGATTCTCGAATTTTATTGGCAAAGTTCAGGTCAATTATTACATGTTGTTAAGTATTATGTTGACAGTAAATACATTTAACATTAAATAGATTGTTTCCTTCTGCTTGACTTCAAAGGCATTCAGGATAATGTGAAGATGCTTAAATCTGGACGAATTTATTAAAATAAATTATGCTAAAGGAAAAATCAAACCTCCAACCAGTATTTGTCTACTTCAAAATGTATTCAATATGATTTTGTAAACATGATTAAGCTAATAAAATAGGAATTTCTTTTAACCTTTTCTCAAAAACCATTTCTATCGTCTTATAAATTTTAATAAGAGAGAGAAAGCTTCGGTGAAAACTGCCGAAGTTCATATGAAATCCCACAGGCTCCAAAGTTTTTGCTTTTTTCTTTACTTTGCTTTATTTTTCGTAGTCTTGGAGGAATAATATCTTACAAGATAATAAAGTTCAGCTTTTAACAAACATCTCATTTTATGCAAGCTTGTTTACTCCTTCTTTCAAATCGAAACTGAAGGAACGGAACATTACGACGCGTCAAAAAAGGAAGTTTCAAGTTTTATTGCCAAATTTTGTATTAGCAATATATTTCCAATATTTATGCTTAATTAGAAGCAGAGAACTCGTTGTTTTATCTTAGTTTAATGCTAGGAGCCAGACTTTGAGGTTTTGGTTTCCTTTCGTCTTGGTATTTGTAAGCATTTGTGGAAGTTGTCTGAAGGAAAATTTGGGAATGTTGAAGTTTAAAATAATTTTATAAATTTATTCTTTCTCGTTATTAGTGAATCATTTTAAATAGAATTTTATCGAATTTTCAGCATATAAATTTTAAATTTTTAGTGGTTGTCGTCTTAAGATGCTTTTATTACAGATTTAGAAAATAATCTTTATAATTCTCAGCTTTCTCAATGTGACTCTCCTCCATTATTATTAAAGTAGGAGGGAAAAAGAAGAAGAAGAAAGTGGCAATTTCAAACAATTTTTTTTTGTAATTTCCTTCTTTATCCATTTACTGAGCTTACTAAATCTTTTTAAAGACATAAATTGCGTTGTCTTAGAAGGAAAAGATGAAATGACATTGCCGGTGAGATTACAACCGGAAACTTTATAAAAAGAAATTCATAAACTTTATTATTGTCTCAATATTTACCTACCATAGTTATAAAATCAATTGTTCATCAAACACAACAAATTGTTTCGTAAAAAATAGACATTTTATGCAAATTTCCTTCGCTCGTTTCCAAGTTAAATTGGTTTTCTTTTAAACTTCATTTGAGTTACTTTCACGCTTATCCTTGCGATTATTGTTGTAACAATGAACATTTTAATATTCAATTATGTGACGATCATCATAATGTTTCATCAAATAATAAAATTTATATTAAAAGAAAAAGGACGATGGAAGCAAGGAAAATGTTTGGCGATTGTGGGCAGGAAGATAAGAAAGAAAATTTGATAATTAGTCAGATTATTCTGCTAAAACATATAAGAAAAAAGAAAGCTTCTTAAAGTCTCTTTTTTTGTTTATATCATGTGTTATTAAATCTTCTATTGACACACGTTTCGTGGATGTTGCAACAGCGCATGAGTGAAGAGTATTGAGAGTCAAGAGAAGCAGTTGAAAAACTGTTATAACATCCTCAAGAGACTGGGAAATCAGGCAAAATATCACATTTATTGTACACCATGAAGATGCTTTTACGAATCCATTCAGTTTTTCTGAGATCATCGCTCAAATCGGTTGGTTTTCAAGCTTACAGAGAAAAATACAAAGAAAAGTGAAGAAAGCATTAAAGACTTTTAAGAAGATTGATGTTTGTTATCTGAGATTATGAAAATTCTCCATAAAGTGATTAATCAATAAAATATAAAACAGTGTCAAACAGATGGATTTAACACAATATTGAGGATTTTATGACGAGCGTTAACATTTGGGATTACGACTGAATGGATTACTCTTTGAATGCGACAGATAAAAAAACATCCGATTAAATTTATTTTAAAAGTAATTAAAAATGAGAAATTATGAAACATTTTTAGAAAATATTTTCACGATTTCATTTCTGTAAACTTTTTAACTTTGTTCGAAAGATTATCTTTATCTTAAGATATTTTTTACTGTTTTATTCTTCATAAATACCTAATTTGATTTGCATGTCATCAAGGCAGTTTCAAACATAATTATATTCCTTTTTCCCTTGTGTGAGGGTGTAACAGTTGAAAAAATTTACAAAACATTTAGTCAACCAAATTCGCAAAGACATTTCTTGTTGCTTTGTTTTAGAATTTCTCTTGCGTACCGTTATAAAATATTTTCATGCTTAGAAGACTCACGTAAAAATTTGAATACATTAAATATGCTATAGTAAAGTTTGAATCTGACAAAAGTCTGTGCTAGAGATAAGCTTCCTGGTGATGTTTCTCAAGACGATGAATTAAACTTTCCGACAGACTGAACAGAGAAAGAATAATATGGGAAAAGTTGTTTTTATTTAATTTGTTTTGAAATATGATACCTTGAGTCTTTGCAATTTGTTCTACTTAACTTCTTCCCTCCTTACATCATGTCTACTTGGTGATACTGAGCACCATATTAAACATGCCATTGTATTAAGGTTGCTGTTTGGAATAATTCACAAAGTTTGAGTTCCTCTTATTTGAGGTCGGAATGTTTGGTTTTCCACTGTTGTAAAGTAGAAGAATTTTCAAACAATCTTCTAGCTTTTTTAACTCATATGCAAAATTTTCTAAGCATTTTAAACAAAAAAAAGGAAAGGAAATAAATGCTTTTGTGACCTCCTAAATAAGAAGAATTTTTGTGTTCAAGTCCATAGATTCTTATTTTTATTTACAAATGCTGACAACGAATGGTTATGGCTTCGTTTTCCTGAAAGCACAAGGGGCTAGTTTTGCCTAACATATTTAACATGTTAATTTATTCGTTAATTATCTGTTGGAATATACAAAGTTCCTTCTCTTTTTTATGATGAAACCTCGTAGATTCTGCAATGCTACAACTACACCGAGAAAGAAAGTTTAATTGCAAATTTATTTAAAAATCTTTAATTCTTTACACTAACTTACTGTTGCCTTTAAATTGTCTTAATAGCTCGATTAATGTATAAAACTTTTCCCTCAACATTTTGCATTTATTTGCACTAGATGTAAATAGTAACAAAGCAAGTGTTAATATTCTCACTAAAGCATGATGAAGTGTTTAGTTAAAAATGGAAAATTAATTACATCGATGGAAATTTTGCTTTTTGAAATTTGATTAACAACATTTGCTAACAAAATTATAAATAAGAGAAAAATTGCTTTTCAACTGTTTTCATCTTGCGAAAAGTTCAATATTTGTGTTTGAGGAGTTGTAATTTACATTCGAATACTTATTTGAGATTAAATATTCGAGTTCGCATGAAAATTTTACGAGAGTTTGAGTTAAACATTTCATATTCATGGAAAAATTTTCAAAAGCTTTTTTCGATTAAATTTTAAGTCATTAACAGACGGTAAGAAATGAGAATTAATTCGCATCAAGGTTAATGCTTTAAGATATATCTTAATTATTCAATGAAGTGTTTAAATCATTATCTCAAAGCTTTGAGAGGTTTTAATTGTTTATCTACAGAAGCTTCTTTTTTTTGTTATAAAATCTGAGTTTATCCAATAAAGTGAATGACTTCAAGATTAGAAGAATTTTTTTCTGTTTTCTTTTTAAGGTTAGTGAAAAGGAAAAAAGTCGAAATACGATAAAGAAATTATGTGAAGTGAAATAAAAAAGGCTAGAGGAAAGACGCTTAAATGAAATTGCCAATCTTTGCTTGCATTCGATTATGGCACTGAAATCAATCAACATTCATTCATCCTAAAAGTGATTTACCACTTCATTGCGTTTAGTCAATGAAGTCAGTTTGAGGTTCATTCAAATCTTGCACTGAAAGAAACAATTCATAAATAATATGCAAGTTTATAGAGAAAATAGAAAGTTTATCAAAAGCTGGCTATTACACCTGTTGACAATAATATGCATATATTCCGATAACTTTAAAATAGGTGAGTAAAGTAGCAAGTCTGTTGTATAGCAATTTACAACACGTCATAAGATAGCAAAATAGTAACGAGATTACACTTTTATGTTGATACGAGTTTGCTCCGTTTTGTATCAAAGTGAATGCTGCTGCTCATTCGAGTGAATTTCAATTTCAATTGAGGAGTTTATATCTTTGAAATGCTTCTCGTAATCTGAACGTGCAGTGAACACGTATCAATATTGAAAAATGGAAAAGCACTACGAAGGTTTGATTCCGTTATTGTTAAATTGTATTTGAAATCTTGCAAAAGGATTGTAAATTTATGAGATGAATCAAAGATTAATCTGCTTAAAATGCATTAGATGAATTAAATGGAATCAGTGAAGTGATACTCATTTTGTAATCATCACCATTTATATATTCTTTCTCGTCTTACAACTTTCCTTTCCCAACAGTATCACTTTTTAAAGCAGCTTATAAAGTATTTAAATACAAAATCATGAAAGTTCAATCTATCCAGATAGTTTCTACAAAACGAATTTTCATCTTTATTCTCCCACCCCAATCTAACATGTTACGAAAAGTTTTGTAATTAAAGAAGGAAAAATGCTAAACACATCGGAAAAGTTTTCTTCCGATAATACTTATCGGATATCTTTTCATTTTCTTTTACTTTGGAATTCTAATCATTAACTTTCAATTTTCTTTGATTCAGCTTTAGCTGGTAGTCAGGTAGTAAATAAAAATGAGCCTATGTTTATATCGAGGTCAGAAGCTTTTAAATTTGCTGTTGGAGATGTGATAACACTTCCATGCGAGGTTACACACCCAGGTAATGTAATATTTCTCTTCATTTCTTACAAAGTGTAGTGAAACATACATTTACCAAAACAACATGAACCTTTTTTCGTTGTTTAAAACACATTTTTAACAATCCCATTTTCTACTTATATGTTTTTTTGTTGTTTGTGTTCACAGGATCTTTCGTCTTGGCATGGAAACGTGGCATTGCCATCCTGACAGCGGGTCAAATTAAAGTTTCGCCAGATCCTAGAGTAAGATTAGTTAATGGATATACTTTACAAATCCGGGATGCTGTTCCGTCAGATGCTGGAGATTATATTTGTCAAATTGGCACATTAGAGCCAAGAGAGATAACGCATCATGTGGAAATTTTGAGTAAGTAAATCGATGGAAAAGTTTCGCTTGAGTGCTGGGAAATTAATTGCGATCATAAATATCAATTATTATTTTCCGTTTCACTAAACAGAATTAACTAACTTATTAATCAAAAGATATCGAACTAATTAATTATTTATTATTTGTTTCATTAAAGTTTCTCGTTTCGACTCTTTAATCTTCCTTCAATCATATTTTCAGAGAAATTTAAATCTGAATTTATTTCCATCTCAATTCATCGCCTGAAAGTCTTGAAGAAAATTCTGAAAATATTTTCTCAATGCTTCTTGGCCTTATCTTGAGGCAAAAAAAAAGGCAGGAAGGCAAATATTTGGAGCATTTCTGATTGTTACTTCGTTCTCTTTTTTTCCTACTTCTCGTCGTGCTTATGCATCAGCAAGCTTTAATATATTTTTCCGAAAATAAATTTTTCCAATGTGTTTTCGTACATCACAAACATTTCCTTTTTACTGCTGGTGCTATTCAGGACAAAAAAAGAAATCATCTGTCAACTCTAGCTGCCTATGAATAAGTCTAGAAAACTTTCTCGACGTTTGGGTGTAAGAAGAAGAAGCTTTTGAAGCTTTGGCTTGCCTTTTGAAACGAGAAAAATGCAAGAAGAAAATGTTCTCTTAGTTTGTCATAAACAAAGCTTTTTCGTTCTCAATTTATGTCAGGGGGGTGAATTTTAAGTTTCTCCATTTTAATTTAATGTTTCATTCCCACTGTTTTTTTTCTCTTTCTTTCTTTCATTGTTAAATTTTTCGCTATCAACTCAGTTCCCCCGAAAATAAATCATGTCACATCTGGGGGCCATTTGCAAGTGAAAAAAGGATCACCAGTGCGATTAGAATGTTCTGCAAGCGGCAATCCAATGCCGAATATCACATGGACGAGGAAAAATAATTTGTTACCTAACGGTGAGTTAAACTTTTCTTAGCTTTACTTTACTTATTCATCGGGAATCAAGATATTTTCGGTTTTCCTTTTCTTCTGCTCCAGTTTTCTTCCTACGCTTTTTTATTTTTTGCTTGCTAATACTTCTTCTCATTTTCTCTTAATTTCTGCTAGAAATTTTTTCGAGCAGCAAACACATAAATATTTGCTTTCATTTTTACTCGGAAGAAGTGAAGAGGAGGAAAAAAAAAACTTGAAATTTCTTATATTTGCTCAGTCGCCATGCAGGAATCACAGATTCACATAAAATGCGATCATTGTATGAAATGAAGTGAATACTCATGTGCTTGCTTTTCGCTTTTGCTTTTCTACGACAAGTGTCAACGACAGGTCGGTCTTACGGTTTCCAAATAAATTGCAAATGGATAGAGCGAATATTAGATCTTTGGTCATTCTTTGCTAGCGTAACAATTTTCTTTCAATGTAAGGATATTTGATGAGGATAGAAATACATTGTGCAAACACCTGGGTATGAGTGTCCACTACTTTATTCTGAACTCAAAGATTTTTCTGCATGAAATTCTTTCCATCAACAACTATGCAGTAAGAGTCTATTTTTTAATACATTTAATAATAACAGAATCAGGTCAAGCGTATATTTTTTATGTTTACTATCATCTTAAACTCATAATGAAAATCTGAAAACAATCTTATCGTCGTCGCTGCTCCTTCTTTTCGACATTGGACTCGTTTAAACTTTGTACACAACTCACGATAAAATTTGAAATTTATGCTGGTTGCTGTATCAGCATAACAGACAGAAAGCTAAAGCAAACTAATTTTGCAGCAATCTTTGCTTCTTAAGAGCTTCAGGAAATTGAAATATATTGGTGGAAAGCACAGTAGCAAAGTGAATAGGTGTTTTAATTAAAATTTATTGCGTAAGTCAATAACAACAAGAACAAGAGAAGAGCCAACAACAGCTGTCGTGCCTAATCAAAAGGCTTCGTTCAATTTCAATAACTTCATGAACAAGTTGAGACGAAAAGAAGAACAAAATGAAAACATTTTGTTAGGCAACCGAACATAATTAAAATTTAATTAAACATGTTTTGAAAGCTTCACATGAGTTTGACGTGCTTTTAATGAGTTTTCATCCACAAATGAGCATGTAAAGCAAATTGTATTATTTTGTGTGCACAAATATTTCTCTTTTTTTTTAAATATCAAAGAAGGTATGAAATCATTCTAGTATGTGATTCGCTAACATTTTCAATTAGAGGCCATGCAGAAATTTTTTTACGCAGTTTTCATTCCTTCTTCCTTTCTGTTTGCTTTTAATTTCAGAAAAGCTCTTACAATTGTCGTCGTATAAAGCAAAGCATAAACTCTGTCATTACATACATTTTTCTGCTGCTTTTTTATATTCACTTTTACAGGGGAAGAGAAATTTGTATCATCAAATTATGTAATTGAAAACATGGATCGTCACAAAGGTGGAACGTATATCTGTACAGCGAATAATGGTGTGGGACAGACGGCTTCTAGTCAAATTGCATTACATGTTTTATGTAAGTAGAATTCCAATTTTTAATTCCTGTTTCTCTGACAGCAACCATTAAATCCTTTCATGTCATTAAATAACTTTCAGAAATTTATTTAGAATGTGACTTCATTATCTATTTAAAGAGATTCATTAGAATATGAATAAATATTTGAGATTCTAAATGTGACAATTATTTGTGAAGTAAACAGGCACGTGGACTATTACAAGAAATGTCTGACATATGCCAAGAGCTGAATGAACAATAACGTAATATTCAATGGAAAATATTCATAACTAACATTTAATTTTCCTTCATATTGTTTAACGTCATCAACATCTTATTTCTTCTTCAGATGATTGTAAATATATATTCGTTGACAATGTTTTCTCTCGCCTGAAATGAAATGTGTCTGGCAACGACGTGCAATAGAATGAATAGAAGCTTAAAAGAAAAGGAAAAGTTCATTCATGTGACAGACAAATTGCTTCAAGTAAAATGTCGTTTCTTGGTTGCTGCTCGAATAATGGCAAAGAATAACATTTAATGTATTCACACTCGAGCAACCCCTCAAACTCCTTTTTCCATGTTTTACATGTTGAAATTATACAATTTCTTTCTAATCCCTCGAGATGAATAAGAAATTTTAGCAAGGGACCTTTTGAATACGGCAAACCATAATTAATTATGCCTTAAATGAGGACATAAACAAGACAGCTTCTTTTTGAATGTTGGGATGATTGCTGAAGGGTCGCAAACAGCACATCTTCTCATCAGTAGTCCATTTAGTTTACCATCTCATATTCACATATCTAAATAGATAACTATTGAATTCAAAGACAAAGACAAAGACTAAGACGGGCGTTCTTTCATGTTGTTGTCATTCTGCTTTGTTACTTTAAACTTTCAACACTCTTGATTGTCTCTCAAAAGATTTACCCTCAAATTAAGTTATCATTTATCTCCAAGACGTGTGAATTTGCTAATTTTTCGTTTTCTTTTTTCCTTTATGGAAATTTGTTTTCAATTTTGTTGATGAATGTTTCCCTTCAACCGTTTGGGAATTAATGGTGCTTGAAGAGACTTTAATTTAATTGAGTGCGAATTTCTTATTTCCTTTTAACTGAGAACGAGAAATATTTACAGATCCGCCAGAAATTGTGGTCGAAAATGCGATTGTATATTCAGGTGAAGGACAGGAAGCGACACTGAGCTGCATTGTTCATGGCGAAACACAACCAGAAGTAATAACGTGATTAATAACAGTGAAAATGAAGCGTTTTAAATTGATAATGGATTTATGTCGATTCATTCAGGTTTCATGGTTGCGGGATACGATGCCAATTGATCAACACAACGAACATTATGCAATGGAGAATCGTGGAACTCGTAACACTCTCACTATACGTAGAGTCAAGAGTCAGGATTTTGGAAATTATTCGTGCGTCGCTGATAATCAATTAGGAAAGAATAAAAAAATCATAACGTTGTCAGGATTGCCAAGAGCTCCACAATTCCGTTCGAACGCCCAAAGCCAGTGGAGGGATAAATACAACATTTCATGGACGGTCGATTCGTATGCGCCTATCGAGGAATACAAATTGTATTACAAGATGCTTACCCACAACAGCGCTGGCTTCCAAAATCATTTAGATGCGTCTATGGATACAAAAAACGTGGATTCATATCCAAGTCATGCCAATTATGTTCGTTAGCTAAAACAAATAATCCGAGAATGACTTGATACTTATGAAACTAATTTCATATCTTTTTCCTTCTATTTTTTCTCCTTATTATTATGATTTGCTTTACAGAAAGATAATTCCAATACATTCGACAGTTTCTCATCCTATTCGAATGGCTATGGCGTTTATCATCGTCCGACAACCGATTGGATTGATTTGGTATTGCAACCGTATCCATTTTCTACGCATTACACACAAGGAATGAGTTACACAATTAAGAATTTGGAGCCAGATCAGCAGTACGAGGCGAAAGTCATCGCTAGGTAAGTTAGTTAGGACAATTAGTTGAGAAGCATTTTTAGTGAGAGAAACAAATGAGCTTAACTCGTGCTGCTCTTATTCTGCTGCACGAATGATAACACTCATCGCTTTTCTGTTCACTAGGCTCATAATAACTTGATTAATGATTGCCAATTTCTCATGAGAAATTTCATTCAACAGGAATCGATATGGTTGGAGTGATTTTTCAGAACGTTTTGTCTTCTCCACATCACTCATAGGTAAGTAGATACTTGCTAAAAAGACGATAAAGAAATTCCTTGTCTTTAAATCAGTTATCGTTACCATGTTGTGAGTTGAAAGAAAAATGATGAAGAAGAAAACTTTATCCGCTTTCACTTTTCTGAAATTAATTTCAACACATGATTTCGTATATTTTTCTCTCCATCCTCCTACGTTCCTTATAATCGCTTTTCCATACTTCATCATTCTTGTGAAGGTATTCGCATAAATGAAGATTGTGATGAAAAATCAATTTTGTTTTCGAGGCTCTTTTCTTTCTTCTCATTCGTTTCAATACTCGAATCGATATCACCACAAGAAAATTCTCATGTAATCGAAAAACGTGAAACTGCATGTACTTACAGTAGAAATTTATGCTTGAAGTTTCTTCAAAAAAAAGCAATTTTCTACATTTTACAAAACATTCAAACCTGATGTGTAAGGATGAAAAAATTCAATTAAATCCGATCAATTACAAAACCTGTAAAGCGATTATAAATTGAATGTAATTGAACTTTCGTTTTGTATGTTTAGTTTACATTGAACTCGAAACTTTTTCTCTAAAACTCTCCCAGGTGCTATCTTCAGTGAAATTAAATTATGAAGCAACGAACAGTAGAAAAAAAATGTTTTTTATCTTTGTGATAATGAAAATTGCAAGATGATTTTCATTAGAGCTTCTTCCATCCATTCACTGTTTTCGTGTTCTTTGGTTCGTTTTTATAAATTAATTAAAACTTTTTTCCACTGATTCTTCATTTGTATGCTTGTTTGTTAATTTTTTTTCTTTTGTTTCACTCTTTCCCTCTTTTTCACTTTTTCTTTCTCATGATTACTTCTTCGTACTTAATTTTGTCTGCTTCTTTCATTTCACAGATACTGAAGCGAGGGATATGGAAGTTAAACACTACACGAGTACATCATCGTCTGTTTTTATATCTTGGAGACTATTAATACTCGTGCTTAATTTAAAGTTTGCTTTCTTTGTTATTCATTACACTAGGTTCCAACGCCTCGATTAAAAACTTCAGCCAGCAAATGGAAATGTTTTGTTGGGAAAACGCTTGCCGTCTTCTTGAAACACAAAAGCGCAAAAAAAACATTATATCTGTAAGATATCTTGTTTCTAATTGAGCTTTTGAGACTTGAGGAAGCAGTTGAAGTTCAGAGGTGTTGTTTTACAAATATAATGAGTAAAATCAGTTGATTTCTTAGCACATGAGAACGAACGAAAGCTCAGTTCAGCAGCTTAGCGATAACGAAAATCGAGGGAAACGAAATCTATTTTTAAGAATTTAATTAATTGAATTAAGTGTAAAAATGAAACCCACACATAAACCTTAAAATTGCCGTCTTGAATTTGATGTTGATTCTTCTTTTGTTGTACAATCAAATATGAATAAAGGAATAAAGTTTTAAACTCTGTAAATAAATTCATATAAGAGAGACATCTCGTTTAAGTGGAATCGTGCATATAATTCGTTACGTTTTCATGAGAATAGAGAATCACAAAACTGTTGATTCAACTTTAGATATTATCAATCTTTTTGCTACAACGTAACGTAATATACGGATGACTCTCCACCGTACACTTTGAGTGCAACTTTGATTCTCATTGTATGAATCTTAGCAAATGCTAACACAAACGACTATCTGCGAATGATTTCATGAATAATTTATTTAATTTTATTATTCATAGTCTTGAAATCGAGTATTTTTGTAATTCAGAATATGAGGATACAAGGTGATTGTTTAAATAAATGTCAAAATACTTTAGTGGTAGCATTAATCTGCGTATGACGATGCTGGTGGGCATTTTTACGCTTCTTTCCCAACAACGCGTTGCCAAGATAAAAACTTAATGTTGAGTAATCAAATGAACAATTTTCATTTTTTTCTCTCATATTTTACCCTTTCGTAACACATTTACATAACGATACCCTTTTATAGATGTGTAGCATAGAGTTGAATCAAAAAAGAAGCATGTAAAATAGTGAAAAAGAAGAGAACATTAAACATAAATGGTAAATTTTGTATAAAAAATAATTTATAAAAGTTTATATTATTAATTAAGTACCAAAAGTTTATATTATAGCACTATCAATAAAAATGTATTGTCGATTGTCGATGAATGTTTTGAATTTATGATTATTATTTAAAGTTTGATTAAAAAGATATCTTCGAGATTATCATGAAGTCCAGGAAGTTGAAGATGAAAATTTCGAAGTCATTTCTTTTTACGATCATCCTTTTAATTAAATTATTGATGAGAATGAGAGTAACATTTAAAAGATCTGCTTTTATGATGATTGTAATGCTGACTGAATCATCGATTTGCGATCAATTACAATTTAATGGACTCTTCGACACCGGAATATTTTAATGTTGAATGGCATTTGCGAAAAGGTACTACATGGGGTGAGCCTACATCTAAATGGTGAATTAGAAGCACTTGAAACGTGATACAAATTTCTATCGAGTTGTTTCGATAAAGCAGATGCTACGAAAAGGCCAATACATATTCCTATCACCATCATCATCATCTCATTTATTTCATAATAGCCAAAAGGTGAAAGTCGATACACAAAATAAGGATCTTTTCTTGAGCTTTTCTTTTTGATAACTTCTGAACCAAAATTAAATGTCTTTCGCAAACGTTAAAAAGAAGAAATTGAAGGAGAAGGAAGAGAGAAATGAGAAGTTTGTATGATAAGGTAAGGAATCGTACGGTGAACGAAATAAAATAAAAATATTTCCGCTATCAACAGTCATGTCGATTGTAGGCGTTGACATATTTCCAAGCAAATATTTTTCATCGTCATTTCTTTCATCTTTCAATTTACTCATTTAAGACAACAGCAAAGATGGAGAATTTTATGTCACAAGATCATCAACAGATATTTAATTTTGTTTATGGAAATTGTTGTGAAATTAAATCACGTTTCAATTTAAAACTCTTTGTAAAAGACATTAGAAAATAATTAGAGTTTCTCATTCGAACGTAATATTTACTGCGAATAAAGATAATTTGAAAGTTATGATGTGTTCCACTTGAAGTCATATAAAATTAAAGACAAACTTTCAGCATAAATAAATCTTTCTTTGCAAGATTCATTTCTTCTACGTGACCTTTCTTGAGAAAACTTTCTCCATTTCATCCAGATTTCATTTAAATATATAAAAAATATTTATGATTGAGTTGCTGCACTCGAAGCCTTTCCTGCTAAAGTATTATAAAAATGTTTTTCCCTCATTTTGTTATTTGTTCAAATTTAATTTTGCTTCTCTATTGGACGTTGATATTAAAAACTTTAAAAATGACGTCACAAAATGATTAGATAAAGAAATCTTATCAAAGACGACTACTTACGTTTGAATCTTTCCCAACAAATAATAACAGAAAATCAATTTATTCTCATGTGGAATGATTAAAATCTTCCGAAGTATCCAAGAGAAAGGAAATAATTATTTTCATTGGGAAATTTCTTTTGACAGGTCGAGTGGAAAACTGTTGTAATTTAAATATTTATTACGTGGAAAGATTTAATGTTATTTCAATCAAGAGAGATTCTTTTAGTATTTATTTATATAGATGGATAATTCCAAGGAACATCATGGCCTTTTTTATCTACGAATTATTGCATCTAAATTGATAACAACAAAACATTCGCCATTGTGATAAAAAATTTATGGAATTTAATTTTGGAGAAGAATTTTTCTTATTTTGTGACTTTCAGATTCCAATACTACGTTATGCAAATTCAAAACGATATAAATTCAACGCAAATATCAATTTCGCATGCCATCCAAGTCATTAAAACTGTTTATTTGTCGGAAGATTTTGTGCAATGAATACGTAAGAAGTGTTGATTGCTTGGTAATTTCACTAGATTTGAGTATGAACGTTTTACATCGAAAATGGCACATTATCAGGTAAATGTTCACCTTCACTCTTTCGTTCTTCTTCTTTTTTTATTTTTTGCTTTCATTATTCAAGTGGAAGTCAGCAAAAGTGCTTTACAAGGGAGAAAACAAGAAAAGGCAAACACAAAATTTTTCTTTCTGTGCATAATGCTTTCAAAATTGTTGGTAGTAGAAAGAACGTGAGCAAGAGTTGGTGGGAAGATGTAAAAACTCAAGCAGAGCACGTTGAAACGAATACCTGTTGGGTGGATGTATAAGCAATTTACCGAGATCGCTGTAATGATATTTCTTTCCCTTCTTCTCTTATTCGCACACAGATGTTTGGGAGTATTTTGTGAACGATCTGAACGAACATATAATAAATTTATTCACGGCTTCATGAAGATGAAAAGCAAATATTCGAAATGGAGATACAGGTGCTTTCTAATCTGTAAGTGATGTAACAGTTAAATCTTTATCGACACGTGAACATAAAAAAACTCCGAACAAAAATAATCGCTCTCAATTTCGATGAAGTGCCTGGATGGATTCAACCTATCTAGGTAGGTAGTCGGAAATATTTTAATTTATTCACCGCAACCTCAATAAGAACTGTTCACCGAACGAATAGTGAATGAAGTTTCACGTTCTCTCACGAAGTGTCATTTCAATGTAATGAGTACGTGAGATGAGAACTGAAAAATAGAAAAAAAGAATAGAAATGCTTTTCGTCGCTGAGTTTCCCTGCCTTGAGCTCCATATTTGTTTCACGAAATAAAACATGCTCCACATAGTAAACGAGTAATACAATAAAACTACCTCAACCGTAGCGCCAGCCACGCTGTTTGCTTTCCAATCTCACAGGATTTTCTTTAGCTCATCATATTCCGCAATGTTTACCATTCAATCGAAATTTCATTCTGAACTTTTCCCATTTGTATCATAATTTTCATCAACTTCCAAAGCCCCAAAGCAAACAGTTGTTTGTAGCTGAAGCGAGTAAATTAATGGGAGAAGAATCTTGAACAACTCAAGCGTTTAGTGATACATCGTGATAAGATAGCATACACACATATAATCGCAATTTGATGATGCCATATGTTAACCTTTTTTTTTCTCTATCGTTTCTTATGCCTTCCTTTTCCAACGTTTTTGCAATCATCCAGCGATGGAATGAAAAAATAATGAAATCTGATTAAATGAACGCTTTTTGCTGCTGTTGCTACTGCTACTACTGCTGTATCGTTTCGATGGCGTAAAAACACAACAACTAAACAATAGCAACAAAAATCCTGTCTTATATGGCTCATTAATACTTACAGCAAAAGCTTAGTCTTTTTTCTCACCCCTGCGTTAAAGCTTTGCCCTCTTTTTTCACTCTCTGTTTTTTAGGATTGCCTTTTCATTTTGATGTTTCTTAACAGCAAGAAAGCAGAGGAAAAAAGAAGGAGAAAGGGAGTAAGATATAGTTAAAGAAAAGGGAAAAAAATAATCTTGTTCTGTGCTATTTTCACGCCACTTTCTTTCCTTCTCCCGCTCCACTTATTTGCTACTGAAAATGTTTGCGTTGTTTTTCTTAGCCACTAAAAATGTTTATAAACGATTTCACGTTGCGAAAGATCCTTTCAATTTAATTTTCATTTATTTTCGCTTTTACCGTGTCTTTGGAACGACGACAACGCACAAACAACAGAAAATATTGTTCATTATGTGTCGCACTGTCGCACCAGAGTGCGTGGTGGGAGTAAAGTGAAAGGAAAAAGAAGCAAGAAATATGAAAACTGAAAGGCCGAAGGAACGAAAGAAAGTTTCTGGCGGCGCAACACAATGAAAGAATGCGATCTGAGTCTTCTTTTAATGAATTTTTATATTTTCGATAAACATTCGCAAGACGCCACTGAACTTTTGTCATCACAGATTTACGCTTTGTCATTTTGGACTATTTTTCTTTTCATTTTAATACCACAGGCTTAGGAGATGAATTTTCCGCAACAGCGTAACTTAATTAACACAAAAATCAATCAATATTCAGTTGTTTTTTTTTCTTAGGGTAGGAAAAAAAGAGAAATTCTTTGCGTTAGACACTGTTGTTGTACTGTACGTCACAATTTATTTATCATCGTGTTTTCGACAAGTTTAAATTGAGAAAAATGGTCTTTTCTTTTGTTCGGACTGAGCTGTAAGGAAAATAACAGAAAAAAAGTGAAAGTAATTTAGGGTGGAGAAGTAAAAGAGATTTAGGGGGGAGGGGGTCACGAAAAAAAAGCGCTCTGAATTCCAAATTATGATAATTGAGTTATATACTCTACAAAATAGAAGAACGTGGATAATGGAAATTTATGAATTTGTGTCCTCAGGAAAAGCGAACGAGACAAAGCCTAAATTTCTCATGAAGAATGGAACATGACCTAAACTGTCACGACTTTTTTCTTTGTCAACCCAAATCGAGGATTGATTTAATGAGCCTCCAAAACTTTCACTTCCTTTTTTAAAATAAAATTTTTACATTTTCTACAGTGATAAATGTTATGCAATTTGTTTACTTTCTTGTAAGAAGAAGAGAGAGAGAGAGAAAGAGAGAGAGAGAGTGGTTTATTCGATGGGCAAAAGTGAACGATGTCTAATGATTGTAATTAAGTTTGATCTTTTTTTTATCATTATTCTGCCCAAAAAATATTTCCTTTCACGAGATAAAAACCAATGAGCAATAAAGGAAAGGTTTCAAATGTAATTTAACGCTTATGTCAGTGTATCCAAGCAACTATGCTTCGAGACTTATCTAATTAATACGAATTAGACAATAAATCGAAATTAATTTGCAAGAATTTTGTTTTTTTTCCTACTAATGAGATCAGAAAGGCTCAAGGTTCAATGAAATTGTTTTGGTAAAATTTTTGTTTTGTGCTCTGAAAGTGCCAAGTGCGAAAATATCTTAAATTGTAATCGACTAGACTGTGAATTGAATCAAACTGAAAATTAAGCATTTAGATAACAACTTCCTCTGATGTGAGACCAGATTATCTAATTGTGTGAATAAATTTCTTATTCTCATCAATTATTGAATCCAAAAACTTGTTTATGTACATAAATAACTTGTACTCTGAGCTAAGAAGAATGAGATAACTTTTTTAAATACAATCTGCTCTTTCTACCCTAACAGCATCATGACAGAAGAACATTTATCATCTTGAATTCATAAATGACCCATTAAAAAGGAACTCAATAAAAATGAACTGAAATCATTAAGGCAATTACTATGATTTATTACATTGTAAACACATGGATTTGTCCTATTTTTTTTTAACTTTTCTCGTTGAAACATTTTCTTAATTATGAGACCAAAAGCAGACCATCTGGTTTAATTTAAGTTAAAACGAATTTAACAGAGAAAAGAAATCTTTAAATGCTTTCGAGGAATTTTTACGATTGTGAAACAAGAAACTCATGATATTCATTATAATCTGAGCGTCTGAAAATCCAATTGTTACCGAACATTTCAGGGAATATTCTAACAAATATTTTATGAGCTTAAAATTCCCAGAAGAGCTATAAACTCAAAACAAAAGATAGTGCGTTGAAATTACCTACTTTATAACGAAAGAAAAAATAAGATTTCTTTGCAAAGAGGAAAATTGCAATAAAGCGCTGAGATGATAAGAATTCCAATAAAATCTCTCCGCTGCGAAGGCTCCACGTTCCCGGAAGAGGAGAAATTTAATGCGAGATACTCATTTACATAAAAAAAGCAGGAAATCCAACTTGAAGGATCGACTTTAAAGATTAAATTCTTCACGTAAAAAATTTATGTTGAAACATTCCTGAAAAGTTTCCACTTACAAAAGGCATACAAAACGTGCTTTTATAGCTTTTACACATTTTCACCACAGCTCAATCGTAGCGGAAAGAAATGCTTAACAGCACAAAAAAAACTTTGATGATTAAGTTTTCCAGTATTTACAGAGACGCTCTTTTATCAGGAGTCGTGCTATAGTCAAAACCAGAAGTTTGAAAAAAAGCTGAGAAAGTAAACTTCACAGAACATAAAGCATAAAAGTTTATAACTCAATTATACGAATGTGAATGATATAATGAGCTAGACGACGTTCTGCATGATGTGTTGATATTCAAACTAAACCTCTTTTATATACCTGTTGATTATCGTGTTTGAAGTGTGAACTTTTAAAACTCTTTCCTGGAGGAAGAGTTGATAAGAAGAATTAAATTAATTCTTTTAAAAAATGGAATCTAAAGATTTGTAAGAATACTTTTGAAAATTTTGATATTATTTGCTGTATTTGTGTTGCAATTTTTAAGGATTTCTGCAACATTTTCAGTTAGTCTTAGTTCATTAGACGTTTGCTTTAAAAGCATGCTCGACTCAACATAAAGCTGCACAATTCCTATCGAAACTTTTCTTTACATTTTGATGTTTAATAGTCAGAATACTTAAACTAAGACTCTCAAGGCATAAATCCATTTATTTGTATATTTTTACATTTTTAGTTTTCATACACAAATGAACAAGCTTTGAAAAAGATGAATTAAAAAACTTTTCAAATTTTTGCTTGTGAAATTAAATTGTGAAAATTTATTAAAAGTTGACTCACATTTTCAATGATGAAGCATAGTTTTGCTATCGAAACGATAAGTTATGCTACACAAATCATAAACATTGATACAACATATGAAAAGATATTTCCAATCGGAAACATTTGAGTACAAAGAGCTTCCCTACAATAAATAAAAACTTCATGAAAAAAGCGAGCATTAATAGTTAGTTAGTAAACTAAAAATGATAGCATTGCATGGAATACTGAAATAAATATAAAAAAATCTCAACAAAAGAGCAGATTGCAATCACATCTCTCAATGATGATGATGAGAAAAGTTCACCAACGCGTTACAATTACTGTCCATGAAATCGTTAGATTTTCTAAACGCAACATACATTTAAGCTTGATAGCTGCAAAATATCTTTCAAAATGTTTCTCTCTATAAGCTTTGTTGCAACGTTATGAAAACAGAGGGAAACAAATGTCAAAAAAAAAAGCTCGTCATGAAGAAAAATGGCCAGAAATTTGTGTCCAATGACCTATAAAAACTCCATTTTCATTGTTATGTTTGGCTATGAAAAGAGTTTTTTTTTTGAAGTTTCAGAGGCCAGATATTTAATGATATATATGTAGATGTCATGCATATACATAAACGTATATATAAAGATGCAAATGAAAACGAATGTTTTGCAGATTTTTGAACTGAGATGTACAAAAATAAACTTTTTTAAAAAGTTTTCATCTTGTCCATTTTCGTTCAAAGCACGTACTTCGTTTTATATCCCCTTCCATATACTTCCTTTCCTAAAACACAAACATCAAATGTATCGTAAAACCACCACACATTTTGAAATAAATGGACATCTTACTCGTTGTTGAGAAACTCGATTGTGGAAATGGTCAACACATAGAACTTCATTTTCAATTTTCCACTTATCATTTCATTGATTTCTCTCTGCGTTGAAAGCATTTCTGCGTGTTTCATTAACAGCGTTGTTGATGACGGGATTGAGGAAACGAGAACAAAAGGAAAATGTGTTTTACGCTGGTATTGTTTAGAAATATTTCTTCAATCGCTTCATCAATTGGAAAGATACAAACGAATGAGAAAAATCATGAAAGAAGAAAGAAACCGATAAATAGAATCGAAATGGAGTAGAAGTAGAGATAAATTAACGAATTACGGTGATTGAGCATAAAGTTTCAGATTAAATTATGCTGTGACAAAAATTTATGCAAAATGATGACAAAAGAAAATTGACGAAGCTTTGAACTTCTTATTTCTGCTTTCGGTGAAAACTTTGTCCTTCGAATATTTTGTTTTCCTTTCATTTCAAAAACAGCAGACTTATCTCTATAAAAGTCACGTTTTAAAATTATTTTATAATAATTCGTATCCAATCGGCAGTGCTGAGTCGAAAAAAACTTTGCAAGCCCATTTTATAAATTTTCACTTGCGAAACAAAAAATAAATTGAAGGCATCTGAAATATTGTCACACAAATGTTGACAAGAAGTCAATGATTGTATCGACGCAGCTATGACTTTGGAATCTCAAAGATAATCGAATTCTCTTCTTTTTCTTCTTCATCTTCAGAATTTTCCTGTTTAAAAGTTTGCCTATACGGCAGGCGAAGATTTCTTTTTTTTTGATGATGCAATATCAAAAAATTATTTCACTCTCAAATTTTTGTATCTACAAACATACTAACACGACAATTTCTTTTTCATTCTAGCGGTGAATATATTCATCAAAAGCGGCATGAAAAGGGAGGAACGAGAATGTATAAAACGTTCACAAACTCAATTTGAATTTCATTTTCAATCGGGAGCTGGAGCATTGCATATTGGAAAAAGTTTTGTGTTTTATTATTATTTTCGTTCAGTTAAATTGAATTCTTCTTGTTAGTTGGAACTGTAGCCGAATGATAGAAGTTATATTTGAATTTTAATTATTTTGTGCATCTTACTTGAGGCAAGTTTTATTCATTTTATGATATTTTCAACACTTGATAAAAGTTTCTTCGCAAACAATTAATGGGAAATTGTTAAACTCTTTAAGCATTAAAGTTAAGTCTTCTAAACTTTCAAATAGTCAATTGAATTAATAAACATTGTGTGATTATTAACATTAAAATATTCATGTTGGAAGGTGAGGAAATTTGTTCCAACAACATAAATGCGAACATCTTAAATGTTCCTAAGAAGCTTACATCAAGAAGCATTCTTTAAATAGAAAAATCCTTATTAATGACTACTTAATGTATGCGAGAATTTGATGATGTATTATTAGTATTTACGTCATAATTTTTTTCATCTCTTCAACATAAAACATTTGTCAAACCCACGTGTAGACTGAAGTAGTAGGAAAGAAGAAGGAATGTTTACATATTAACAACCTCACTCAAAAAAGCAGCTGTTTACACTCACAAGTTAAATAGTTAAATCTGTGTTTAATCTTCACACTTTTATTTATTCTGTCTAATTCGAAAACATTCAGACAGTCTCGGAAAGGTCATTAATCGTTTAATGTTGTATTAATTTATTCATGTTAATAGATTGTCATTAAAAATTGATTAATTCGTTATCAAAATCTCACAATTGACAATGTAGCAATCAATTTGTAATCTTTTCATCTTAATTTGTACGTTTATTGAGTAACAATCACTTGTTGCTTCCAAAAATTTAAATCACAATTAAGTTAATTTATTTTTTTTATGTTACAGGTTGACACTTTAAATTCATTGGGAGAGACGAACTGATAACCCTCGTAGCGCAATGTGTGGGATATTCGCAATTTTCGGTAATTCGGACAGCAGTGATACAAATTACACGGGAAATGGCGCTACAAACGATCATGAAGATTCAATGAAATCTTCTAAAGAGTCATTAAGAGAAATGGCATTCAGATGCTCGAAAAAGCAACGTCATCGTGGACCTGATAAAACTGGAGTCGTTCATTTCGAAGACGACAATGTAATTTTAGTGCATGAGCGATTAAGAATTGTTGGTGTTGCACATGGCGATCAGCCGTTGCAAAATGATAACGGAAATGTCACTTTAGTAGCTAACGGCGAAATTTACAACTTCTTACAAATTTCCGATGAGTTGTCATTGTTTTATGATAAAAAGTACGAAGCTAGAAGCGACTGCGATGTTATTATCGGATTATATGAGAAATATGGTGATGATTTGGTGTATCACATGACTGGAATGTTTGCATTTGCATTATACGATCGTAAGAATAAAAAAGTTTTCGCTGCACGTGATCCTTTCGGAATACTTTCAATGTATATTGGTGAAGACGTTTATGGAAACATTTGGATAGCAAGCGAGATGAAATGTTTAGCGGAAAAATGTTCATACATACAAAACTTCCCTACAGGTAAACTTTTTTGCAAGCAAAGCTTGAATTCCCTCATGACAAACTTAAAAGATAACAAAACAACTTTCTTTAAATTTATAAGCTGTTATTCCATACACCACGCGAAAAAAGAAGAACTGTAGAGTGGAAGTAACTTCAGCATTTATCTTGATAAAAAAATCTTTCATACCAATTTACAGAAAAATTTCATTCACTTAATTTTCTTTCTTTCTCTTTCGGTTAATCATAACTTTCGTTTTTCATCTCTTTCATTTCAACAACAGGAAGTTTATTTTCTCATCAACTTGGGACATGCAACAAGTGGAAATTTGAGAAATATTATAAGATTGATTGGATTAAAACTGTTCCCAAGCAAGCAGTTGATTTGAAAATATTCAGAGAATCTCTTGAATCTGCAGTTCGTACGCATTTACAATGTGAAGTGAAGTTTGGTGCACTTCTCTCAGGTGGAGTTGATTCATCCCTCATTGCTTCAATTTCAAGTAAAATCATGAGGGAGAAAGATCCAAATTACAAGCTTCAGACATTCAGTGTTGGATTGAAAGATGCTCCAGATTTCAAGTATAGTCGAATGGTTGCAGACTTTATTGGAAGTGACCATCATGAAGTGCATTTCGAAGTTGAAGATGGAATTGATTGCATTCCGGAAATAGTTTATCATCTAGAAACTTACGACATCACGACAATTCGTGCTTCAATTCCAATGTATTTGTTAACTCGTTACATCAAAAGTTGTGGACTGAAAATGGTGTTGAGTGGTGAAGGTGCTGATGAGATTCTTGGTGGATATCTTTATTTCCACAACGCACCGAATCCTGAAGAGTTTCATCGTGAAACAGTCTCGCGTGTCATGAATTTGTGGTCTTCTGACTGTCTTCGAGCCAACAAATCAACGTTGGCATGGGGTGTTGAATTACGAGTTCCCTTCTTGGATACAAACTTTGTCAACTATTCAATGAGCGTTCGTCCGGAAGATCGCATGATAAACTCTGACAACAAAAGCATTGAGAAATTTATCTTGCGTGAGGCATTCGCAGAAAATTATTTACCTGATGAAGTGTTATGGCGTCAAAAGGAACAGTTTTCTGATGGTGTCGGTTACAACTGGATTGATTCAATTCGTTCTTATGCCGCCAGTCACATAAATGATGCACAATTTGAACGTGCTAAAGAAAGGTTTCCATTCAACACGCCACTAAGCAAAGAAGGTTTCTTTTACCGTGAAATTTTCGAGAAAATATTCCCAAATAAATCATGCATAAAGACGGTACAACAGTGGATTCCAAGACTTGATTGGGGTTGCCCAGCTGACCCTTCTGGCCGTGCACAAAAGGTTCACCTCGCCACCAAGAGAATTGATGGATGATGACTAAGCACAGTACATAGTGATGATGACATCTCTCTCTCGATTAAGAATAAGTTTTTACTTCTTTCTTTATATTCACAGATTCAGAAATCTCGTAAAAATAAATTTCGCGGAAATGATGGCGTTGTTGTAATTTTGATTGTGATTTAAATTTAACTTTCATAGCACATTTTATTGTCAAAGCGCAAAAGATATTAAATAAGATAACCTTGTCGACGATAAAGAAATTAAAAAGGCATCATGAACGATTTAAATGCATAAAAGCACACGGCACAGAGATTATGGGGCGGGCTCAACGCATGAAAGAATCATCGTAAAATTTTATTTGTCTCTCTTGTTCGCTTCCTTTTCCTTTGTCGTCATTGTTTCGTTCTTCGTTCTCGGTTCAAGGAAAGGCGACAACGACGATGTTTTCATTCTCAAACGAAGAAAGAAAGAACGTAAAAAAAGGCGAGATCTGTGAAATCGTCGCTTGTTGAAAGCATATGCGGAATCTTTTGTTCGCATCATCTTCCTTTGATAAATCTGACGTGATGATTTCAGGATATACCGAGCGAGACGTCGTCGTAAGTGAAATTTGGTGTAAAACAAAATTTGAATAAAATTGTCGTGAAAATTGTACTTCATTCCAAAGTTCGAAAATAAATATCGCTCTCTATTGTTTGACTTCTCCGTTTCAGTAGCAAGTCATATAAATTTCTCGGCTCCGTTCGGGTGGAAATAAACGAGAAATAATGGCAGAGAAAAAAAAGTTTCTCCTTTCATTCTTTCTTTTGCCAAGCTTAATTTATCATAATTTGAATGTTATTTAATAATATGCTTCCGGAATCAATGAACATGATTGAGCAGAATTTTTTCCTTGTTTTCTTTTTAAAGGGAAATAGAAAAAATGTGTCACGTGTCACGTCGATTCAATTCTTTCTGTAGTCAAAAAAATGAGGAAAAGTTTATGAAAGAATGAAGAAGAAACGAAACAATGCATAGAAGACATTCTTTTGAAAAAAAAAACTTTTTATCACTTCCGAGCTGTGAGCAATTCTCCAAAAATCATTTAAGTTGAGAATCACTGTCCTGAGTTATAATTTCGTCGCTTTTGATATTATTGCAAACAATTCTGTTTCATGAATATTCGTTTGCATAATTTTTCATTTCCCCCAAACAGAGGAAAATTCATGAAAAAAATATGATCAGATACTTGCGTTAAGGTCTCAAAAGGAATATTTCCTCAATTTCATTTTAAGTTTTCCCTTATTGACGATATTCACAGCAAGCATAAAAAAGTATTTCACACTCGCTTCCACGTCTGATTTATATTCACTCGATGTCTCTTGACATTTTCCACTCGTCGCTCGTTGGAGGGTGAAAGTAAATGCCATTTTTTATGTGACATAAAAATAATAAGCAACACATTTATGTCTATACATATGTATCGAAAAATTTTCATGCGAATTCTATTTTTGTTCGTTTGTGAAGGTGTTTGTTGAGTGTTGCGAACGCTCAAGGATACTATGTGTTTATGTATCCTAAATATATATGTTAATAACAAAAAAGATACTTCGACAGGAAGCAAACCATGCTCAAGAAACGCCGCACACCAAAATGATTCTTTTTTCCGCCGAAAACTCAGTAATGTCGGCCAATATAAAAAGTATTATAATGTGTTTATTACGTAATAAAAATAAACCGACCATTGTAAGAATGAAATATCGTAATGCGAAAATGTATACACATCAGTAGCATCACAATGCAATGTGAGTTCAAGCTCTAAAAATATGATTATTATCATTATCGAGCATCATAAAATGATATGACTAAGGGGGGAGAGCGGCAGCGGCAGCAGAGAAAAAAATAAAAAAATAATCAATATCTCTCATTTCAATACGGTCAGACATTGCTTGAGCCTCGTACAACGCGAACAAAGCTCTCAGATCATGACGATATCATGATGCTTTATCGTAAGAAATGGTTTTTAAAGGAGCTTTTAATGCTGAATGTATTGAATTTATTTTTCTTTCATTCCTTCAACTTCATTTTTCTTTTAGAAGAATAAAGCTTGGGAGATTAACGACAATAGAGATAAAAACTCTTAAAGCTCTGTTTCTTTATGAATTCTCTTACAATAGCTATTCCAATGTACTGGAATTTATGGGGCATAGACTGTAGAGATGTCTGCCATTCTAGACGCAAGAGAAAAAATCACTACTTACAGCACATTTTCCCGATTTGGACTTCTTGCCATTTGCATCGCTTGAAATTCATTTCGTGCATTGCATTGTATAGAAATAATCTTTTTTTGTTACTCTTTTCATTTAGTTTTCATTGCAGCCAAACGTATGGTTAGTATGAGTGCATTAAGAGCTAAACTGAATTGCAACCAGAGAATAATATATTTTAATTAAGATAGATAAAGCTCTGTTAAGATGAATCTTCTTCGTGTTCTTCTTTGTTTTAAATCCATACTAAATTTTATTTTTGTTACTTATGCTTTTATGGGAATTTTTTATTTGTAAGTGTCGCAATAATCTTGAAGTTTTGTGAAAGGAAATTTCAAATCTTTTTATTAAACGAAACTTCCGAATGTGTCCATTGCCGCACGGAATCAGGTACACAAATTTGCAAGTGTGAATAAGCAAATTTCCCTCTGCAACAAACGAGCCATTGTATGTCAAAAGCACATAAGAACATAATATAACATAATTCTTAGCATACACAAATATCTAAGCAACATACAGCATAAAAAATAAATGATGAACAGTTCCGACGTACCAAATAATATTTATTGTTTGTAAGTAATCCGCCATGAAGTGTTTTAAAATGTGAAATGATGATTGTGAGTGGCTTTGCTTTGCTGTTGTTGATGAGCTCCATTTATCATTACGATGATGAGAAAGTGACTGTTTTAAGTGCATAAAAACTCTTCCAACTCGGAAAAAATTTTCATTTTTGAAAAGTTCCGCGGAAACAATTAGTTTAACTGTGAAAGAAGCGGAGAGTGAGAGGTTCGTAGACATTTTTAATTGTTCTTGCATGTTGCTTCATCATTCATTATCTCCAGGATCGTTATTGTAGATTTAAACGCTTTCCACTTTTGCCGTGTCCGCTTTCGTTTTCCTCCGCTCGTTATTTTTCATCATCATCACAAGAGAACGAACACGAGGATGAGTTGGAAATAAAATCATGATGACTGTTAAAGTATTCATCATAATTAGTACTCTGGAGAGTTTTCCATTTTACAGCTTTTGGTTTCAACCCAAGCTTTAGGACTTTGCAGTAGTTATCATCCACAACATCAAAAGTTTTGATTGCTTCAAAAATATTTATTTACTCAATGCAGCAATTGAAGGTTTACACCGTTTTAGGAGATGAAAATTCTTCTTGGAAGGAATTGAATTATTTATTTTTGTACATATTTCTAGCTGGAGAAACCCAAGAATTATTTCAATTTATTAATACTTTCGAACAGAGAAAAGTTTAGCAATCTTTTTTTAGAATGAACGTCGTCGGAGAATATTTTGGAAGAAAACTGCAAAAAGCTATTTTGAGAATAAATCTTTTGTTTTCTTTAAGAAGATAAGAACATAAAGTAATGTTCTTATCATGATCAATGCTAAATCACTTTCTCATTAAAAGGAAAGTCAATTAATTTTTCCTTTCCAGAAGATTTTATTTTGTTGACTTGAAAGTTGCTCCATAACTTTATACATTTATTTAAAGAGATTGTGATTTGAAGATGCATACAATAAAAACATTTAACAATCATTTAAGAACGATATATCATAACTATGAAGAGAATTACCATTTGAATAAGTAAATCCCATTTCAATTCCAGATAATAACTTCAAATAGAGAAGATAGTCAAACTTTGCTTCTTTTTTATTTCATTCTTATCCATGCAGCACTTGAAAAGTAAATAAATTGAATAATATATGAACATGGCATGTGAGAGCCACGGTAAATCCAACAATGAAGGAAGCTCTTGAAAAGGCAAATTGAAATTAAACTTGAAGAATTTTCTCTCTTCTCCCTAAAGAAAATATTTTCTCGAAAGAATCTTTGGGTGTTTTGGGTTTCTTTGATGAAAGCTTCAACGTGGTTTTGGATCGAAAAGAACTTTCTACAACTTCTCTGGGGAATGTTCGTTCAGACTTTAGTCTATGAATGAATGAATGTTGATACAATTAATTATTTAGAGACGTTATTATGAGTAAGTCAAGATTTTCTAAAAGGAAGAAACTCACTGGAAACTTCATGGTGAAAATTCTTTCTCTCTAGTTGTAAGTAAGAAAAGCCATATATCTTCCAAAGCCAAAGATCCACATCCATTAGCCATCTCAGGGTTAATATCATTTTGTGGATTACTAAAAGACATTTTTTTTTCTTTTTCAAGCTCTGATATATCTTTCTTGGGAATGTAGAGGAGAAAACCCTTTTGAGTTTGTGGCGAGAATAAATTTTTATGTTTTATGATGTCAACTTCTATAAAATTAAATATTTCAATGTCCTATCGTAAGCCTCAAGATTGTTGAGGGCAAGCAGCAAGTTGCGTCGATTACCGACAACGATTGAGGGAGGATGAGTGAGAGAGAAAGAGAAAGCAAATTTCAATAATCAAATTATAAGCCCTTGAATAAATTCCAGTTGTATTATAGCTTTTATATCGTTTTTCTTCAGGGCCTTCCTTCCTTTAAAATGTACACACATATATTTGATATTTTGTCGTATTTATAGCTAAATGATGAAAGAAAGCCCGCGAGAGAAAAAAAGAGAAAAAGAACGAATAAATATTTGTTGAAATTAAACCATTATTTCTGTCTCAAAATCCTTATGATATCAGATTCGAAACATTCTATGTGAGCTTTCTATAAAGAAATAAAGAAATGAAATTGCATTGAATAAAAGCAGTCAAGCGAGTAAGCAATAAAAGTTCATTTAAAGAAAAATGATGAGACTCTCAATCCATATAGACTTTCATGTAAATGATGAGCGAAAGCTGAGAACAATTTTATTTCATTATTAAATATTTTCTCGTTATCAAAAATTATTCATAATTCTTCTCTTTTTTCGTTGTTTTCGTTGTAAATCTTGTTGGCTCAGTTCGCGGTGCGCAGTGAAACAAAGATAATCATTTTTAAAGAAAATTAAGATGAAATGTTCTCGATTATACATAATTTTCATTATTTTTTCCGGTTCAGCAGTTCAAGGAATTTCCATTCCAGAAGTTATCGTTAAATATTCACAGGAAAAAAGGCAAATTCAATTTTCACTTCAAGGTTTGTACATAAATATCTCAGCAGATATTTCTTTTGATAATATGCTCAAGACATACGACACACAATCTAATTTTGTTTCTTTACTCTTGTCACATTCAAGAGGATGGCAATGTCTTTAGCAATGTTCGATTGATCATAATAGCATTGAAGAACGATATAAATAATTCAAAACTTACCGACGCTCAGTTGATGAGAAGTCATAATGGATTGTGGGTTTACGAGAAAGAAAACTTCGATGTGACTGCAAATGAAAGCATTGAATATTGGTTGAGCGTTGAGTATTTCAACTTAGGTTATTACATGAACAAAGTTGTCAGAGTTCAAGGTAATAATGATGATGTAGAACGTCATAGATTTACATTAACCCAGCACTAATATGTAACTAATACTCATGTCGTTTCTATTCTAATTATTATATATGGAAATGGAAATTTAAAGACATAATGCCAGAGGCTGAATTGAAAACATTTGGAGACATGACAACTACAGCACCACTTACCACCCCCGTTTCAATTCAGACCACAAAGCCAGCAGATTGCGAAGCTTCTGTCACAACCGTTAATGGAAAATCAGTTGGTTGCAAAAATTCCATTATTTTCAATGAAGATTTTAATTCAGATAACTTGAAACATTGGAGTTTCGATACAAGATTCAGTGACAGCGCGGCGGATGCCGAATTTAATGTTTACGAGAAACGAAATGAAACTTCATACATTCGAGATGGAATTTTAGTATTGAAAAGTGAGTTAATGACGAAATTGAATACGTTTGATGATACACGAATACGAATCGGAAACTACAATTTGCAGGAGAGGTAATGCTTTTCATTAATTAATTAAAATGGGGTGAAAATATAAGCGCTTCACTAAATTCTCATTTTGTGCTTTTCTTCTACGAACTTTTAAATGGATTTAAATATTTGTACACATTGCTTTTCTCATAAGAAGAACTTGATTTCATTCCCTCTTTTTGATGTTTCAAACAGAGCATAGAAGAAAGGTTTAAACGAACTATCACTTGCAGATGTACACCAATTTTAACAGGAAATGAGAGAGAGTGTGAAAGACAAGGAAGTTTTGGTTACATTCTGCCTCCAGTTACATCATCCTATTTAACAACAAGAAATAAATTTTCTTTCATGTATGGAAAGGTTCAAATTCGATGTCGAGTCGCAAGAGGAGACTGGTTGTATTCGCGTAGGTTTTCCTTTTGTGCTTTGATTTCTTTTTTCTTCTTTCACAAATTTTAATCATTTCGTCCCTTTCAGAAATCCTACTGCAGCCTATAGTTTCTGAGACAACAAGCTTAAACAGCTCAAGGCATTTAAAAATTCTTTTTGTTCGTGGAAATGAAAATCTTGTTGATGGTCAAGATAACGTGGGCGGTTCAAGGGTTTATGGCGGAGCAGTTTTATCAAAGAATGTTAAAAATAACGAAAAATGGTTGAAGGTTCTTTAAAGCAAATTGAAATATTATTCATTAAACTAATTAGGTAAATATTTCAATAGAGCAAAGAATTCCCCAACGACCATCTTGGCAATGAATTTCATGTTTATGAATTATTGTGGACACCATCACAAATTTCACTTTCCATCGATGGAAAAAGTTATGGTTCACTGCAATCAACTTTAAGAGAGTCTGCAATAGAAGCTAAAATAAAATCAGCTGTGAACTGGGCAAACAATGGCCCATTCGACAAAGAGGTGAACAGAAATTCATTTGATTTCAATTTATATGATAAAATTCCAATTCAATGGACTTTTTGTTTTCATGCACATTTAGCATTTTCTTTCAATCATGGTAGCAGCAGGCAGTGTTAAGAATTTTTATTCAATAAATTCAAGCATGGTAAATGGAGCAGAACAGAAAGAGAAACCCTGGAGTGACACTGGTTAGTTATTTACTTTAAAACACATTGCTACTTAACAGATAATTTTCTGCCATTAAATATTTATCTAATCTCTTACTCATTAGATCCAAGAGCTGAATACAGCTTCTATTTAGCTCGCGATAAATGGTATCCCACATGGATAAAACCTACCCTTGAGGTAGATTACATAAAAATATTTTCTGTATAATAAATGTGGATTTAAAAAACTGTTAAACAATTTTATTTCTCATCTGATTTCATCAAAGAATATTTTGTTCGTATTATTACCGTGGAGTTTTATTTTCAATAAAATTTAATCACATCGTAATAATAAAACTAATGGGAAGTTCAAATAATTAAAACAGCTACCTAAATATGTTCAAATTAGAAGAAATTTGAGTAAATTTTTGAAATTACATCCTACCTAGGTGATATGCAGATAGAAAGTGAAATCTGAATCGTGGGAGTACAGATTTGTCAAGAGATTTGTTGAAATATGAGAAGATGAAGCAATTAAATTCTTGAACAAATTACGTTAAGCACTGACGTCTAAACATGTTGTTGAAAATATATTAAATAAATTCCATGTTTAAAAACATAAGTGTTTATTTATGAATAAATATAACCTAATGTATAAATATCTACGTTTTTAACAATTTTTCTTTAAAAATTCCTTCATTGAGAAAAACGTTTTTTCAAATTCTTTTAAACCGTTCAATGTGAAAGGTTCTAACAATAATTCTTTCTGAAGAAAAACTACTTAAGTAAGAATTTCATAAATTATCTCTCAATATCAAGTTCAGTTAGTTATCATCAAATGAATATGATTGAGAAACGTCTAAGAAGAAATATTTATCAATGTTTTCTCTTTGATATTCTCGCAATACTCAATTTAATTGAAAATAAATCGATTTCCTAAGTAAATGTGTAAACATCATTAACAATGGATTGAACAAATTCTGTTTTTATTATTGTTTTGCTGCTGATTGAATGTAGTTTCGAAAAATAAATAAAAACAGATACATTAAGTGATATTAACGAACAAACTCATGTGTTATTTTAAGAATTACATAGCATAAACAGTGCTATCATTACAAGTAGTGTGTCTCATAGAAAATAAACAACAAAGAATCTCTAATTGCTATTTAAATAAGTAGAACACGTCACATAAATGTTTTTGAACAAAATAATTAAGAAATAATGAATCTGTTGAACATTGATACAACAAAAGAGCTGTACATTCCAACAGCCTCTATAGTCATTTCGTCTCCTACAAAAATAGCCAGCCCACACTGCTCTCCAAAAGATCGAATAAACTTTTGCTTAAAAGTTTTTAAGTTACTTCGTCGAAGTATCGTTTTGAAATTTCTCCTACCCATAGCCTTCCTAGTATTGATAATAATGTTTCTAATGGCGTTTAGAAACTCAACCAAAGAAGTTCTAATCTGGATGGAAACTCAGAATTCATGGATAACATTTTTTATATTTTTATTGCTTTTCACAATCGTCAGTTTTCCTTTTTCTGTTGGTTATCTTGTACTCATCATTAGTTGTGGATATATATTTTCACTCACAAAAGGATTTTTTGTAGCTATGTTAGGAGCAAATTTGGGTGTGCTAATTGCACATCAGACTATTAAAAACACCCAGAAAAGGTTTCCAATTCATAGGTGAGTAGATCTTCTCAATAAAGTAATCTGTACTTAAAAGTGATGTTTAAAATCAACAAGTTTGACATTAATACACAAAACAATCAGTTTCTGTTTATTTTTACTCTTTCTCCTACACTCACCTGTTTCTATATTTATTTTATTGAAACGTTCCAGTTCGCTGAGCTTGTAATGGAATTGAAACAAAGTTTGCTGCTCAAAATGTGACTTTTCAAGAATGTCCACTAGACAAACGTCATTACCGTTATTTATGTATGAATCTTGTAAGCCTCTTTAGTCAAAGCTTACTGATAATATCTACATGTACACGATATCTGTTGATGCAATGAAACTTAAGGAATAAATAATTAATTTTCGTTTGATAGGCGTATCATTCATCCAGTGAATTATTAATGAAGAAAACTCCACGCCACGTTAACTTGATAATCATTTCTCATAATCCGAGCAATCTCAAGCATAAAATTTTCCTTTTAAAAGGCTTCACATAAAGCTTACTTAATGAAATTATAATATTTGTATGATCATCATGGAACAAACGACATCACGTGTTGCTTCGATGCATATTAATTTATGAAAATTCAATAATTCCTTATGCCGATCAAAAGGAATTTCAAAAGAAGCAAATATGAATGAATCCGCTTAGAAATTCTAAAATCACAAACACATGTTTTTTATTCTTTTCGTATCAAATAGATTTTATGAAGCAAAAATATTTCACAACATTAAGCATGTATGAGCGCACACAACTCACAAGAGAATTTAACTCAGCGTACACCAAAATAGGAAAAAAAACTCAATTTATTTCTTATAATCAATTTAAATACAAAATTTATTAAATTTATACAAAATATGTATGCTTACTCGGGCATATGTGGGATTATGAAATAAATAGAGTGAGTGAGTTGATTTCCCATGCAAATACAATGAAGATTTCTCTTCTTTTTTCTTCAGTATGTTCATGTATAAAAGTGCGACAGAAATGTATAACGAAAGTCATTGTTATGTACAACAGTTTATGGCTAAAATAAAATTCCTTTTCATCGTGAATGTATCGTGCGGTAAATTGATAACAGACATGTATCATCGTGAAAGATGTAATTCCACAGAGAATAAGAACAGTGGAGCGACCTTTTGGGAAAGACAAAAATGAATTTATCTTAAAAATGACAAACTCTGTTTGTGTCACCAGAGCATATTTTTTTCGCATCACTCGATTCTTGTTTCTGTAGTCTCTTCTGTGTCAACAACAGACTGTGATGAAAAATGCTCCCCTGGTTAATCAGTTATAAAAAAAAGACGCAATCGTGACGCAAATAACAAAAGCTCTAGCAAGTGGAAGCAAGCAGGAAGATTTTCCATCGTTTCTCTGAATTCTTCTATTTTCTTAATCTTTCTCTGTTATTAAGCTTCACTTTTTTATGTCTACTCTGTTTACCCAACAAATAATCAAAATGTATTGATTGAAATAAATTATTCATGACTTCTTCTTTCTATTTCTTTTTCTTTCGCCAACAGATTAATAAAAACCGAGACTGGTCGAGCGATATTACGAGTGATCTCAGGACCTCGAGCATTTAAAGTGGTTCTATTCGCCCGTCTAACTCCAATTCCATTCGGCTTGCAGAACACAATCTTCGGTGTAAGATTTTATTAATTAATTTTATCAAGTGGTTGGGGATTCGATTGAAAGCAAAAGTTTAAGGGAAATGTTTTACGATAAGGGATGGTTATGTTACATACATAATTAAATTGGAAGTTTTCATTTCGTTAGTGGTGACAGTATTGTTAACAACTCCTACATACCAAATTTATAATTAAATATTTAGAATTCACTTTACTAGATAGAATGAAAGGGAATGTTTATGGCCTTTCGAACTTGTAATTGAACCGTTGCTTTGGGATATTCGATATCTAATCAAAAAGAAAACTTCAAAGCTTTTGTTTCAAGTATTTTGTTGCTTTCAATTATGAACTTTTGTATAAACCGATTCACGCAAAAAATTTATTGTTAATTTTCTCTCAGATAAGTTCAGTAAACTCATTCGACTATCACACAGCAACGCTGATAGGTCTGCTACCAGCTCAAGTCATTAATGTTTACCTAGGTTCGAAACTGAGGTCAATTCATGATGTGATTAATGATAATCATACAGCCCTAGCAGGTTATGGCATGTTTATATTTGAGGTGATTGAAATCATTCTACTTTTTTTTACAGTCGATTTAATTTTTGTGTAATTTATTTTCCCGATTCTTTTTTCACCTTTCACTCAAAGGCAATCGTTGGTGTCAGCTTAATGATGTGGGTCATTCACAAAGCTAAAGGTGAACTTGCGGCGGCCCTTCTCGACAGCATCGATGTGGATGAAAAGTTATTGATTGAAGTCGACGTTTAGATGGAAGATGAAAGAAAACTTTTTGAAGTGGTGAAGCATTAATTAAGATAAAGTACCTTGTGAATGAGTTTGAGGGGGAGAGACGAGAAAGCATCACTTTTTTAAGTAGAAAAGTTTACCTGACTTCAATAATGCTGATTCAGACATAAGAACAACATAATATACTTGATCCTGGTTCACAGACATGATCTTAGATCAAAACGTTATAAAAGATATCAATGTTCTGTTGAAAAATGAATGTTTTCCTTTCTAAAGTATTTAGATTAAGTTTAGTTTAAGACAAATAATTTATCAGTCAATGAATCTCCAAAAACTGAATATTACAAATAGGTACTTCTCAATTATATCTCAGTCAAACAAGACATAAAAGCCACTTGAGCATTGTCATATGAATTAAATATGAATTATTTTATTACCTAAGTGTAAATTTTATTCTCGATTCTCGAATTGTTAAATGTGATAATGTTTGTTGTACCTTTGCTAATGTTTATTTATTGATTCAGGAAATATGTTGGAGTAACGTTGTTAAAATTTAAGGAAACTCTTTTTAAAGCATTTCAACGGAAGAATCAAGAATCACAAGACTAAAATTAAAATACAAAAAGTCACTTTTATTTATTTAGCAATTTTCACTTTACGATGATAACGAAAATATTTATCGGCGCAGTCAAACATATGTACATCAACGTTTTCCACTTCGTGAAAATTGATTTGATAAATATTTAATTTTGACTCGAGGAAAAATTTCCCAGAATCGTTTTGCAGGGAAAAATAATAATAAAGCGTTCTCAAAAAACGCGCGCTGCCTAAATCGATTTCGATTTGAGCGACTCAATTTATGTATTTTCTATGATTCTTTGCTCGTAACAATAAAGAACTGTTTTATTTGTGGCAACATGAAAACATACTTTGTCGATACACATGATTTATGAACCGCTCCCAAGACCGAATTTATGTGTTTTTGGCTGGTTAAACATTTTCTTTATGTTCATTGTTAATACAAGGCGAATCAAAAGCGTTTGGATATATCTATTCGTTTTTTTCAGCAAAATTTATAACATCGTCCCGACGATTGATATTTGCTTCAAACGAATCGAACATAAAAACACATGGAAGGGCACATAACGAGTCCCCTTCATCCTGTTTCCCACACCCAGAGAAAGAAATATATTTATTATCGGTCAGTTTAATGTGCACTAGATGAAAACTCTTGAACATTTTACTTAATGTTTTATGGTAGGATTTTTGTTTCATCATTTCGCTGTTGCGGTGGTAAGGAAAGAGAAAGACGAAGGACGATAAAAAGGAAAGAAAAGTTGAAAACCATCATCAGATTAACTCCTTCGGAATTGTAAGCTATTCTCAATGGTCATTCATTGCTTTTCAACAAATGGTTTATTTTCTTTCCCCCCTTTTGCACAGATGCCAAGTGTTTTCTCGCTTTCATAACAAACTTTACAACAGCTATTTCGCAAGCTATTTCGTTATTAAACTTTTCAGAGAGAGAGAGAGAGAGAAAGTTTGCAAATTAGAATTGCATCTTAGCTTGTGGATAAAATGAATACAGTCATGAAATAGAACGAGTTGTTTAGAAAGAGTTACAGCGATTATTTAAATATTTCCATAGTGAACTATTCACTTCACATGCGTTACCTTTGTTGCAGAGATTCAATATTTTTCATGCAATAATATTCTGGTAGTCCAGAATAATATTGATGACGAGCTTAACTTAGTTTAACTTAGAGTAATATCAATTACTTAAATTAACATGATCACTTGGAAATGCAATGAATTAGGCATAAATTGTGATTTAGGCATTGGAATTTCCAATAGAAAGATAGAATTTCTGGAACGAACTTTCCAATGTCGACAAAATTCTATGTTTCTTCCATGTCATAGAATATCGCGTGAAACGATCAGATCGCTTCTAAATAAAATTATTTAAAATATCTCGGTTTTAGAAACTTTCATTTTATCAGCATAAAGCCCTTTAAAACGTTGTCAATGTCTGCAAAGCGTCAAAAAACAATTGAAAAGCTTCAATTTCCTGTAAGATAAAAAATGGTTGAAATTATAACCTTGAAACTAATATTTTACTTAATAGGCTGCACTTTTGGTTGGCTTGGTAGACGACCAATTGATTCATTATGACAAAGTTCACGATCAGAAAGAACTAGAAATCCATTGCACTGCCGAATACATCAATTGTAAGTATTAAATGTAGTCGTTTTTAATTAAATCTAAGTTTTAAATGTTCCCGCAGTCTTCCAGAATGAAATTCTTAAACTCAACTCTCAACAGGAATATTCAAAAGCTCTTCATGAAAAACAAATTTCAAGTAATATTAAAGATGCTGAAGAAACAGAAAAGAGCATTGAAGTTTTGGAAAAGACTTACAAAACTTTATATTCTATGCATTTAAATTCTCTGCGATATTCTCATGGTATGAAAGAAGTCATTGAAGCTAAACAAAATTATCTAACTTCTTTTGGATCACGCCATAATGATTATCAAAAAATTAAAACCATGGTTGATTTCCACGTTAACAGAATACAAAGCAATGCATCAAAATCTGATTTCTCAGGATTAACAAAAGAATACGTCGAAGTTGAAAACACCCTTGCAGAGCTTGAGAGTGAAGGAAGACAACTTAATGAGAAAGTTTCTGAGAAAAGAAAGTTGCAAGCTGAAACTGCAGAAAAACTACTTCAAGAAATCACTCAGATTGATGAAGAAATACAAAAGAAACAGAAAATCCTTGACATGTCCGAAGAGATTAATTTACAGAATGAAATCTTAGACTTGGAAACGAAATTGAAAGTTTCGGACAATTGCGACAGTGATTCAAGTGCAGCGTCAGTGTCAAGTCAAAAATCTGATGGAATTCCAAAGATTGCAAAAATCTCTGCCGACTTTTCCAACTTTTTTAAGAATCCAAACGACTTTCCATCTCTTAAGAATATTTTGAGTCCAAATTTGAAACGTAAAGCAGTGAAAGAAGTTCCGAAACAACAACAGCAATCAGAAAAGACATTGAAACATTTAAAGCGAAAATCACCAAGAAAAGAAAATTTTCCATGCATTAAAACGTTTGATGAAATAGAACCAAAAAAGAAAATTTCTCGTATTCAGACGATGCCGCTTAATAAAAATCTTTCCAAAGAAGAAATGGAAAAAGAAAATTCTTCTGATAAGCAAATAGAAGAATCGTCTGGGCCACGTAATCATTCATGTGATCCTCAACATAAACAAAAATCAATTGAAATTCAAAGAACTGACTCGGGTCGAGAAACTGAGTGCCTCTTCACAGAAGATTCTCGTAATCCTGTTGAAGATGGAAAACAAAATGAAAAAGTCAAAACAATAACAACATCAGAAAATACTAACGAAATTCAAAAAGAAATGTCAGAATCAATTGAAGTTGAACAAATTCAAGTCTCCAATAATGATTCCGAAGAAGTTAATGAAACATCTAACGCCATTGAACCTAAAGAAGATGAAGAACCCCCACTGAAGGGAATTTTGGTTGGTTGTTTAAGAAAACTTCTTCTTTGCCTTTAATTTAATTTTTCATTTTACAGCGAGAGCAAAACAGTTTTGTCTTCAATACGACTTCATCAGATAATCACAGCGAAGGTGACGATGATCTGTTCAATTTTGAAAAGGAATTCGGGGAAAACTTCTCCACAGGAGGTGATGACTTTAACATTTCATTTGGATCTGGCGGTGGAAGCATTGGCGATGATGGCATAAATGATAAAGAAAACAGTGGATTCGATTTCTTCAATGATTCTCCAAAGAAAACTTCATCAAAGAAGAAAGGTAATCAAAACTCGCTTTTTTAAAAATTCATAAAAGAAGGAATTTGGAATTCTTCCAAAGAAATTCTAATTAAATAATAATTTTCTTACGATTTGTGTAAATATTGTTCATTCAATGAAAGCAATTGAAATAAAATGACCAAGTTAAGAAACTTTATGTTGGTGGGAATGCCAATTAGTATTATTAATTAATTCATTCATTTTTTCTATCAACTGTGTCAATTAAGAATCTTCTCATTGGAATTCGTCAGGCATCGTTTCTAATTTTAATAAATTTATTCTATAAAATGAGGTTGCATTGGTAATTTTTAATAAGTATTGATTTTGCTAAAACCTTTTTCATTTACAAAACTTCATCGTTTCAATATTTTATGTTCGAAATTAAATACAACAAAGTAGAATAACTTTCATAACTAAATACAGCACAATGTTTATGATCGAAATTTGTAACAATGTTGTTTTATATCTTTTCTCATCTCATTTATAACCTGAGCAATCCATCATATTGAACGATTCACCGAACATCTTCTGAAGGTATTTGAAGATGTTCCGAAAATAAAAAATTCTTCCAAATTCTCCTAAACTCAAATCTTTCTTTCGGTTAAAATGTATTTACAATGTTCGAGTGGGGATTGTTCCATCTAAATATCCAAAAGCAAACACTAAAACACCGCTAAAAGCTATAAAATACTCACACGCTGTGTTAGTTCAGTAATAAATTTTGAACGTTCTAATCATTCAACTTTAATGTGGTTCATCTTGCCAGTAGTGCTCATACATGTTCAATGTTTTAAAGTTTTCTTCAATACGTAAAGAAAAATATTTTAATCATTTAAATTTGCTCAAATCTCGAGGAGCAAACAATAAGAAAAATTTCTTCATTCAAACAAGCACGTTGTAAAGCGCTTGATAAAAATTTCTTGAAGTTTCAAATGCCTGCGAGCGATGGATTATATTTTCTTGATTGAAACAGTTAATTCCATTTTAATTATGAGACTATGAGACTAGGTAAGAAGCTCAGCATTTGAGGATTTTGAAACAAAGACTAAACATTTTCACTACGATGTCATTCAAGCAAATAAACAAAAGAAATGAAAATGAAAAGTTTTTCCCTGTTCGAGATAAACGACATCGAGCATATAAATTAAAATTATAATAAATTATATTAAGTTTCTCTGCGTTATAAAAGACCGAATGCTAAGCGGTAGCGGCGAAAATGGAAAACACTTAATTTCCTGTGCTCATTTAAGATTCATTTTTGGGAGAAAGAAAAAGTTCTTGAAACAATCATCGTCGTTGCAAAAGATAGGAATAAATATTTAATTAAAAGCCATAGCTTTCTGGGTTTATGCCGAAGTTTAGTCCTAAAAAAGTGATTCAATCCAAATTTTATTGCAAGTTTAGTTTGTTTTCTAAATAGTCGTTAATACTTACACACAATATGCCCAAGAAATTCTAAGAAATCAAGAAGAAGATTAAAGATTAAGAAGAAAATTCTTTGCTCTGTCCATCCATACTGTCAAAGCATTAAATAATAATATTAAACACAATATGAACTTTTAATTGTTTTTATTTTTTATCTGACATAAAAAACGATGAAGAAGAAGGAATTAAGCTTCTTGAGCTCTCAAATTATTTGTATGAACAAGCAACACAATCATCGAGTAGAAACTTAAGTTGTAGGGTCGAAGATAAACACAAGAGAGATATTAAAGAATTTTCCTTAATACTCGTTATTATCATTATTTTTATATTTCTTAAATTTCCTTCTTTTCTTACTTTTCTTGTTTTTCTTTGTGCACACAACATAATGAAAATTAACCCAAAACAAAAGCTAAATGAGAAAAATATCCATTTTGTGGAAGTTAAAAAGGGATGAAAAAGGAAGTCCTTTTCTACTTTAATTGTTCAAATATTAAAATTAATCTATTCAGATTAATTATTCAACTGATTCTTAAGAGAAGCTTCAAGGACATTTAACGTTAAATCGGCATCTTCTTTTGTTATACACATTGGTGGTTGGATGCGAAAGACCTTTTTTCAGAATTCGGTAGGACGAGATGTTTGGTTTGGAGTATGAAAAATTAAATTTAATTAGTTGCCACAAGACCAAACAGCGGAAATTAAAGTTTCTACTCACATTGCCGCTAATGCCTCCCTTTCCCAGCAGCACACCCATATCTTTACAGCTTTCCCAAATGTCAATGAATGAAGCTGTATTAAGGGGAGATTTGCTACTTTTACTCTCCACCAACTCGACGCCAATCATCAGGCCCTGTAAGTTGAGATTGATTTAGTAATTTAATTTGTGCAGAGTAAAGCGGATAAGTTCATGAAATTTGTCACCCTACAAATTGTTTTCTCTTTTTGGAAATTAAAGAAAATAATTTCAGATAAACGTCCTAAGTAATTACAACCGTCATTTTTAATTGACCTATTTGTAACCAGCTTTAGCCTAAAGACTAGAACGAATTTCAGTCTCTCTTTTTTCTATTGATCTTTACGCCTCAGATTTTATCAAATTGATTTTAATCCACCCACTTTTCTACATAATTAAATTGAAATCATGAGTCGGCTTTCAATTCAGTTTGTGGTTTGATGTTCGCGTTTCATAAACCATGAATCAATTTAGTATAATTTTGTTAATAGTGAGTGCGGAGTTCCTGGGTTTGGGGGAGAGTCGCCGCATAATTTGGAACCAACGTACAAATATCGGTGATGCAAATAATTGGGAGGACAACAAAATGCCATGTTCATCAGATGCACTTCACTTCCCACAACGAAGTTATGATCTCATTAAGTTGTCAAACTTTAGCATGAAGGAAATCATTTTGCCCAAGACCGGCGGCTTCATATTAGACTCACAAACGACTTTGAACTTCCACGAAAACGATCCACAATGCAAGCCAAATGAAACGAAAATGTTTAAAAGTGTCATTCAATCGCCATGGTTATCGACCAGCAATTGGAATAACGCTCGTGACGTAAGTGAGATTGAAGTTGACGATGAATTTTATAACAAAGCGACACCACATGAAGAGCGACTGCCATGTGACAACGACGAAGTCATTTTCCCCATCAATAATTCATATGTTGTCGACCTACAATCAATTCCGTCATTGTCTTTCAAGACCATCGCCATAAATGGTCGCATTTTGTCGATTGGGGAATTTAAAGAGTTCTTGTCGTCAACATTTGGTCAGTCAATGTTCAAAAACGTCGAAAACACGATTTTTGATGAAAGTTCTTGTATCGATGAGAACAAATGTGTCTGTCATCGCAAGAATGCTGCTTTAATGGAGCAGCTATGTTCGAATGAGATGCGAGACTGTCGAAGTATTCCGCCTTGTACCGACCCCATCGAACCCATTGGTCATTGTTGCTTCGAATGCGGAGCGCTTTTCCAAATGAAACTCAACGCAATCAATAATTTTCAATTGAAAACTTTCAAGAGAAATATTGCAGAAGGTGAATGAAAGTTCTTTTTTCCCACTTTGATAATATTGATGAATGTTCATCTCCCAAACCATCAAAATGGTTACGAATTGCAATCGCCACCCACGCTCATATTTACATTGGAGGCGAAAATGTTTATTCCAATTTTTTTGACCATTTCAGCCGTCAATGCAACAAGTGTTGTTGATGCAGACAAAATCGTTTATCATATCAGTGTCGTAACGGGGAAAGAACGGCAACTGTATTTACAGCTCATTATTGTTGATCGATATGAATACGATGAACTCAGCACTAAATTGATGGACGATCTGCGGAAGACTTTGTTGAATAAATTCTATGAGAGTGAGTTGGCTGGTTCATTGTTTGCTTGCAACAACTTTCACATTTACTCGACTTTATTTCATAGCGCAATCAAAGTTTTATTTTATCTCTGGAATGCCATTTACGCCCAACGAGAGTGGTCACGTTCTTGCGTTCGTATTCGGCACATTTTTCTTTGTGGCACTGTTTATGACGCTGATTTATGCTGTCTATTATGATGACAAGCATTTTCCACGACTTTTTGCTGTTGTGGTGAGAAATCGTCGCTTTCTTCAACCAACTGACGTAACTTTCGCTCGCTTTGACAACGCTCCCCATGTGAACGAAGACGAAGCTTGTAGTGCGTCTGGTGTCGATTTGCACTTTGGGAGCGATCAAAGCATTGAAAATCTCAACACTTCCTTCAATAATCCAATGTTTGATCAAAACATCACAGAAGAGAGTGCGAAGGAGACAACTTTCGAGTCAAAAGATGATTGAAATGTTTGAATTTGCTTACCTTTCCTCTAACATCGCCCACCACTTCGTATTTATCACGTAAGTTCTCTAAACCTTTCAGAAGATAAGTTCCAACTTCAAGTGAGTTTTGTTGTAAATTTTCTTCATCAATCACCTGATTAAAATGTAAATAAGCAATGAATGTTAATTATATGCAAAACTTTCATCATTTGATATATTTGTAAGTGATGTCACAATCGAAACTCACGTCCAAGACAGCCATTCCAACTGCACATGCCAAAGGATTTCCCCCAAAAGTATTGAAATGCAAAGCTTCAGTCAGAACTTGAGAAATCTCGGGAGTTGTGACGACAGCAGCGAGTGGAAATCCATTTCCAATTCCCTTCGCCATTGTTACAACATCAGGCACAATTCCATGCATCTCAAATCCCCAATAATGTTCACCAGTTCTACCGAAACCCGTCTGCACTTCATCGCTAACAAACAATCCACCATTTTCATGAACCATTTCTATAGCACGCTTCACATAGTTCCTCGGGAATTGAACAATACCGCCACCTCCTTGAATAGATTCTACAATCATCCCAGCACATTTGCCTTTCGGCAATGAATATTTAAATTCTGCTTCAAGTTGATTAATGTAATTATCTTCAGCAAGACATTTCCCTTGCGTGCAATCACAATTACGATTTGTTTGTACCGGAGAATCGCGACAATTTCTTCCTCCCCACAGACCAACATAAGGATCCGCGTTCATAGCATGATGTACGCCATTTCCTATGCTTGGCAGATTATAATGCCATGTTGATTGTGCTACAAGAAGTATTTTTCAAACATTATTATTTTTCATCATGATTTCGTGAGAAAGGAAAAAAGAATCTGAAGAAAATCACGAAAACAACCTGTTAATCCCATAGAGCTCATATTCCCTCCATGATAAGCGTTCTTCAAGGTTACGATGTCAAAATTTTTCGTGTACAAGCGTAGAAGGAGTGTTGCCAAATCATTTGCTTCTGAGCCACTGTTAACGAAGTAAACAACCTTCAGGTCGCCTGGTAACTTTGACGTTAGCCTTTCTGCGTATTCATAAATTTTGGGATGCATGTAAATGCTCGTCGTATGCCAAAGTGTATTCAATTGCTCCTCCAATGCTTGATTAACTTTTCTGAAAGCAAAAACATTCTCATTTCGATGCTTCTTAAGGATGATTTCAGATGATTTTTACTTACGGATGACAATGCCCAACGGAGACGGTAACAATTCCACCAAACATATCCAAATATTTTGTGCCTTTATGGTCATACAAGTATTGCTTCTCTCCCTTGTGAATGAGAACGGGATTTCGATAGTAAGGAATGGCACTCGGTGTAATAAGTTGTTGTCTTAATTTCGTAGCTTTCTCAAAGGATGGTCCATTGTATGAAGCGTTCGAAGCGAAACGAGTGAGAAGATGTGCTGAGATAGCTTTGTGATTTGCTTTTGCACCAACTGTGTAAATAGGATCAATTATAACTATGCAAATGTTTGCAAAGCAATTAAGATATTTGCAAGTTACATAGCACTTTGAAAGCTTTGTAAGAAAGCAGTGCTAAAGATGTAAATTAATTGGAACTAACCTTTTAGGAAGCTCAACATTCTGACTTATTTGGGTAATTTAATTGTTTGTCGTTCGATGAAACACTTACAGCTGCTGTTTTGCGGTTGCACAAGGACAAGGGTCGAGACTATCAATGAACAAACCTGTGAATGGAAGGGAAGTTAAATGACAAATTAACTTTATGATGAAAAATATTTTAAAAAAATCAATTTCATGCTTGATGTAGACGGACCTTTTCTCTTCATTTCATATCGATATGAACATGTCTACATTTATGTATAACAAAAAGGCTTTCAGTAATCTACCAAAAACATTCATAAAATCATCGTCTTGCCTTCATCGTCTCGACAATTTCAATCAATTCTCTATTCAAATACCAATCAAAAATATATCATTCCTAAGTGTATTGAACTGAGCAGTAAAGAGTTGTGTGGGGTGGAAATCTACGTTTAGCTTATTTGATATCGACGAATAATATATGAGAGAAAATAATAAAAAAAAATTCTTTTTTCGCATTTTGCAACAGGGAAAAAATGTTTTATGAGATGATGAAAATATGTACGACGATAATCGTCATCATGAACGTTGTGGAGTTGACGATAGACGAAAGAATGAGTAAGAATAAGAAAGAAAATTATGTATTCGGTATTATTGAAGTTGACTTCTATTGGTTTTATATTGTTATCGTTATCATATATTTTCTCTTTCTTATTTTTGTCATTATTATGGAATAAAGTATTATTATTGAATAAAAAGTCGATTGAACACAAAGACATTCCTCATGCTATAAAAGAAAAAACGAAGGAAAAAAATTATTTATTCTTTTGTTATTGAAAAGTTTGTCTCCGCTTTTTGAATAGAATTTTCAAGGAATGGAAATGTACATGAAAATGTTGGTTGATGAAAGCAGATTAGTGAAATAAATGCATGATTCTATTCAAAGAGAAACAATAAGAATAGATAATCAAATCTGTGCTATTCCATCTTTTGATAATCTCATAATTCCTTTTCTTCCGATTCCTCCCTGTTCATATCTTTATTCTCAATCGAATCTGATAAGTATTTGCATAAATAAATCGCATTGAAAAAGACTCAAAGGAACAAATTTAATAAACAATTGTTAATGGTAAGCTTTCAAACTTTGCTTGTTTCTGTTTCTCACAATTGCAGCTTAAAGCGATTCTCTCCACAATCTGAACGAAGATATTTCGTTTAATGTTCAAATCGAAGTTTCTCTATTTTGATAAGGAATTGTGCTTTTCTCTTTCTTTTTTCGATTAAACTTTAAATTTGTTTTGTTTTTCCCACATTTCTTATAAAAAAAGCAGTTAACAATGTTTTCGCTCTCATCTAGCAGAATTTCGTTAAAGAAAAATCTCATTGTAGAAATTTATAAATGTAGCTGTTAAAATCATGAGAAAAAATAAACTTTAATGGTTTTAAAAAAGATTTTTCTGCAAAAATTCTATTAAACTTAAGAAGTTGCAGAAAGTTTTGCAATTTTTCTATTTGTTACTTCATATCGCACTTAAAAAGTTGCCATCGGGTTAAATTTGAGGCGAAATCTGTGAGGGGAAAGTTAAATTAACTGTCAATTCTGTGTCGTTTTGATGTAGCACCAAACCTAATTTTATTTACTGCTTAAGTATGTTTAGATAACAACCTGGATAACTTCATCATCATCTTAATATTTTAATATCAAACATAATATGATTTAATGATATTTCCTGTCAAATACTTTCTTTTAAATTCTTTTTTTGGATAGAAAACATGACTCGATGCCATAAGAAACTTAATGTAGTATAAAATCATAAAATAAATTGACTAACAAACATATAAATTATAAATATCTTATTTTTCCCTCTCGAAGTACTGCCAGTAAATATATTTAAGGAATAAAATGCAAGCAGATGTGGTGCAAAGAAGATTCGATCCAGTATCGTGGGGTTTCGCGACGGTAAAGTGAAGTATGATCCTTAAATTATTTTCTGAATATCTTTTAGCTGTTTTGGAAATGAAAGTAAATTCAACTGAATCCACACACATGAAAAGATTTCTGTAGAAAGATTTATGGGTTTTTGAATGGGATCTCATGTTAAATGTGAAGATTTGCAAAATAAATTCATCGCTCGTCGCTATTGGAAAGAGAGAAAGCGAAATGGAGCCAAATATGTCGTTATGTAAATAAATCTTAATAAAGCGTTTCACAGGAGAAAAACTGACGGGAAATGTGGAAAAACAAACTTAAATTTTATTTGACATGACATGAAACATTCTGACGTTTATATTGAAGGGAAAAAAAGCTCTCACAGGAATATTTTAAATATTTCGGGCTTCACTAATGTCATGAAAATATTCCTTAAAAAATTTCATCAAGTGCTTTTGTTGTTTTAATGGTCATTATTCCTTCCAACTCCAGCCGCTCTCAACCTTAAATCTTTTAGGTTTTCAAGTATCGATAAACATTTTAAGACTTTTTATGGTCCAGTTTAGAAGTTGAGAGTTTAATTTATAAAATTCAAATGTCAACAATTTATAAACTCTGTACGACCTTTGAACAAACGCATTGATAAACTTTGCTTAAGCTTTTGAACCAACGAAAAAAAAAATAAAAAATAAGTAAGAAGAAAAATGTAAAATAAAATAAAACTCGCAGGAAGGGGAAAAAGGTTGGGATTTGTGTTATCAGATAAGTGGAGTTGGATTCAACAATTTCTCGCACAATATTTCCTAATTAGAAAGGCCTACAACGAGACCTTTTTTGCCTACGAATTTCAGCCATAAAACCGAAAATACTTTTATGCGCCCTTTTTGTTGCTCTTCCTTTAAACCTACAACATCTCGACCATACATTTATTTCACTTAAATTGTTATTTTTATCATGAGGAAAGAACATTCCTTTGCATGTTCACGACAAAGTATCAATTCAAAAATTGAAAATTCATTGAATGGAAATTTTCTGGTCGGCTCCATTACATTTGCGTTCGAATCAAATGCCTTTGAGTATTATCTCAATCGACAATTTCATTTTCTTTTTACACTTATATTCGGTGAATTGTGATAAAATTTGAATAAACAAATTTATTTAAATATTTTTAAAATGCAGATGAGAATTTTTATCTGCCGAGATTTTTTTAATCACATTTTTGTTGAATGGTGGGGACGTCCCGTGTGGTTAAATTCAATTTTGAAGCTGTTAGTTTTCAGTTAGTGCAGTTTAATTGCTTTCGACTTTTTTCCCTAAAAATTTTACACTCTCAATTTGTCGCTTGGTAAAAGCTGGTGGCAGTAAAATGTAAATTTAATTTCCACTCATGAAAGAGAGACTCGTATGAGTTTCATGCAAACAAGTGAAACAATAGCCCTCGAACGGTAAAAACTGAAAATTTTTCCTTATTTAATCAAATAAAAAATCGTCGCATGCTCGTAAAATTGCTAAGTTTTATTGCCTTCGCTTTTTTTTTATTATCTTTGAGAATCATTTCACTCTCCACAAACTTTTTTTCCTTTTCGCATACAATCAACACTCAATGATTTTTACGCCTACAAAACTTTTCTCTAAAAACAATTTGAAATCAAGTGAAAATTCTATCTCAAACTTGTCATTAAAACTTTCACAATAATCATATCCATAAAGATATTTATCGCTCTCCGCATCTTGTTATAAAAGAAATTTACAATTTTTTTATTATATTTTTTTATTATGCCTAGGAATCACGAACCGTTGTTATTCACTCGATGAGTTTCACACAAACTACATCAAAGCGTACTTTTTTGAAGACTTGTTAAGCTAGATTTGATTAAGTCTACTAGTGTTATCACTTTACATGATGATAAGTTATCGTATTTGAGAGGAGAGAAGAAAAATATTTGAAGACTTATCAAAAAACAAACCTCAACCTTATAATTCAGCTCGGAAATGATTGTTCAAGGTTTCATCTACGAAACTTTCATATGTTGCTATGACGAGAGAATTGAGAGAACCACACATAAACTTTAATGAACTTAATCTGTATCAGTTTTAAATTTTTGGTAACTCTCAAAATAAAATTGATAAGATTTCTATTTCAACTCATTATTAGAGTTTTAAATTATTAATTAGATAATCCAAAACATTTATCAAATTCAGTTTATTAATAACTTTTATGATAAGCACACGAATCAAGTTTTGAACGTATGAAGGTGTCAAATAACAACGTAACCGGTCAAGTGTTTATATTAGAGGAGCTTCAAGTGATGCTTTTATAAAAATTCTTTTTTTAGAGAATGAAGATAAACATATTGAACTTTACCCTCATTGTTCTGCTTACTTATGCGATTATATCCATCAATAATCTATCGATGAAAGCTTGAACAGATTTCTTGGTCTTCCTTCGTCATTGAAGTAGTAATCGAGCCCAAAAGAATTTGAAATCTTTAAGAAAGGCTTAAATATAGAAAGTGATGCATAGGAATCACGTTTCTTCTTTTTATAGACTAACATTAACAACGAAGAAAGACTGAGTAAAGGTTTTTACCTCTCACTTGACGTGGAAAAACCTTCTTAAATCCTCAAACATGAAGTTGGAGAAGAAGAGAAAAGTTGTGTTTAAAGGCCACTCACGTAAGTGACATAGGTTCACAAAAGATTCGCTTGACTCCCAAAATTTTTATTTAATTTCATAAAATTGTGTTATGATGCGCACCTTTTTCAAATCCTTGTGCGAAGGTCAAGATAAAATATGCCTAAAACAGCAGTTGTGTGATGTATCTTAATCTGTCCCCGTTCATCGTGCTGATGTTTAAGATTAGGTTAAGTGCGCTTTGACATCTTGAACGACCCTTCTACGGACGGTGTTTGCATGAATTATGCAATAAAATATAAAACTAAGCAGGTGGTTTGAAAAGTTTATTGGTCGACTACGTCGAAGGGACTGTTTATCGGTAATGTCATGATAAAACCTTCTCAAATACTATAAAAAGATTTAATAGATAAAAGTTTTATCGTGTCTGATTTGTAAGTTAGACAGTAAATCTCTCGAATATGAAATATTTTTATGTATCTTTAAGGAGATGCAATGGTCTTTGATGTCCCAAATTCAACATAAAGATCCTTAAAAAGTTTCAAATGATTGATTCTCTTTTCAACAATCTTTCTGTTTCATTACACCTGGTTCCATAATATAAATTTAGAGAAGTGGCTCCTTAAACTTTCATTTTATTTGGAGATGTGGAGTGAAGTTTGTGTCATGGAAATTGCAATCAGAACAAAGTACTGAAAATGCCAAAAACTTTGAAAATTAAAATGAAATCTGAATTCTTCCTCAGGAAAAATATATAATCTTAGAAAATCTTTTTCTCTTCACCACAACGAGTTGATATAATTTCCTCTCATTTCAGCAGATGTTTTGAATTCGGAATAATTTTAAGGTAATTTCTATGTTGACATAACTGATTCTAACTGACATCAACCATAATTGTCTTCCATCTCGTTCTCTTTACCTTTCAATTCGAAAAATCGTTAAAATATTTTCTAGATTAGATTTTGTTTGACAGCATGCTATGCAAAAAGCATGTTTCACTTCAAAACCTCATTTTACTCATTATTTCTTTTTTAAAATTTAATCAATATTTGTCTGTAATGGCGTTTGATGTAGATGAAAGCGAGTTTGTGGATATCTAATATCTTTTATTTCGATCTACAGGGGTGAGCGAGATTACTGACAACTCTGTCGACTACGTTTCATCATTATTGATTCATAAAAAAATGGAATTTTATTATAAAAGGAAATGAATGAAACGTTTCCTTCTTAAAGTCTAACACTCAATTTATGAAGCTTTATGAAGGCAAACCAATTGAAATTTATTTATTCACGCTACGAACTTGTTCAAATTGTCCCAAATATTCACTCGAATGTCGATATTTGTTTTTACATTCTTCGTTTCGGAAAACTTTTGAAATATTTTCTCATAAAAAGATGAAAGTTTATATGTTCCACACATGTTACTATTACTTGTATGCTGCTAGACCTGGCTCCTTTATGAATAAAAGGAACAAACTTGTGTTTCCATTTAATAGGTATTTAATGTTTCTTTAAGTGCCAATGATTGAATGAATAAGTAATGAAGAATGAAATTTCCATAAGTGTAGTAGAAAAACTATTTTGAAGGACGATGGTGTTGGCATGTAATTGACATTAATTTTGTTAAAAATTTGAATTGCACAGACTAATTTGTTACATGTATCTATGATAAAATTCTCGTTTATGTCATAAACTAGGTCTCACTTAATTTTGGTTTATTTACTTGTTTGAGTTTTGAAGAAACAAATGGTTTCGTCTCTTATCTTAATCGCAGAGTTGAAGTGGTCATAAAATATTTCTGCCCATGAAGAATATCGAATGATTATTTATCTATTTGTTTTCATTTAACATTTTTAATAAGCTTTTAATTTGAAGTATTGTGGATATTTTTTCTGTTTAATTTCAGCTTAATTTATTAAGAAGCAAACGACTTGAACTTCTGAATATCACATTAGGTCAAGAGTGCACGACCTACTCCAGTTTTTTAATTTCTTTTCGAATTCGAGAAGAAAAACATTATGGCTACAGATTTTCTCTGAACACCTACCAAAAAATAATCTAGATATCTTTTTACTAATTACATTCTACTTCTTTGCGTAAGAATTACCAATTTAAAATTTTAACGGTTGGTATAATTTTAAAAAAAGCTCAAAAGCTTCTCTATTCGAATCCAGCGACATCTGGATGAAATTTTCGAAGAGCTTTCAATATTATTGCAAAGCGCCGCTCGAACTTTGAAATTATTAAAAATTCTTTTCTTTTTAATTCGCTTCTACTATCACTGGTTGCTGATAAGTCAAAGATAAGATAGTGAGTTTTAAAATGCATTTCATGGTTAAAGACATTTTATACACTTAGGTATGTTTTGTTTATATTTTATTTCCTCTTTACTTATCTAAATTCTGAATTTATATTTCCTTATTTCAATAAGAAGTGTCATTAATTTTACGATGTGTTTGAGAAAAATAATTGATTCTTTGCTATCTACCGTCTTTTCGTTACTGCTACTGAAAAGTCACCAATTAAGCCAAGAGTAATTCCAGCCTTCACTTTCACATCTTCATACTTGAGAGACGTTGAGAAATGGAAGTTCTTTACATAATGGGCGACAATTAGTTTCATAAATATCATAGCATAACGATTTCCTAAAAGATAGTTAATTGTTTAGATTGGACTAATCAATTAATTAATACTAAAGAACAGGTGAATCAAAACGAACCTATACAAAGGCGTGATCCGTTGGCAAATGGCAAAAAACAGTAATTATGACGTTCACTCATTTTTTCTGCGAGGAAATTCTCCGGATTAAAGGCCTCGGCATTTTCACCCCAAATTTCCTTCTTTCGATGCAAGCCAAAAACATTTATAATCAAGTTAGTGCCCTGCGGCAGTCGGAGATTTTCTATTTCTGTTTTGTTCACATTAACAGTCAATTAATTGATAATTAATAGACAATCCTTTGTACCTTTCCTTAAGCATCAATTAAAGTATTTCACAACTTTCTTACCTGAATCAATTTTCCCCAAATCAACTTCAGCTTTCACTTCGCGAAAAATTCCTGCGCATTTGAATTGACGAAGCTTTAATAATATTAAATTTACACAAAACGCTTTATAAGTAACTTTACCTGTTGCGGGGCTAAATAGCCTTAAAGTTTCCTTTATTACCATTTCAACATACTTTAACTCTGATAGCTTTTCATAGTCGACGATAAGATCTTCGAGTTCGCCGAATACCTCGTTGATTTCCTTCACAATGCGATGTTGAATATTTTCGTGCATGGCAAGCATAAGAAAAAGGAAGTTCAAGGCGGTACTTGTTGTATCTCCAGCCTTAACAATTTAATATTAACTCTTATTAGAAGCGGAAAAATAAACTTCAGTAAGTAAAAGAATTACTTACAGCAACTAACATTGTGCCAACATGATCGTTGACTTCTTCCTTCGTATACATTCTTCCATCATTTGAAACCTTAATCAACTGATGAATAAAAGAACTTTCCAATATTGATTTCGAACCATTTTGTAGTTCATTCCATTCCTCGTCAATAAATTTAAAAATCAATCGCCTGTGACTGTCCTCTTGTTTCTTCATGCTTGTCAAAGAGTAGATGGAATCGTAATAAAGAAGTGGATTCATGCTTCTACTCCACACAATGTCCAATAGTCTGTTTGATGAAGAAAAAAAAAGTAATCCTCTTATTTAGCACTATTTATGTTGAACACAGCAAAAAAGAAGAAGAAAAATTTGCTTCACATATTGAAAAAGTTAATTTAAAACTTTTCACTGTAAAGAAATTGAAAGCAAACACTCGCAAATGAAATCAATTTCAACATGAACATCATTTAGCATACTTCTCTGTGCTTTTTATGATGCTTTCTATTACATCCTTCGAGATCTCTCTGCCGAATGTTGTGTCTATTGAGGGGATACATTAAAAATCAGACAAAGTCAAAAAAATTTATAGTCCATTTGACTCACTTAAAACGGCGTTCATAACGACAAATGTTACGTCGTGCTTAATATCAAACTCTCCTTTATCACACTTTTGTTGAAGTTCCTTAACGCCCAAGCGAATACTTTTGTCGAAGATTGGAATGTAACTTTGCAGAACTGGTAAACTGAACGACGAGTTTAGTAATTTTCTTTCACTTTTCCATCTGTCAGCTGCCAAATAAAATTTTATGATAAAAACTTTTATTTCTTCATCAGAATTCTTCATAGATATTTCTTTTTTATTATTCTTCCTTTCGAAGGCATGAACGTTTCGTCGACGATTATCACATGATGTCGAAGGAAAGAAAAATATTCACTTTTCACTCACATTTTAATGAGATTAAGCCGTTGGGAAAGCCGAACAACTCCATGAAGAAATTTTTCTCGACACATTGTGGGTAAGTTAAAAGTTTCTGTGCGATGTTTGGGTCGTCAGTTACGAAGAGATATTTCGAGCCAAACCAAAGTCTACAAGGAAATACTTGAATGTGTCTAACATGTGCGATTAAGTGTCGTAATGTACTTACGAGTAAAAGTTTGGATATTTTTTAGATAAGTTCTGAAGTATTTGGAATCGATCTGAAAATAAGTTGCTCGATAATATTCCGATAAAAATAACATTCAATTAAACCAGCTGTTTAAGAGTCATTACCTGCTTCAGAATTCGCTGTAAAAATGTAGGCAATAAGTCCAAGTGGCAAGGTTTTCGGGCCTTTGATCTTCCGGAAAAGTTGATGATATTTGATAAAACTTTGGAATGAGCTTTTGAGATAAGCGAAAAGCAAGATTAAAAAAATGAGCAGCAATAAATCAGATTCGTACATGACGAAAAAATAAATAACCGAAACAAAGGGAACAGAAGTTGCTTTCTATCGAACTGATTGATACTAAATGAACTCATTCATCAACAATTGATTATAAAAAACCAATTTAAAAAAAGAAATACTTGAGAATGTGTCAACTAATACAATTAAAGTAAAGTTTGACTACAAACTCTTCAAAGTCTCATTGAATTGTGAATAAAGGATCGTTCACTTTAACTAACTACTTATGCATGAATGTAAACATGAATTTCTTAATTTACCTTTTCATTCTATCAGCTTGAAAAATTAATTTACCCCAAAATTTCTAGACATCCCATTGACTGGTTTAACTACAAAATAAAACTAAAGTCTCATAACATTGTGAACTCTTGAAAATGATGATATTATGAAAATAGCAGTAGATACTTAAAAAGAACCCAAACAGTTTGGATTCGGGAAAAAAGAAAAGCAGTCAGGGCTGGGAACAAGTTTTGATTTTTGTTCTTATAGTTTGAGTGTTGTTTACTAAAAAAAATTCATTTAAAGTTAAAAGTTTTTAATTTCTTCATAACTTCAATCACAATTCCTAGCACTGCGAAGACTAAACTTCCTTAACCAACACAAGGAAATGTTTTTGATATTATTTTAAATTATCTATTAGAATCCTTTGTAATCTGTTATTTCTACTTACATACATTAGTAGTAAAACTCTTATCAGGACATTTCAATTTATTTAATGCAATGAATAATTAACTTGGCTCTTTTTAAATTTGTCTGCATTGCTTTTCAACTTTTTTGATTATCTTCCGCTGATAATAATGATGAAGTTTGCTTTTATGTACATCATTAACACGAAATTGAGTGCATTAATAGATTATAATGGGATGTAGTCTTGAGATAGAAAAAGGATGCTTACAAGTCGTTTGGGAAATGAATGCATAATAAAATGTAAATTAAATCATAAAACTTAGCTTAATACTCAAAAGCAGAGCGTATAAATGTAAGGGAATGAGGGTTGTAGATACATAAACGTTTGAGTTATTCTGAAAATAAATAGAAGCGATGTAAAGATGCATACATTTTACAATGAATGGTTCATTGGGGAACTTGAAAAAGTTTTACATCAAGAACAATGAAAAATGAGAGCTTTGAATGTTCGAAATTGAATTTACTTGTAATTGCTCCTCTTAAACGTCGGAAAATTTTGTTCTCGTGCAATGTTTTCTTCCTACGAATGCATTAATCTTCCCAGATTAATTTCGAATTATTCCTGATAATTCCTTTCGTTCTGTCCCAACATGAATGACAGTTATAGAATAATTTCATTCTCTCGTATGCTTGCTTGCTGCTTTACTGTCTCTGCATAAGATGTAAGCTTCCTGATGTGCAACATTCATGTCGCTTTTTCAAATGATTAATTTAAAGTTTAAGCACTTTCAAACACATAATCTGACGTCGTTTTTAAACAATCTTAATGAATCATTCTTGTTGTGACAAGAAAAGTTTAAAAAAGTGTCACATCCACAGGCACTTTAAATTTGTATTTAAATAAAAGTTTTTCTAGATAACTATCTGAGCATAATTTGATTAGTTTCACTGGTTGGTTCACAAAAATATTTATACATAAATTACGTTACATAAATTGAACACAATTCGAGCATCCTTTGAGATTTCTTTCATTTATTTTTTTATTACACATATAATGAGTATTGTATCGATTTTTCATACTTGAAATTGAAACCATGAAATGCTTTTTTATGGCAAAGAATACAAATTTATGTAACAGAATAATTCATTAGACACAAGTTAAAATTCAGTTCAAATATATTTAACCAGAGATATGTTCATTAAAGAAACTTTCTTCAACAGCTCAAGTAAGCTTACGAACGACTCAATGGGTTATAAAACATTTTCATGAGCAATTCGAGTTGATGTTGAAGAAATTTTGACAGCAACAAAAAATTTGTTAGAGTAGGTCAAGTTCAAAAACTCATCCAAAACTTATGTTCCGCATGGCGGTTCACTTTTACAGCGATGACAGAGATATCATGCATCAAATTTCTTTATGACCGATCTTTCGTGAATGTGCAAATATCGTCGATTATTTCATTACATAATAATCTTCGATATGTATGTAAGTAGATGTGCATGCGATGGTGAATGTATTGTAATAATTACACTTATCGATCGAATGTTTATTCGCTGCCTTTAAGTGTGCGGCTTTAAGACATTGAAGGTATATTTGATTGAGTTAATGTTTTCAACGCGTATGAACATATGTGAGTGGGGAGACTTCCCCGTTGATCAACGTAACTGACCATTGCCACCAACAGCTTTGTAACGTTCAGTTTCTTTTCAATCGTCATCACAGAAGCTAGTGAATAATAAAAATACGTAAATCATTGTTCTAAAGCTTCATGGGATTTTAGCAATTAAAAAACTTGATCATTCTGAAAAAGATCTGTAGTTGTTCGAACTCAGTCATCACACGGACAGGTTCATTATCCGCAAATATAATTTAAGGTCTGCATCAGATTTCTTCGTGTGGTATTTCTTGTGTTGAAACTGAAAAGAAAATTGTGCAATAATTAAAACATTTTGTGTTTGAATCAAACTTTTGTTTTTTTTAACGAAAACAAAAATCGATTTTTATGGTGTTTTGAATTATTGAGAAGGGAAATTGTGGAAAAATATTCAGTGGATGTACAGAATTGTTGAGAAAATTCAAAAATCTTTCTTTAATTTGATTGTTAACTTTGGAAACTTTTTTATCTTGGAAAATTCATTTATTTACAAATTTCAAAAGGCAGTCGAGTGTGTCTACTGGGTTTTTGGTGGTTTCGGAAAACCTTGAACGAAAAGGTGTTAAATATTAAGTGTTTCAGTGAAATCAGAAGCTTTAAAAAATTTAAGAAGCGTGAAAACAATTTCAAAAATTGCAGGATAAATTTGCGATTGCTACTTAAACATTATTTCACTTCTTAAAAGTGTTTTTTAAAACAGGTTAGTGAAGACAAAATAAATAAAAAGCTCTTTGGCAAATTAATTATGTACTGAGATGAGATAAAATGAACTTTAAAAGGTCGAACAGATTTTTTTCTTGTTTCCATCGTTCGATTACGTGGATAAATTTATTGATTTCTTGTATCAATTTAATTAAGAAAAGTTATGTGAAAGATATTAAATATTCTTCGATGATTCACTGTGAATATCAATGACATAAATGATTTTATTGTTATTATGAATATTTAAGTGACAGATGACCAACTTTATAGCAACGTCATTGATTCCTGAAGTTTATTTATTCACAATTTTAGAGCCACTTGTGAAATTAAATTTTCAATGAAAACTTGTTCCAGTGGAATTTTTGGCAAATCATAGAGAAACAAGTACCAAGCCAAGGCAAACAAAAGTCCTAAATACTCGACTAATATGTGTGCTGTTATCCATCAGACTTTCCGCTTACGTGACTGATAATAAAATAAAACAACGATTTTATTTTTTTAATGAATTTTCCGTTCATTAACAAAAGCGAGAATAAAATCAAAGATTAACTAATTATTCCACTAATTAAAACGAACATCATAATGAAGCATAAAAATCTGCTAAAAAGAGAGATCCGTAACTTAGTCTAAATGATCAAAAATAAAGCTTAGCTTAACACATGACGTCACACTTATTTATTTACTTGAACTTTGAATAACAAAGAGTCAGCGAGTCACTGTTAAAATAATAATGACGGCGTGAACAAGCGTAATTCTCACTCGTCCATGATTTTACCGACGACTTTAGTAGTGGTTCTTCAAACAGACATTCCTTAATATTTTTAGTTTTTAAGATTTTTTCTAACAGACAAAAAAAACAACATTATCGATTCACTCAACTTCATACGTACGCGGCTAGTCTCGTATTCGCACAGTCATTGTAGAATCAACAGGCTATAATGTGTACTTATTGAGCGTTGCTTATATACGATGGAACAATATCAAAAAAATAAAATCAGTAAGGCTGAGCCTTGAATCTTCTTTACTAATATGTAAACGAAAGCTTGACGACTTTTGTCAGTTGGCCATCGTACAAAATTCATTCGTTTTCTCCATCAAAATGTCTTCTTCGGTCATAAATTTGTGCGATATGTGAGGGCGAGAAATGTTGGGAGAGTTTACATTTTATTTGAGAGCAATCGATGATGCTTTAAAGTCGCAACATATTGTCGGTAGTTTATGTTGAATTCATCGCTGCAACGTGCAACATAATAAATTTTATGTCTTTCTAATAGAAAATTCGTGCATGAAAGAAGGAAGTCGAACTGAAGTCGGTTAAATCATTGAAAACTGCAAAGTTCGAGAGAAATAAAAAACAAGATTAAAGAGTTTCGGAATTTAAATAAATTTTATTTTTAAAATGGAGAAATTTTATTTATTAAGAAGATCTGTAAAGAAGTTTTTGTTATTTTCTGATAGACTTTCATTCATTGCTGAATTTATGTAGAAGTGAATTGAGAAGCTTTAAGTTGCTGTTTGAATAAATTAATTTAAATTTAACTCTCACAAGTATTCATGTTATTGAAAGTTTAATAAGCTGTCTATGCCTGATCATATCAATCCATTGTTTATATTCATCAATAGCAAATATTTACGAAATCCTTTTGTTTATGAGTTTCAATATCGTAACTTGACATAACAATTATTATCCTAAAGCCTCATTTATTAAATGAATTAATGATTTAATTTTCGAACGAACTTTGCTCACAAATCTGCGAACCTTTGAAAATATTTTGCCAATTCAATAATTTTAAAGCATTTCGAATTTTTCCGCTAAAATATAAAAAAGCGAGGAAAATTTTTCAAAATTATGAACGCTTTAACATCGAACAATAAATTTTGTCGTTAACACCAGTAGAAGTGCAACATAGCGAGAAGGAAATTTGTGATAAACATGGAAAAAGTTGCTGAACCATGAACCATCGCAGTCATTGCAAGAATGTTTGCATATATTCTAATTCATGACAACAAAATTGCAAAAGTTTTTCACTTTACACTTAACTTATTTAGTAGATAGCATTGTCTTTAAATTAGATAGAGCAAGATGACAAAAAGGTCATTTCATGTGATTCCTTAGGTCGATGTTATAACGTTGTAAATGCAGTGAAATCTGTAGAAGAATCTCAGCTACGAAATATAATAATATGAAAAGGGAAAATATGTTTACGGTCAACTATCGTTATTACATAATAGAGAAGAAAGCAAAAAATGCTTTTACGCTAAATCTCATAAACAGGAATAGTGAAAAGGAAAAGGAAAATAAGCCCACATCCGGATCCAAATACCAGATTCGATTCGTGATGAGAGATTAAGTATTAGAGAAAAAATTTGCTTCGTTCCTTTACTTCTCTTTTTTTCTTGACAATGACATGAATGAATGGTGTCGTTATCTTGATTTAGACAACAGGATATTAAGTTATAATGTTTCTATTCCAATCCTTACATAAAAGAAAGGCCTTCTTGAAAAAGTATCATTACTTAATACCAACACAAACACACAAGCTTTTCTTTAAGATATCAACATCGAAGCGAAACCGAAAAATAATTGAGACTTACAAGTTTCTCTCCGTCCCTTTTTAAGAAGATGAAGCATCGTATCATATCATCATATTTATTTATGATTCGTGTTCCATCTACGAATAAACAATACATGAGAACTCACGTAAATAAAATGTGTAAGGTATATACTTACATATAAAGCAACATAACAAAAAAAGGAAGCAAAAGAGCGTCATAATCAACACAAAAATGAGTTTGTTTCCATATTTTCATTTTTTGTTTCATTCCTCCAGCCTTTTTTCTCTTTTCGAGGGCATAATAAAATTATTCTATGTTGATTTACTCTAATGTTACCAAAGGAAAACATACAAACATAAATATTAGACATGCTTCTGGAATAGATTCATTTTCATATGTACAAGTTGCGAAGAAGAGATGAGAAATGTTTTTAATGAGAATGTTTATTAGCGAAAATAACTCACAATAGAAAGTTTGGCTTTCATCACATCTGATTAATTACAGTAGCAGAGAATACTTTTCTGGAAATTAGCGATTGTTTCTAAATTAACAATGTCAACAGATTATCAGCTGCTTGAAAGCTTTTTGTGCTGTATCATGTTATGATGTAAGTAGAAGTTAAATATGACAAATGTTTGTCATTATTTGGAATAACAGAAACTTCGTGGTGTTGCGAAGCTTTGATTGATAAATGAATAATCAAAAGAAGATGAGATAATTAAAGGAAATCTTTTCAATTCCGAGATAATTTTTAAATTGTGTGTGGATGAAGTAAAGTTTTAACAATTATTTTGATTATCTGACTTTAATTATTATCAGTGAGAGAAATGATAATGCTAATGCTTCTGTATCTATTTGTTAATTAAATTAATTGCACAAAACCTTAACCCTTGAATACTAATTTTGTATTATTATTCAGGAAATTAAAAGCTTTTGTTGGATAGATAATTTCTTTCAATGAACATTCTAGAGAAGGTTCTAATGAATCAGCCGACTTTATTCAGCTAGTTAAATTACATAATGTTCAACACTTTTGTTTTTCAATGCCAATGTTTTCCAAATACTTTGCGAATTGTTGTTTAAAGCAAAACTTCTTTTCAAGAAGGTCTTTAAAATTTTAACCATTATTTGATATGTGTGAATATAACAACGACTTGCGTTAACTGTCAGTTAATAATGTGTTTGATTTCAATCATTATTAAGTAATTTTTCTAGCCTTTCACTTCTTGTTTACATCCCTCATAAGAATTTTTTTCATCACCGTTTTCTGGAGAATTTCCCCACAATGTTTATTATTCCAAAATCTTTGCATTAAAACATTTAGTTAGATAACAAACCGATTTGAAATCAATTTTCAATCCATTAGATTTGATGTGGAAAACGAAATCGATAGAATTGTTCATGATTGTTAGTTATGAATGCGTTTTTACGTAATCTAATTGTTATTTAATTCTTTAATTATAATTCGATTTTATAAAATGAAATTTTTTGTAATGAATAAATTTGTCTAATTAGACGTAGGGAAACCCGATTAGTAAGAATGAATTCAAAAGCTGAATAATCTCACTTGACAACTTTTTTGTAGGGAAAAACAAGTTTAATAAATTCAAATAACTTCAAGTTCAATTGAAGAAAAAGTGCAGCTTGCTCAAGGTTTTGTCGATTATAAGATTTCTCACTCTCTTAGCATTCAACCGGAAAGATCTTGAACTTGAAAAGCTGAGCACTCGTAGAAGATTTTATTGCTGTTTAAATAGAATTTTAGTACGAACATGGGAATGAAACAGTGTCATCGAAGGTCATTTTCAAGAATAAGTAAATGTTGATGAGAAGAATGACCTCACCACTAAATCATCTTCATTATTGTAACTTCTTCTGTCGCTTCTTACACTTTAATGATCACTTTTCGAGCACGTTCAAGTACAAGATATTTGCAAGTCTATACATAGAAGCATGTTTAACAATACAGACTTGAATATTTAACTTAAAAAAACTTTGTATGGCTTAAAAGACTGGTTTTTAAATACGAACGTAATGAGAATCATTCTTAATTCATCATCTCTACACATAATTAAATATTCAAAAGAAGATTCTTTATAAATTATCATTCATGATTCAAGTAACATCTACAGATGTGTACATTGTACAAGTATCCAGTCGAAAAGCTTAAATTTCAATATCTCTGAAACGTTTAACAAAAATTCTTTTTTTTCTGTAACATTATAATTAAAAACTAGAATATTTATGTGGATTCATTGTGAATTGACACATAATGAAGCATTGAATATGAATTGAAACATAGAACAATATTATTTAATTATAAAGTTGAACTTTGATAAACTAATTTTGTTTTGTCCCCCTAGAATCAAATTTCTATGAAGGATTACCTCGATAAAACAATAACCTCGATAAACTGATATTCTATTGCCCCCCTTGAGATATTAGTTTATCAAAGTTCCACTGTACAATGAATTCAGGATTACAAAAGAGAATTTTTTAAGTTTTCTATGAAAACTTTTTCACTAGCTGCTGGACTTAATTAAGCTTAAAATATGAACCTTTAGTAATTAGATCAAAGATTCTTTCGTCATAAATAATTAAAAATATGAAAGGAAGCACTTTATATTTAAAAGATATTTTCTTAAGTCTCTGTATCAACAAATTATTCCCATTTTATAAATAACGTGAGCGTCAATTAAGCTTGGAAAGCTTGGAAAAAGCCTTACGTCGTCGTTGTTTAGATATTTTTGGTTGAAAATTATGGTTTCCAGTTAAGCGGCACTCAGTTTTCATTCAAAATTCTCATGCAAAACACAATTTCATGCTCGCATACCGCTCGCTCGCAAGCAAACTGTTTATGACTGAAACATAATTGTTTTTTCAAATTTGCAAAAGCATTCTATGAATTTTAAATTTTTATACAAATGGTTTTTATTCATGCCGAATGAGCATTCTACTCGCGAGACGAGAGAAAAAAATGAGGAAAAAAAGGAAAAGTAAAGGCAAAGAAGCGAATTTTTTGATAAATGAGTTTTGTTAATTGAAAGCGCCGCGAATTTATTTACAACGAAATGTAACAAAACCGCTTAAAGGTTTCATTTTCGTAACATCAAAAGACCATCATAGAAAAAAGGCTGCAACAACTTAAAGTTGATAGCTTAGAAGATAACAACAAAGAACCTCTAAATGCATTTTCCATTACAATTTTCAATTGCGAATTCATAAAAAGTGAATAAATTTACATTTAAAGTGTGTGCATGCTACAGAATTTTATATTCTTGAATAGAAGCAAAATAAATCACGAACCTTCCTTCATTTAAACGATTACCTACTTTCCTTAGTCTTGTGAATATTTTGACCCCTAAATTCATTGAAGAAGATAAACAGATTAGCAAAACATGAGCTAAAGGAGAAGGGAAAACTTAAATTATTTATAGATTCATTAAAAGCGACTTCACGTCAAAACAACTAAGGCGCGATTTTTTCTTGCCTTCGTTAAAATGTGACAAAATCAGTGACTTCCTAATTAACTTTTGAATATGATTCATGCCGAGCTATTCCCTTATTTTCTTCCTTCGCTTTTCTTTCTGCACGTAACAACCGTTCTCTCGGTGGATTTATCAACCGGGATAAAAAATTAAGCATCGCTGAATAAAAGCGCAAGCAAGACCATCGCCATCGGTGAAATTTTGAATGAGAAAATAAAACCGCAAACTCATTCTCCCATTTATTCATGTGATTTAAGAATAACATTTCGGATTTTACTCATCAACATTCCACTGTCACAACGGCAGAGTCTTATTCGTTTTGATTTAAAAGAAAGAAAGGAAATTAAATCTGAAAATCTTATTTTCGTTGGGATTCGTTTTCCCACTGGTTATTATCACGGAATGAAAGACACGACAGTACTCGAAGTCCGAAAGGAAATTGAAGAAAATCATCTTCAATTGTGAGCAGAAGACTCAAGACAGGATAAATTTATTTCTATCAAAAAGAGATTTTAAGCTTCCGTCTTATTAAAGACCAATTGAATCTGATAAGAAATGGCGGAGTTTGAAATTATGATGACAGTCAGTAAAGAAGAAGAAGCTTGATTGTAATTTCTTTTCTTCATTGTTATTGCCTTCAACACCAGCTAAACTCATCAAACGTCAGTTCTTGCTAAGTAATGTTCGGACAGCAGAAAATTATGTTAAAAGAAAGAACAATTTACTTTATCTTACTTTGTCAGTTTTACTTGACGTTTTAATTTTATTTTTTTCGACGTTAAACAAAGTTTTCAACAATTTACTTAATCTGATTCGATTAACACATTTCATTTCATTACAGATAAGATAAATGGATGCCGAAACAGAAGGGCTGCCGCCCGTAGAAAACGAAAACAACTCGAATCCAATCGATATTCACGCACGTCGAAAATGGTTTAAATCACAACAATCAACCGTTGCAACACGAAGACAACAAGCCGTTTGTGTGCGAAGAGCTCATAAAATTTATGGAACGAAGAAGAATCCAAATGTTATTTTGGATGGATTGAACATGACAGTACCGAAGGGTGCAATGTGAGTTAAAGCGTGGGTGTTAAATCCTCTGTTTTTTGTAATGGCTCGTCATAAAAATCCACTGCACGTTTTACACTTTAAAACTGATTATTTTACATGAAAATAAAAACCACAACAAATTAACGAATGAAACTCTGTGCGAAAAATCGTGTAGGTAACATGTTGATGAATATTTACAATTAAATGTTGCAATATTTCATTAAATTGCATTTAAATCTCTCATCAAGGTATCAATGAACTTGAACTCTCAATTGTCTTAATGAACGTGCCATTAAATGCTTTTTTTCCTACATTCATTCGCAGATAATTATTTTCTTTTTCCTTCTTTTGCTGTGCTTGTAAACATTAATTGAATAGAAAATATTTCTTCTACTTTGTAGAAATTGCAGCGAAGAATTAATTTTGTGGCGAGATTGTCTTTTTGTTTTTAACAACATCAAAAACTTTTTGCTTACAAGACTTTTCGAGATTAAATAGTTGAACGTAATTTAGTTAAATAGTCAGAGATGTTAAAGTTCATGTCATCAGTTAAATAAATGGCGAGGTAGAGAAGAAAATTAAAACATTAAACATTTTCTTGGATCTTTGCAAATGTTCGAATATTTTCTTTCACTGTTCTAGAAAAGTTTGCGGAAAATATGATTGTCGCAACAGCATTAATCAACAAGCTTCTCATAGAGCTTTTCATTTCCTCTCAGCCCTTCTGCTTCATATATGAAGATATTTTTAATGTGATTATGAGCATTTTCATTTCCCCTTTTTATTCGAGGACTTTTCACTTGTTGGTAGTCACACACTCATAATGAATAATGCAGAGATTTTCCCGTAATTAATTTAAGGGCTTTGACAAAGCATCGTCGTACGAGTGTCGTAGATGTTAATGAAATCATGTCGAAAGAAAAAATGGGAGGCTCTTTGAATACGCGTAGGAAGAAACAAAGCTGGCATAATTGTGCAGACATTTCAGAGGATAAATGGAGTGAGAAAAGAAAGGAGGGAAAAATTTTCGCTGATGAATATGAACAAAGTTTAGCATTCACGTTGAAAAATGTTACTTCACACCCAACGCACTTTGTTCTACAACGTAATAATAATTAAGATAAATATTGTCAAGTTGATGATTTATTACTCTGAAGATGTAAAAAGAAACTTAAAGTTCATTGGGTTGTGACCTTTTTTTAAATATTCCCTGATGATAAAAAAACTTAAAACTTTGTCAATACTTGATCTTTAGAAAATTTTAAATAATAATAATAAATCAAGAAGGAAGACAACATTGAGGGATCAAATATTTAGTGTCAAGAGAATTAAAGTCATTTTAAAACTTTTTATAAAAGTAAAAGGAGAGAACTTGAGTGAGTTGTAACAAGTAACAGTAATCACTTAGTAATTAGTTAATAAATGAAGTGTCAAGAGCTTTGGTTGACATTCTACGATAGTAATTCAAATAAAGCTTAAGTGCTTACGTTTTCACCTTTGCTGTGTCATTGATTCGTCAATAATTAATTTAGTATGCAATTGTTTCAGTTATATTTAGAGCTACAATGTTCGAAACGTATTATTAAATGTTATTAACTATCGGAAATTCATCCTTGTAACTTTGTAAATCAACAGATATGGATTGTTGGGTGCCTCGGGATGTGGAAAAACAACACTTTTGTCATGTATTGTTGGCAGACGTAGACTGAACTCTGGAGAAATTTGGGTGTTGGGTGGAAGGCCAGGATCGAAGGGATCGGGCGTGCCAGGTCCACGTATAGGTTATATGCCACAAGAAATTGCCCTGTATGGCGAGTTCACGATAAGAGAAACTTTGATTTATTTCGGATGGATTTATGGAATGAACACCGATGATGTTGATGAAAAAACTGATTTCCTTCTCAAACTGCTTCAGCTTCCTAACGCTTCTCGGTAAATTTATTGATTCAATTACATTTGAGGGTGGTAAGTTAATAAATTTCTTCAATTTAGATTTGTAAAAAATCTGAGTGGAGGTCAACAAAGACGAATGAGTCTCGCTGCTGCTCTCATTCATGAACCAGAGCTTTTGATTCTTGATGAACCGACCGTTGGTGTTGATCCCGTTCTTCGTCAAACCATTTGGGACTACTTAGTTGACATAACAAAGTTTGGTAAAACTACAGTCATCGTTACAACTCATTATATTGACGAAACACGACAAGCTCACATGATTGGATTAATGCGCGGTGGAAAGTTTCTTGCCGAAGAGTCACCAGACGATTTACTACGACAATATCACGCAGATTCATTAGAAGACGTGTTTTTAAAGCTTTCAGTGATACAAAACATGGGAAAAAGAAGAAGATCGTCGATTGCGAAAGAAGTCATCGATGCCGTACAACTGCCAGCGATGACAGTGAGTTTCTTTTATGGATTTTTATTGTACAAAAGAGATTTTTTATGAAGATTTACTGCTGTCGACATTTTTAAACAGGGGTAGGAAATTTCATCTGCTTTTTCAAAAAGATGATTTTTTTTTTGTTTCCTACCCCTTTTGTGTTAATAAATTTAAATTAGATTCGCAACCTTATTTAACATTGCAGAACCCAGCACTGGATTTATCACATGATGATGATAATGGTGAAATTTCCGGAGAGTTTGGAGATAATATTTCGATGTCGTCACGTGGTCCGGATTTAACTTCACCACATGTTGTAGCTGCTACACCATTACCACCCGAAGAGGAAGCATCGTCTTCATGCTCTGATTATTTTAAAATTTTAAAATCACATCATATGAAAGCTCTGATCTGGAAAAACTTTTTGTGGATGTGGCGAAACGTTGGGTTAGTTAATTTTTTTTATTATTATATTATTGTTGACGTTTAGAGTTGAGGGAGATACTAAAACGACACGGAAACATAAGGAAATTTCAGTTTCATATTAAACTTTACTCTTTATTCTTTTCAGAGTGATGTGCTTTGTTATTGGCTTGCCTGTCTGTCAAACAATTTTGTTTTGCTTAGCTATAGGTCACGACCCCACCGGACTTCAAATTGCTGTGTCAAATCATGAGCTTTCAGAAAATCTCCTGGCACAACAAAAATGTCCCATCTATAAAGGCTGCAATGCAACGATGTTGAGTTGTCGTTATTTAGAATTTCTAAAAAATCGTAGTGTTGTTGTGGTAAGTCAGATGTGGTGATTTGTTTTTCGATTTACATGATAATGAAAGTGTCGCTTTGATGATAGACGCACTATGCGACTGACGAAGAAGCCTATGATGTGGTGCGAAGAGGAAAAGCTTGGGGTGCTTTGGTCTTTGCACATAATTATTCCGAATCTCTAGTCGACAGAACAGAATATGGGCAATCGACGCCTGACAGTGTTATTGATGCATCTGAATTAAATGTTAAACTTGACATGTCAAGTGAGAATTTAATTGTTTTCGAAACGAAGATAATCGAAATAAAATCATTTTAGATCAACAAATCGGCACGCTTCTGTATCGTGACATTCAATATGCGTACTTAGATTTCATTGAAAACATTTTGAAGGAATGTGATCAAGACCCGGCTGTTGGTCGCATACCGATAGCATGGAAGGATCCAATTTATGGCGACCGCATCCCAAATTTCACAGATTTTGCTGCTCCCGGTGTTCAACTTACGTAAGTTAAGATTTTGTTTCTCTTATTTATTTATTTCCTTAGAGAGTGAAGCTTTAACAATGAAAACAATGTATCATTAAGTTGACGATGGCCACAAGTGACTGAACAATGTCTAAGCAAATCAGAATTTACTGAAAAATGTCTCATGGGCAAAAGCGAAAAGAAAAACTTTTTTGATCTCATCCACATTTCTTTCATTTTTCATTTGCAGAATTATTTTCTTTTTATCGGTTGCTCTTACATCTGGTGCCATGGTAATCGAAAGGAACGAAGGAATCTTAGAACGTTGTCTTGTATCAGGCGTTACGGGTTTTGAAATTCTCGCATCACACGTCGTTACGCAATTCCTCGTGATGTGTTTCCAAACGACGCTCGTATTGATTTTCAGCTTTTCCGTATTTGAATTGACATTACGCGGTGACTTGTTCTGGGTGATTATGCTTGTTTTAGAGACAGGCTTGTGCGGCATGTGTTTCGGTACGTACCTATATTATTAAATTTTAAATTGGGATCTTCTCGTCTTCTTGTTAAATAGACACTTAGTTAACCAAATTATATCTCAATGATGTTGGTTGGAAGCAAAGAATTTTTTCTTCGTTGATTTTATTTCATAGTTAGAATAAGAAGGCGACGAAGATACTTTTTGTAATATTTTCTTTTCAATTCAACATGCTGAACATTACTTTTAGGCTTCGTTATCTCGTGTGCTGTTGACAATGAACGTTCAGCTACTTATTTGGCTTTAGGATCGTTTCTACCCATCATAATGTTGTGTGGTATCATTTGGCCAATCGAAGGCATGCATCCGTTACTAAAGTTCCCATCTTTCTTCTTGCCACTTACACTATCCACGGAGTCATTGCGGTCCATCACCCAACGTGGATGGCCAATTGAAGATCCACACGTTTATATTGGATTCATATCTACAGGCATTTGGATTCTTATCTTCCTCACAGGCAGTATTTTGTTATTGAAATTCAAGAAAGGTTAAACATGTCAAACTAAAGGTTTACTTTCCTCTCCCCAACTAAACATGAAAAACGTCGGGTTTTGATGTTTTCTTCTTTTTTCCATTTTTTTATCATCTCTTTTCTGACTCCTTTTGAACCCTCAGTCAAACATGACAAACATGATGGAAAAGTATTTATTTTCTAGATGACAAAACACAAAAATGTTTCCACCATACGGTTGTATTTTAAAAAACAGTTTATGTTTGTTTATGCTGTGTCATCCTCTTTCAATTATTAATAAACATTTTACATTTATTTTCGAACACTTTATCAAGGAAAAACCTTCAGAACTTGTAAGTGGATAATGTTCTCAGCAAAACAAAACAGAAAACAAAATTGCAATTCATAAATTACCAACCAAATTAATTTAATAGTTTGATTGAATAAATGCAAGTATTATGCAAATGTTTCACATGATAAAATTTTTTAAACATTCATTATGAACAAATTGTGTCATCCAATTTATAACTATTATGATGATGACATTGAGTATTTTCTTTTAAAGTTTAATAGCTTTTTGAAGTTTGAGATGATAATTTAGATAAAACTGTTCATAAATAGTTTGGTATGTAATTGTTTGTAAGAAATTGATGAAAATTTTCTAGCACTTAACAATCAATCAATGTCATTGATTTTATATTTATAAGATGGCTAAGGAAGAACATTTAACAATACACATTTTAAACAACATTAAAAGAAGCTTTTTACAGAATACTTAGAATCAAGCAGAGAGCCAGTGAAAGTTATTGTAAAGATTTCTCGCTGTTTCAGTGAAAGGAGATTGACACAATAATTTGTGTGCTTTTCTTCCTTTTGAAAATGATTAATAAAAATATCAACAAACATATCAATTCTGGATAAATAACTTCCTCTTGTTGTTTCATTTACTCAACCACCTTTCACAATTTGTCATATTACAAGATTATCAACAAAGACAATCTTTAGTCATTTTGTGATTAATGGCTGTCTACTAAATTTCGAATTTCTCGAGTATGAGTGAAAGCATTTCATCAGAGAATGAATTTTTTATGTTGTGTCGTTAAAAGCTTTGTCACATTTTTTCACAGGTCTTTAATAAAGCTGTCAAAAATAATTGAAATTTTAATTGCAATTTGTAATTATCAATTATTTCGGACAAGAAATTAAACATTCATCAACTTGTTGATCGACATCTCAATATTTTTGTGCATACCTTGAAGAGTTGAGGCGAGATTTAAAAATCACTCGATTTGATTACTTCTACGTTTAATAAACAATGATAAAGTAATTTATTATTTCACACTTTATCAAGATGTTGATTCTTTTTTCAATGAAGTGAATATAAAATTTTTACGACTTTCATTGAAAAAAATTATTGTTTAAAAAAATTAATTTAATATTTTTATTTCGATAGATTAAAGTTCCAAAACAAAGAATTCCACACTTCATTAATATTGCTTGCAATAAACCTTGATTTTGCTCCGGAAAATGAAATGATTGCTCGTAAGTGATTAAAAAGCTTTGAAAAGAACAATCGTTAAAAATTCTTTAAGAATCCCGATGATGATGATGAGAAAACAATCAATTTACGGCACTCAATGTTTCTGAAAATAATTCCGTATTTGAATCACATCCCAGCTGAGTCAGCAATCTCGACAAAGTCAATGATAGCTAATAATGAGAAATTCCTAATTATTTTATCAAATATTTGAACAACAACAAGTACAATGACATGCCCTTCATTAGCCTTTGAGCGAGATTGAGATTAACTTGGAACTTCATTGTAATTCAGGTGCCGTTCAATCAAAGCCATTTGGATAAATATTTCAGTGAATGTAATCGAATTTCATTTACAGTAAGGAGATGTGAGCTTTTTTTCGTGATTGAGAAGTATTGACATGAAGTGGGCTTAAGATTATTACCTTGAGAATTCACAATTTTCTTTCTCTTCTTTCTTCGCCTTTATTTACTTCCTATATTATCTATAAGGTTCCCGAAATCGTAAATCCTTTCCTTTTCAATCAGTAATATAGAATAAGTATCATTATCAATCACCATCATACATGGATTACTCAGTCATAAAGTCGAACGATGAAAATTATAAAAAGCTAAGAAGAATAAGCTTAGCTACATTTCGATATTATTATTGATTAATTTCATGCATGAAATTTTAATTCTTTCCACATTGTGAGTGTTGATAATTTATCATGATTATGTTGAATTATTAATTTAATTGTTAAGCTCAAAATGATTTCATTTATGCATGTATTGTAGGAATAAAGCCATTATGTTCGTTTACATTAGCTGTCTTGTCCTTACGTTGTTTCAGGGTGTGAGATAATTTACATTTGAATATGTGGCAACATGAAAGGGACCTCAATGCAAAGATATTACTTCATTAAGTTAAGTGCATCAATAATAAACTAAACTTGATTACTTCAGGATGGATGCAGAAAGAATATTTTCCACACATATTTACCTTATTAAGCTTTCTAAATATTTATGAACTTCTCGAACTATTTTATTATTTAATTAAACATGATTACTTATTTATGCATGTGTGCACTCAACATGAATATGAAAATGTTTAATTAATGCACCAAGAAGAATTCACTGAACTGAAAATGATGTGATGCGAATTGAAAAATTAGAACTAGAAGCTAATTACAATATCAATGCTGAAAGTTTTGATAGTTTGAAACCAATCTGACTTTGATGAAGCAATAAATTTTCCTGTTAATAACAACATGACGAGTGAGTGAGTTAGAAACAAATGGCATTGATTATTGGTTTGTTATAATTATCAAAATAAATGTTTTGAAACACAATTCCATGCTACGTAACATTCTAACTAGAAGAAGGTTTTAAAAATGTATCGGTCAACATTCACTCCCGTCTTTAATAATATAAGTAATTAATAAAAATGCCATGTTTCTGTTGTGTTTATGAATATTTTTATGATAAAGAAAGAAAAGTTAATTCATCATTTAATTCACATTAGCTAGTCACTTGACGCAAAAGTTCGCTTACTGTGGAATTAATTATGTGAATTACAAACATGCTGTTTCCAGTCTCTCCAAAAATCGTGAATTTTCCCCTCTCAATGACTTGCGCAGTGGGAAAAGTCTCCAAATAAATGATAAAACTCAAACACTTAAAAATGTGACACAATTTCCAGCCGATTGTCAGTTTTCAACTGAATCTCAAAGATATCGGAAGTCATACGAAAATTGTCGGAAAATTTTGTTTTTGAGATTCAATTTCTCTAAGACAAACTTTGCTTTTAGAAAGTTTTCTAATGTCAGCTTGTGTTGGAATGTTAATAAAATAAATTCTATTGATAGTTGAGAAGTTTTGCTGACTAAAAGTATGAAAAGTGAAGCTTCTTTCGACATGTGATATCGTTAAAGAAAGTTATGATGTTTACGAAAGTCATGTGGGGAGATTACTGAAAGCTTCATGCGAAACTACCATAAATAAATAATCTGTTAGATACTACTCGAAAAATATTTTTCTCTGGTGTAATAGATGCATAAATAATAACATAATCATACATGTCTATACATAAACACACATTTTGTTATTGTCTAAAAAAAGAAATTTGAATTAAAAGAAAAATGAAAATGTGAGCTCATATTGTGTTCTTTATGTTCCATGAAAAATTAATTTCCCATTTAAAGCCCAGCAGCATAAAATAAAGCTAAATCGTTCAATATATCATTGGCAAAAAAGTGAAAAATAAAAATCATATTAAATTTGAATCACTGCTGGGAGGCACGAGGGAGAGATATTTGTGCTGTTTGAGCGCGATGAGAAAAGTTCAGTGAAAGAAAATGAAAAATTTCCGAAATGAAAATTCATCATGCATGAGATTTTTCTTCGGATAAGGAATTGAAAGGAAGTTGATAGCGGGAAAACATTTATAACAACACATTTCCTTCTATAATTACGATCCGCACCGAAGAACACATGGAAATATGCTAATTTATGCCTGTAAAAGGAAAGATAAAGGTTTGTGTTATCATTTCATTTAAATTCACTTCAGGGACAATTTTCTTCGTGCCCAACAAAACAAATAATTTAGCGTAAAAAAGAAAAAAAAAGAAAAGTTCTTCATTCATGAGATCTCTGAATAAATATTGTGCGAAGTTGAGAGAGAAATCAATATTAACTTAATCATTGACCCTGATTTTCATTGGTATTCTATCGTGATTGTGGTCGGTTTTCTTATTTGTAAATTTTCACAGCGCCTGGATTATCATAATTGTTATATTGGTAGGGCAAGGACAAATAAAAGTGATTGGATTATCAACGACAAATCGAATACCATAAACTTGAACATATTTTCATCAGATTAATTCATCGAATAAATTCCACAACACAAACGACAACATAAGAGAAAAATTGCGGAATAGAAATTTCAATTTACTTCAATGAATTCATTTATTTGTAAAGGAAATTGGGACAGAGAAATTATTCTGCAGTAAATCGTTTGAAATTTAAGTTATTCTGATGATTTCATTAATTTCTAAAGGTTTTTCGAAATGTGTTACTTACAGCAAGTTTGAGATCTCTTTACTTAATGAAGATGAAATTTCTTTGATCATTTGAAGGGAATCTGAAATATTCTTTCGATTCAATGTTTGAATGTATGATAAATTAACATAATTATCTGCATATTTGTTCTCTGGATAAATCAATACATTTGGCAAATATTTTCCAAGTCATGATTGGCATTTCATTTAGCATACTTGTCATCATAATTCTTTCTAAAATGGAATTTAAACATTTACAAAAGAGTTCAATCAGAAAATTTACAAAGGTACCTTCATAAAAATATTTTCTAAAATAAATTGATTTATCCATCGCTTCATCGTTCCAGCATGGGCTTAATCAAGAGTTTTATGAAAGATTTAAAATACTTAAACTTTTTATTTCTTTTTCATTCTTTCGCTGTTATGTTTGTATGCATGTAACAATTGTTGGTCTGTTGGCATGGCCAAATCAGAAGAGAAAAATGAATTGAAATTGTTTAAAAGAAACATTTTATGACTTAGATATTGTTTTCCTTCCAATTTTTTTTTTATGAATAATAATAGAATTTCTTGGGTTGAAAAGAATCTTTAATTCAAAATAAGAGCTATCCTCCGTCCTGCTTTCAAAGCGTAAACAAAGAATACTTTTTGCATACCTTTTCACTTTCGGCAACCGTAAAAAGCCATTATGGAATTCCACAACCAGCTAGAATTTATACAGGGTAAATAGGAAGAGAGCAAAAATAGAACAATGGAATTAATTAATCAAAAAAGCAGTTCGAGAAACTAATCCCTGGGAATTTCCCAGCACAGATTTAACGTTTAATATTCGCTGTGATTGATATTAATATAATTTATGGACACGAATTATCGACCGAATGTTATCCCGAGATGAATACTTTGTCCCATGATTTTGTTTTGTTTCTAGCTTCAGCTTCTAAGCCTCTTCGTGAATTGAAAACATTAAGTCATCATATTGACTTGCTAAGCAGACAGCAATGAATTCTCTCGCTTCATAAAATATTGTCAATCATTCTGACACGTTCCAAGTGAACGAGATATTGCAAATATTTATCGTTTAAACATGTTTATGATGATGAAGACAGAGGACTAAAATTTTTAAGAGAACTTGGGAAATGTGGCGAACTTTCTTTATTAAAGAAAAAGAAGGAAAAAAAGGCACAAACAGAGAAGCAAATATTGATGAAGTCAACGAAGAGAAGAAAGAAAAAAGTTTGAAAGTTATGAGAATGAAAAAGTTAAAATTACAGAAAAATGACAAAATAATTCCATCTCATTTACCATTCGAGTGTTTTTCGACAAGCTAAACTCAACTTTCATCATGTTGACGAAAGTAAAAAAAACTCACAGCGAGAAAATGAAGCCGGAAAAACATTTGAGAACAGTAAAAGTATGAATAATATAGGATTACATCCTGTTGTGAAAATAATATTGTATAAACGCAAATTTAATTATTCTGGAGAAGAAAACGCCTGAACTGGATTTTACGATTGTTTTTTAGTAGCTTCTGTGAAACAAAAATGACAAAGTGTTTTAGCTTTCCAAAATATTACGACCAGGCGCCTTGTTTAATATTTTCAGGTCGACGATATTTGCCATAAAATGTAATAGCGGTACCTGACTCTACCAATAGCTCCCACTAATCTAAACATTGTCTTAAACGTAAACCTTAAAGAGGCTGTTAGCTGTTACCGCCTTTTGGAATCACGGAAATTTTCCAAACACTCATCATGTTTTTTCACAATTTTCACTTCTATTTTACTTCACACACAAACCTTTTCTTCGCATACCCTTCAATTATTTTAATTTGCGTTTCCCCTAATTACTTACTTGCTTGCTCTCTTTTGACTTGTGTCGGAGAAAGTCGGTAAATACTAGAATTTCCTTCCTATTTAAATTCATAACAAAAAAAATCTAATGATACCTTCGGGGACCTCCGTGACTTATGTCACTCCAGGTAAGATACTTAAGCAAAGCACAGAGGCTCATAAAAATATCTGAGATCGTGGGGTGAATATATTTTTATTCATTTTAATCACACGACTTTCTCACATTCTTCATGGAGAAGTTGCTTGAGAGTCAATACATTAAGCTTTGGAGCTGCTACCGTGTTATAATCATTCACGTCACAGTAAAATTAAAAGTTTGTTTTTTTCTCTTTTCATTTTAACGAAAATAATTTTATCAAGCTCGGCAATTTTTCTTGTTCTAATTTGATTTTAATGTCTTAATATTTTGTCTGTACAGTAAAGTTCTAACTTTCCTCCTCGACATTCTCATTAGCCCAGTTTTTTTCTTCAAACATAATCCTTTTTAATCGCAAAAATGTTTGTTTTCGCGAAAGCTTTTTATCATTAATTCATGTGAAAAATCTTACACTGTCGGAAAGTTTCTTAGGATTTATTGAATCAAGATATCAAAGTTCCTTCATGTTCTGCTTTTCTTTTCACACTTTGAATGGGATTTTTGTTTAACTTTCGCCTTGTGATGAAGATGGTAGCAGGAAAAAAAGAAAAACGATTTGGATTCTTTATTTTCCTTCATCTTTAACATAAAGTTTCTTCTTTCTTTTAGACTTTTATCGAAAACAGCTACACTCGATAAAATGGTTTATTCTGCCTTGTTTTTTTCTCAGTATTTTTATCGCCATTCTTTTGAAGTTACGCACACAAATATCAAACAGTAAATCTTCAAGTCTAACTTCCATAATGTTGATCCCGAAAGAAAGAATGGGAAAAGTGCTTAAAATTTAAACAAGGAAGATAAGTGCGACGTTACTAAAGTTGCGGGTTGTAGCACTTTATCAGTGAAATAATTTCAATAAAGTACGAATGAATGCAAAGTCGTCTTACATTATTGCAGCATAGATAACTGGATTTGACGTGTTTGAGTCATTTGAAAATGATATGCGATGAGCCTATGATCCCAGATACCAAATGAAAATAGTCGAACGTGGTTTTCTGTCTTTTATGTTCCGCAATCGAGAAATGAAATTTAACTAAATTCGTTTATAGATTTGCATTTAAATTCAGTTGTTATTTTTTTGTCTCTCTCCAATGCAGAAACATTGCATGGATGTTCTCACTGTGAGAAACATAAACTTTTTTTTCGAGAATTAATGGAATAAAAATTTGCCAAAAGCTGTTACATCCGTCGTATGATAGTGCAAACAATGTACTCTCAATTCACAAGAGATCAGAACAAAAAATATCAAATTCAACCCTAAGCCGATGGACATTGTGTAAATTGAACACATATGGATGTGCCTACGGTGAAGAATGGGAAAACAAGTTAGAAACAATGACAAACCGATGGATACAAGAATCATGATTTTTTTCTAAATTTTAGACATAGTGCGAGAAGTGAGGAACTCAAACACATGGAATGAAAAGGGAACAAAAATCCACGTAGATATAAATAAGCACAAAGGATTGAGCTGCCAAAAATAGATTGCTTTTTATTATGTTTCTGCAAAAGGCACATTTTTAAGCAATTCACATTGATTTATTGATTACTCACTCAACTGCTATCGCTTATAAAAAGTTGTATAATCTACGAAGTGATGGATAATAAAGTCTAGACCATCAATATATTTTGTCACAGAGTTGAATTAATGGAAGTAATTTCCGTATGTAATGAAATTGGAGTTTTATGTTGAATGTTAAATTGTTGAAAGAAATTTTTTCCTTCAATGTTGTAATATTAAAAACAATTTTTTACAAACTTTACGTACAGTTGAAATTGTATAAATGTGACTTGATTTTTAATGTGCGTAAAAAATGTTTTCGCTTGTTTGAAAGGAAATTGGCTTACTTTTCAAAATTCACTTTCCAACTCATGAATATAAAAGAGGAAATTTTCTGCTTTATGAAAATTTACATTTTGTAGTTTTTAATTGAACAGAGAAAATGGAAATTTTGAAGCTTCTGGGAATTCACATTAATGCAAATAAATTTAATTTATGGAGCTAAACATCGGATGAAGATGACTCTGAAAATATTATCGAATTTCAAATTATGAAAGATGATTCTTGCTGCTATAAATGTTGGCAATTTAAAGTTCTCCAGTAGCAAAATAAGTTTTAATTGTGTGAACTTAATTTGAGGTAATGACAGAAATCTCATATAACAAACTCGATTTGTCAGTGTTGAAGTCAGAACATCATCAATCAGGAAAATGTTATGATTTCCGTAACAAATCTTATTATTCTCAACATATTCTTTGCTCGTGGTCGTGAAAATTTAATTCACCTTCGTTCAAAGTTCGAAACCTCTAAGGATCTTCCGAGGTGAAAAGAAAGAGAAAAATCAATTCCAAAGGAAATAATGGCATTTAATGTATGGTAATCATAATGCTTTCACTTCGTATATTTTGTAGGGTCGTCTCATTCGAGATTCATGAGCAAGAGTGATCCCGACATTGTATAATAAGGATATTCATATTTTTTCACTCCACAATAAATGTGTGTGAATGAACATAGGCGAGAGGATGGAAAACAGTGAAAAGGATGAAACAAAAAATAAAATAAAAAAAGCCAGCCTACGTCAAAAAGACGACATGAAAGCAGCTTTCATTTCATAAAAAAGAGAAATGAAGTGAAGCGAGAAGACAGTTCTTTAAGGAAATTAATATAATTCTGATGCTTTAATATCCATTGTGCTTATTAATGCGAATGATGAAGACGCTTCATATGGACTCGAAGCTTACAATGAACTTGCTTGAATCAATAAACACATTTATTTCTTATGTTTTCTTCAAGCTTATTTTGTCTACGAATGCTGATTGTGGTGGTTGCAATATTCGTTCCATTTATCTTTTTTTTGCCCTTTTTTTTCTTCACCGCTTTAATCTCATTTATTATTATTTCAGATCTTCATTTCATTCAAGAAAAAAATTGCATGAAACCAACAAAGCTCATTTTTTATATGAATTGGATTTTGATTCATTCGTTTCCCCTTTTAAAACTCTGTTTAAGAATTTCTAGAAAAAAATATTCTTGATTAAAGTTGAAATTTTCAAAGTTATTATTTTAACAACGACTAAATTGAATTGTAAAAATCAAAAGAGAAAAGTTTTTTATTTCTTTAGGATTTTTATGTGCTTTGAGATGATTTGCAATGCACTGTGGCCATTAAATTGTTAAAGATTATCTTGAACCGAAAGAAGTCTTAGATTAAAGAAATGTTAATGTCGACTGAAGCTTTTATTGATGAAGCCCTTGAAAAGTTGAACATTTACCTTCGATTGTTTGTTTCGATATAAATATTTCATAAATTTCGACTCAAAATATTTCTTAAGCATAACTCCTACGCTTCTTAACTTTTCAACTTCTCGTTCCATATTATTCTCGTCAGTTATATTATACTAACAAAATTTACTCATTTCATTTCCCAGGGAAAGATCATGATGGTAATACAAAAAATAAACAAATAACATTCAATTTTCTGTATGCTAGGGGGAGAAAAATAATCGAGGAAAATTGTAAACCAAAATCATAACAATTTTCGTTATTTTATTTTTTTCTTTTACTCTTCTCAAACATCTCAAGATCTATGATGAGAAATGTTTCAGCTTTTTCCACGTCAGTTAAGAATGAATGGAAGAAATGTTTGAGAAGTTGAGAAAGTTTCTATTTACTTTGGTATTAAAGCAATGAAGCTTATTGAAATAATTTCTCTTCGTCATCATCTTCCTGATGCAGAAAAGTGGAAAATTGATCTAAAGCATGAATAAAGTGAACCTTAGATCAGAAAGACGAAAAGACTTAGAAGAAATTAATTAAAATTCACATTGAAGCGCAACGGGTTGGAGCGAAAAGTTGATCATCAGTTAACGGGATTTGTTTAACGCGTGACTAATTGCCAGCGCCCCGCATATTGTCGAGATCAGCAATCGCGAATTAGAAAATCTTTCGGAATAGAAAGGGAAGATGAATTGTTAACATAATGAGAGAGATAATTGTGTCTAATTAATTCTGGATTTCAATTCTCTCACTCTCTTAGCTTTCCCCATTTTGTTAGCCAACGATTTATTCCATGCTGAATAATTTCGATTCTCTTGTGACTGATAACAGCAATCAGCGGAAATCTAATTTGGAAATGTATGAAAAAGCTGTGATAATAGTAATACATGACGACGATGTCGTCCCACCATTAACTTTCATTCACAAATTACAATGTTTGTCTTCAACTTATGCGACAAAATTTATGAATAAAGCCTTGTTTCGAAAACATCAACATCCATTACACAATTTAGCAATCCACCGCATAAAAAATCGTTTTGCAAAATTAATTGATCAATTTGTAATCAAAGCCCATTAAACATTGGATCCATTAAGTGTTTTTGTTTAATGATATGAGATAGATCCAACAAGATTTGTGTATGCTTAGCCAATGTTTTTCCACAATAAATATATTTGTTACTTACATTCGTAAATGAGTTTGTATGTACATATAAGTATAGTGATTGACTTCATTTGAGAATAATTTGCTCGGGTTTTTTCCTCTAGCTTTATTTATAGTAGTAAGTTTTCGCAGCTACCCCAACAGTTTGCAAATATTTACTTTTTATTACGAGAAATAACAATTACGTTCCAATGAGAGACCTAAATTATAGCATTTGGCCTTTTTGTCATATCATTTTCGAACGACAAATTCGATTACCAAATACCAAAACCTTAATTTTGTTGATTTAATGTTTGCTACTTTAATTGTTTTGAGCTTACAGCAATTAGAGAAATTAATGATATGCACTTTACTCTTGAATCTCTCTAGCATCTAACATTAAGAGAAATTCAGAGAAAATGAATTGCTAAACATTGATAGAATCTGAATATTTGAATGAAATTAAATTATTTGAATGAGAATTCTAACACATTTTGGAGTACTGACTTGAATTTGTTTTTATAGCAACATCATCATCATCATCATCACTTTAAATGGATGCGATGTTTGTAAATGAAATCTACTTTACAAAATGATTGAAAATTGAGAAATACAATAATTAAATTTCAATTATTTTTGTTAAAACGAGATATTTGATCCTTTTCAACTATTTTCCACTCATAATTGTTGGAAATTTAATGGTTTCTATAGCCACAATAAAGCCAAACATTTACACGTCTTATTAGAAACTATTAGCAATTCTTCATGCTTTGTCAAGGAAAATCTGTTTAAATGGAAAATTGAAATATAAAAAATATATAATTAAGCCTACTTTGTAATTAAATTATTCTTCAAATCAGCTTCTCCTCTCATAGAAAGAGACGTCAAAATTCTTATTTATATTTAAGTATCTATTATGGAGGGGAAAAATCCTTTTAAAAAGCTTAAAGCTTAATGTTTATCAAGAAGAAATAACGTGTCGAAAGTATAATCGTCTTAGACAAGAAGGGTTTATGTTTTCACTCTATTTATCTTTAAAAAAATAACAAAATTCTTTACTAAATTTCCAAGTTTTCCTTCTTTTTAAAAAAATTCAGATCTCTTCTAATTGTACCGTCAATCTCATTTTACTTCATCATCAACACAACAAAATGTTTCTAAAGCTTACCATGAAAATAATCTTTTCCATTTACAGAAAAGAATTAGGGAAAAGCGGAAATAAAAGGAAAAATCATTCTATCCAGTTAGCCTTTTTTTAGCAATCGCACCTTCCGCGAAGTGAATCTGGCACCTTTCAAAGGAATTCAATTATGATGTTAATGAGTTATACTTATTTACTTGTAGGTTGCGGTGAAGCGTGAAGTTGGACTTTAAAAGACTTCCTTTTCAAGATCGTTTTTGTTCTTTAAAAATCTTTATTACATTAATCATTCCTCAATGAAAACCATTGTATTATACTTCTTCACAACAGCCGCTTTCATCGTAATGTTCTAGAAAATTGCTCAACCGAACATCCGTTATTATTTGCCTCTTATCTTTATAAGCAAGTTGGAATATGAAAAATGGTATAACGCTTTCACTATATATGAACAAAGGAAGATTTTCCTCTTTCTTTACATCTATGCTTCCGCTTACATCGGCTTTCTACGAAGAATGAAGGTGAATAAAATGAAAAATTGAGTCTTATTGCATCATAGATAGTTAACAGAATAAAACGTTTCTAAGTAATTTCTCTATTTTCATACAAGACTCGACAAAAAACTCTCTAAAAAGAAACATAAAGTAGAATCAACTTGATATCTCTATTTATTTACTTGGGTTTCCTCGTTTTCTACACTTTTGATCGTTGTTGACGCAAATGAAAATCAGCTTGACGTTCTCAATGTCTGTCAAAGGATAGAACGCTTTATCTACCTTTTCCCCCTACAGTGCTCTCTGTCGTTTTATTTTTAGAAAACATTTCACTTTTAAAACGAAGTTTCATAACTTTTTTGATTCGCGAACATTTCCCAACTATTTTTATTTATTTTACCTTAAAATCTTTGAAGTGAGTGGCAAATCTGCTTCGAGAAAATTTAAGTAAAAGTAAATATTTTGGATGAAAGCTGCTGTTTTGAAAGAAAGCAAATTCGCCTTAGGTCTGAACATTGGCATATAAAAAGGAACAATATGATGATGATTTCAACAACCTGCAAATTTCTAAAGCTCTGTGAATAAATGCTTTCAATCACGAAAGCGCTCATTTCATAAAGATAACAGATATAAGGAGCTCATTAAGCTTAAGGGCATTTTACGTCGAAATTCTTTTCATCCCAAAAAAAAACAAAGAAAGAAAACATCTCTATGTAAGTAGATAGCTTAGTTAAATTTAAGATATTAAAGTATAAAATAAAATTTTCTTCCCAAGAAGACTTGAATGAGTAAACTTAAAATTGTACACAATGAACTTAAATATTTATGTTTATGAGATTAATGTGCTTAAAAAATGATAACTTTTAAAGAACATCTCATATCCGGAAGTTGCAATCCTTAAACATTCTTGTAATGCTTTCAGTTTTTTATGCCAAGTATGAATCTTTAAAGAAAATTCATAAGTTAGTCTCTAGACAAGAAACTAATGCTTCTCTAATGTTTACGACATCATAAACTTTCCGAAATAAGAGAAAGTGTCAACTTAATTAAATTAATAACAACGTTAACTACTCAGTGCTCGTTATGCCGTCTAGTCGTGTCATTTCAAATATTTGTCAAGTCTGGAGGTTGTTTGAAGGTTGACATTCAACTAGGTAAATGAAAATAATGTTACAGATAAATTAATGTTGCTTTCTCAAACTCTCTAATGGAGTTTGCTGTGTTTGAGTGTTGAGGGTGTTCATGTTTACTTTATTTAAGAGCGACTTGATGTGAGCGTAAAAGTTTATTTGTATTGATAAAAGTTTTAAAATATTAAGAAAATTGATTTTTAAGTTGGAAAAGAAAAATCACATACTGTAGACGACATTTACACTTTATCAAACACTCTACAGAGAGTGTTCAATGTTCAATGGAAGAGAAGTATTTTTGAATACGTTTGAATTTATTTATCGCCAGAGCGATTTAGGGAGATTTCATGGCTTTCTTACCATGACTTTCTCTCTTGCGACATAAAAATCTAATAAATTGTACATCGCAAGCAGATTCTTCCTTAAGCTTTTCCTCAAAAGCACAATATGGGAATCCACATTCCGCTTGACTTTCAATATTTTATGAGTCAGCATGGATATGGTGACGATGGGAACTGCGTAAAATTGTCGTGAATGAAAAAAAGGAAAAGTAAATATGTGAGAGAGAGAAGTCACTTCATATGAGATTTTCCTTGCTATGCAAACTGTAGCAATAAAATCGAATTCTTTGCAACACAACGAATTCGTCACAAGGGAGAATACAACTTATGCGAACACTTAACTTTGACTCTTTTTCATGGATTTTCGTGTAACATAATGCTATTCGCTAAATAAATCTTCACACTGAGTCTATGATATCTCAAGGGAAACATTCCCAACTTTAGTAACGAAATGAGTGTTATTGTATCGAAGTCATTCCACTGCCTTTCATTGCATGTGTAAAATTTTGAGTACTTGTTTGAATTTCCTTATAAAAGCAATTGACATCATTCTCACACAATCTTCTTCATTTTTATTTTAATTCTCTCACACGGCTTTATTCAAAAAAGAAAATCGTTGTTTGTTACATTTTCTTTTTATATTTTAAGGTCGTGACTCATATAAATTGAGGTAAACCGAAAGAAAACATCTTCACAAAAATTAAAAGCATTTAAATTCAGATGGGAATGTTTGAGATTTTATTCTTCCTCCCACAATGAACTGAAATTTTCAGGACATTAACCGAGACGATTGCGTCACAATTGTCTATTTTTCAAAGCCATTTTGTTAAAACTTTGGAATTAAGATTATAAAAGCTTGCTAGAACAAGGAAATTTTAACAGTTTGGCTCTTGAGTAGAAATGTTTGGCAGAAAAGTTTGCTTATATATTCTGAATACATCACGAATGTTCATTATCATCAAAGAGGTTATGTGCACGTTCATATCAAGCAGAAAGGCAACGTCAGCATTAAACAAAACTGATTTGAAAAGTTTCCATCCTCTAATCGAATAAAAACGAAAATGTTTCTACGCCTTTAAAGTTTGAACTTTGAGAATGAAGAAGGAAAATATTTACAGATAGTGATGAGATTTCAATCCAAATTTATTTATTCTTATAAAAACAATTTATCGTCAATTGATAAAGACATTTTGAACGCATTCGTTTCGCAGCATACATTTTTGTACCAACAATTCACGTTCCAAAAATTTAAATTGACTCAACATTTGGAAGAATTTCTTTCCTTCAAACAGAAACTTAAGCAAAAAACAAGAAAAATGTTTAGGAATGTGGGTCGAAAATATTTTTCGATATTAAGATACAAATTTAGTGATGTGCATGTGCGCTTAAATATTTAGAAATTTCAAAGCAAAACGTAGAATATTTTTCAACATTTATTAGAATTTCAGACAAGAGATTCAATCAGAGAAGGCATTCATTTAATAATAATCATTCGACTGAATAATTATAATTAATGTTTAAAATTTCTCAAACATTATCACATTTAATGTATTTTCTCAAGCTCAGACATCAATTATGCAGTGCCATTCAATTTCCAAAGCGCAGGCAATTAATATTTAGATGAAGACTTCAGAAATAATTAATTTCATATTTTATACAAAATCTTTTCGAGTCATCTTTCCTCCGTATTTAAGAAAAATTTAAATTTCATTCGACATCAATAAGTTAACGAGGTCGCTTCAATTTCTCTTCAATTTTCTTCACTTTCACATTGAATAATAATTTCTTTTATTCTTTTATAAGTTTATCTTTTGTACAAATTTTTCCATGTGTATTCTTTTTATCAACTCAACTTTCACAAAGGAGGGATTTGGATGAGAATGATTTATACACGCATACAAAAGGCAAAGAAAAATTCTTCCGCCTTCAAAATGTGTAAATCATTTGTCTGGTAAAAAAGTAAGCAGAAAAAAGTGAATGATGTCATGTGCGGTGATGAATAATAAATTAACCGTGCTTTTAACATGGAAATATCATAAATACGAGCTTTGAGCCTAAACTAAGTTACACTCAAACTTGGTTTATTACCCGAGTGATTCATTTGTGGTCGTAAACATGGCTCTTCCTTCTCAAGGAATGTATATGAAATGTATGAAGCAAATCGTAATTAAATCTTACAATAAAACATATTGGATAAGTTTCCCTTGTGGTATTCTTATAAAAGCCAGCAAGTGTTAAGTATAATTTAACCAACAAGTCTTTTATTATATTATAAGAAGAGAACTCTTGATGATCTTTTGTTTTATATTTAATAGTCATTAGTAGTATGAAGAAATAGTTAAGTAAATCCATTATGATGTGCTCCTTAAATTATGAGCTTGTTTGGCTCTTGTAATTTTATGCTGACACAGATTTGAGTTCTTAAAACGAGTCAATGCCCTTCTTCACTTAGTTCATTCGAATTATGAAAGCTTTTCTATCCATTAATATCTATAATTAAATCGTTTTTCTCTTGTTTCTCACTGAACCAACTCAAAAGCTTCTGTTTTTCGTCTTCTTATTCGTTTCCAAACAAATAATTAAAAAATATTACAAGGGTTTTTAAAACTTTCGAAGACAACTCAATATTTCTGTTGAAGAGCTTGATTAATCTAGCATTTTGCGAAAGCTTTCTAAAAGTTTCAAAATTCAAATAAAATTTTCAAAGGATGGTTGAGTGAGTTTGTAATTTCACACCCTCGAGCAGAAATTAATTGAATAAATTTGGTAATCAAGTGAAACTTTTATAAAAGTAGAACTTTTCTAAGAAGAAAAAGAGATAGAAACGGAATTAATCAGAAGCCAATCGTTAAAATCTTTAGCCACGGGATAAACTTTGATGTAGCATAAATTCTAACATAAAATTTATCTATATCATTGAAAACAGCGGCAATATATTAAAATATCTACATAAATAAATAAAAAGCTTTGGTTTTGATGTTTTGACATTCCTTTCAAGTGCTTTAACTACTTGAATTTCTCAATGCTAATATGCCAACAAATCATAAATAAAATATTGCGTGAGATTTTAACATATCAAGTAAAGTGTATTGCACCGTCAATTTTCCCATGAAATATTTAATACCAAAATAGAATTCAAAGCATACAAAACATAAAATACGCATGGCGTGTACATTCGAAATATTTTCAAAACTTTTCTTTTCCACTGAACTAAGCATGAAGATTTAACATATTTAATATAGCTTTGGTATTTGCGAAATAAGAAGCGAAAAAGCTTTTCCTTCGTTATGATACTAGGGCACGTGAATGACATCATTTGCATAGAATAACATTTACTTTTCCTTATATGGATTTTTGAAAATAGATTTTCTTCGAAGGCTAAGCAATTGATCCCTCGAAGGATAGGAAATCAAAATAAAATGCCTTAAAACATTCATATGAATATCGCAATTTCCCAACGCAACATATTGAAAAGGAGATTTCTTGGCTTTTACTTTCCGTTATGTTGCGTTGTTTTCTTTTTATAGCCAGTTCAATATTTGTGTGGTTTATTGAAAAAAAAAAACGAAAATATTATTTGCGTACCAAGAGCTCAAATATTCCATGCTTCTGTTTACTGAATTAAACAATTTTATCAAACGCTCCCATTTGTCATTAAATGATTTGAGGAAAATAATCGTTTTAGCTACTAAATCTCTTGGCATCATAAATCATAAAGGTTACTGTTTTCAAGGATAAATCGTGCTAGTAAACATACACGTGGCTGAATAGTAATGAGCACCCTGACAAGCACACAGTTTAATTTACCTTATTTAAGAAACACTTCACAAAATCTACAACCTTTTCGACTTTAACATCTTTCATGAATTTAGTTATTTAAATTAAGTATTTATTACAATTTCAACCACGAACCGTTCATGATGATCGAAAGTTTTAATTGTATCTCTAAATTAAAAATAATATTTGAACTTTATGAAAAGAAAACTTTCCGCGAAGGATAACAAATTGTTAGAAACTCTTTCGCTCGCTATACTCCTTAATAACACTCATTGCTTTCTACTATCACTTGAAATGGAAAAACAAAAAAAAATAGCGAAATTTTATGTGGAAGGATTGAGCAAGAGAAAAACGACCCAAATACATTAGCTAAATTACAAAATATAATTTCATTTCTGTGTTTACGAATAGCTCATAATACCATAGGCTTTCTTTCACAAAATCCGAGGTCTGGCCTCGAAACGAAAAATTTTTCTCTCTTTTTCACAAATAATTTATATAATACTTAAAGCGTGAAATTTATATCTCATCAGGCATTCAATGAAGCTTGCTGTAATTATGAGAGGATTATTTAAAATCTGATAAGATTTCACTCCTCCCCCTCCCTCGCAATACAACCATTTACTGATTCGATCTTTATATATTTTATTTCTGTTTTCAGATCATAATTGATAATCAAAGATAAGCAAACAGAAATACTATTGGGAAATGCGTCGCCGAAAGCGCACTGAACTCTTCAAATTATGTGGTTTATGTTTTTCGACAATAATAATAATCAATATCATATCGGTATGTACACAATGCACAGCGTCCGCGATACATTTGGAGGAGCGAATGGCAGTTGTAAGGAGAGTCTTACGCGAAGTGCCTTTAATAGATGGGTGAGTGTTTGTTTAATAAATAAATCACAAAGAGCAATAAATTGTCATTTTTATGGGTCACTACTTTGCTATATAGTCGACTTTCCTTTTATATGGTCTTCAAGGATTGTTGAAAGTATGAGGAAAAGAAGTTCATGCGATGAACAGTTTGGGTTGATTTAACTCAATCACAAATTTTATTCTAGATATATTCTGCCGCTTTTTCTTTTTCACATGACTGCGTCCAATTCAAATGAAGTTTCAACTCGATGCTTATATACGGAACTTTCGTTACATGTTTTTGCTTCCCGATTGTTTGGGATGAACTTCTGTTGTTGATTCAAGAAATTCGTTCAAGTGAAACTCGATGAAAGAAACACATTCACACACATTTTTGAAATGAAAGCTTCTCGGAACAGAAGTCAATTTGTTCTGATTTCTGTTGTTAAAACATTCGTTCATTTCTTTTTTTTTTTGCTGTAAGCATCACCACAAAAGAGGGTCTGTTCAGGTCACCCTCAAATGAAATAATATCCGACCAGCCATAACTTAAACATTTTTATGTTTAGCATTACGAGAAGAGGGCTGATGTCCAGAAACTTAAATAACGTTTTTTTTCCTTCTCGGGACCTTTTAAAAAACCCGGAAAAGACTTAAATAAACCTTTTGTGCTATTATAAATAAACCAATAAATTTTCTTTCCTCCATCTTCATACTTCATCCTCGAAGACAAATTATTTGTTTTTTTATGACTTTTCCTCTAATAAACATTTTTGTATGATTTTTTATCATCTAATATGTATTTACTTTTCCCCAAACTCCTTTTTATTCATTGCTGCTGTTTTTTGTGCTGTTATGAAACATAATGTTACATTCTTTGTTTTATTTTCAATGTAGACACAACGATTTGCCATGGAATATAAGAAAATTCTTGAAAAATCAACTTCGCGAATTTCGTTTTGGCGAAGACCTTCGCGGTATCACGCCATGGTCAACAAGTTCTTGGTCGCACACAGATCTCAGACGTTTAAAGGAAGGCATGGTGTCAGCTCAAGTGAGTATTATATGAGTTGAGAAAGCAATTGATCTTTATCGCTTTCAACAGTAAACCGCTGCTTGAAAATTTGTGTCCCATAAAACGACATTCAAATGTCGTCATTTTTACAAAATTTTTCGCCGTCTTATTTCATGTTGACGACAATGACTGCTGTGTATATACATAAATGTGTATGTACATTTATTCAATGTGCGAACGAGAGAATACAAAAAGAAGTTATGGAATGATGCTGTAAAAATCACATTTCTCTTCAACAGCTATAAAAGATAATAATAAAAGCTTTACAGTAAAAATTCCATTGTCTCGTTCTTGTAAATTATGAAAGTTTAAGATTCTTGTCTCGTTGGGAGTTGAAATTATATTAAAAATTTTCACTTGAAATGGTAAGGAATTTTACTGTAAGCATCGCACTCATCATCAATTGCGCTATATCCTATTTATTCAATATTTATCGAGCCATTTCATATATTTCGTCCCCTTTCCATTGAAATTATGACTTCTCGCATCTTTGTTTCGTATCGAGAATTTTTTTCAATAATAAAAAATCGCACAATAGCCATTGAGTGTTTATTGGGATCATGTGCGTTATTTTTTCTGTTTTCCATACATATTTCAACAAAATCATTTTTTGGGATTAATCTGGCTCAACTTTCTGATGTATTTATCTGTGATTCATTGCTTTGGGGGGAAATTGAGAATCACATAACTTGCAAACAAAACATTGTTTCTCAAAGTCGCAGCATTTCATACAATAACAGAAACAAACAATCTTCCCTGCAGGGAGGCTTCGATCGATATGCTTCTCGCATATTAAAGCAAGAGAGAAAACTAATAATGAATCAATCATAGTTTGATGAGTTTTTGTCGTTTGATAATATGAGGCAAAAAAGAGGTCATAACAATTGTCAAAAATGAGTAGAAATCAATCAGAAAGGAGTTGCTTCGAGTGTAGTTAAGCAACAAAATGCAAAAACAACAAGGAAAGGTTTCTCACTCGTAAAATTTCATCATTATTGCCAAATATAAAATATTCAGCTTGAATACCTTTTCTCGCTTGCAAAACGAGCAGAAGTTGTGACTCTTTTCCTTTTAAATATAAAAGTAAACGCAAATGACAGGAAAATGTTGAAATAAGAAAATTGTCTTATAAAACATAAGAAGAAAAAAAAAACCCATTAAGATCGAATCTTACAAAAGCAAAATTTTCTTTCTTCCATTATTCTGTATCACCTTTTAACAGTTTTGGTCTGCTTATGCTCCATGTTCGTCTCAGCATCTAGACGCTGTACAACTCACGTTAGAGCAAATAGATTTAATTCGACGGTTAGTACTTCTTTATCCGCAACACATGTCACTTGTAACGACAGCTGATGGTATCGAAGAGAGCCACAGGAAAGGAAAGTTAGCTAGTTTAATAGGAATTGAAGGCGGTCATAGCATTGGGACGTCATTGGCCGTTCTTCGGATGTTTTATTCTCTTGGTGCAAGATATCTCACACTTACTCATACATGCAATACTCCTTGGGCAGGTAAGTTTTTCGTCTCTTCTGTTCTTCTTAAGAAGCTTTTCTCTTCGTTATCCTCTTCAAACTTTAATAAACACTAATCCACAACAATTAATTAAACTTCATTCAAAGTCATGACAAATTTATCATTAATCTTCCCATTTATCCGATTATTATTATGTATATCAAAGATTATGCATAGCATTAAAAAACTGGATTAGTTAACTATGTAAAAATTGTTTGAAACTTCTCCATGATAAAAGTTTTATTCTTACAAATTATTTAGTCGAATTGTCTCCTGGGGATAAATGAGAAAAGTTCTCTTTAGAAACGACAGCAGAAGTGTGCAAGGCACTCATCGTTTAACCTTTTTTTCTGTTCATTTTCATGAAGATTGCTGTAAAGTCGATGAACCCGGTCAAGTCCCTCATATCGGTGGATTGTCACATTTTGGAACGGTAATTGACGACAATTTAATCCTTCAAAACTTTCTCTTGATTAAAAGTTCTCCATTAATTCCAATTACAGCTCGTCGTATCTGAGATGAATCGTCTTGGGATGATAGTAGACTTGTCGCATGTATCCGTACCAACAATGCTTGATGCATTAGCAACATCGAAAGCGCCGATTATATTTTCTCACTCATCAGCTCATGCAATTTGCAACTCATCTCGAAATGTTCCGGATCATGTACTAAAGCGCATTGTGAGTTCTGCAGATGATTTAATATAAGAAGAAAATGTAATTAATGTTCTCCATAATTTATCCACTTGGTTTAGGCTGTGAACGGAGGTCTTGTAATGGTTGCATTCTATCCACATTTCGTCAGTTGCGGTGAAAAGGCTACACTCAAAGATGTCGTTGGTAAACTCAATTATTCCAATTCAATTATTTCATTAAGCTTTTCCTATGGCAAGTCTCCAAAAGCCAACAAGTCAGTCTAGAAGCTGAATTGTCTTTCTCTTAAATTTGATGAAGGCATATGGAAGGTGAAAATATGCAAATGAATTGTTATGTTCCCAAAAGTGTTTCGAATATTTTTCTTATCTCGTCTGTCATTTTTTCCCTTTTTTTTCAAATATGAGAAGACAAAAAAAAAATCTCAAAAGCTTTTGACGAAAAAACTTGTTCGCAATCTACTTAACTTATCTGACAGAGGGGATGGTGGGACTCTTATTTATATTTAGTAAAAGATTAATATTCAGAGTCAAGAGTAATTAAGCAAAGCATTCTAAAGGTAGACATTTATATTCATTTAAAAGGATGACTGATTTTATGTCAGTCTCAGTTGTGAATAAAAAGCTTTGCATTTGAAAGTTCTGAATTGATCAAAAGTGTTGTGATCCCCTTTGTATACATATCTGCTTTCTTGCTCATTTATTATTCAGCTTTTCTGTTTATATGAAAACTTTACATATCAACAGAATACTTAGCACATTGCTTTAGGGAGAAATATGAAAATTTTGTAACACGTTAATCTTGTCATAACTCACTTGCCTTCTCTCTAGTAGAGGAGAGGAAAATAAATATATGTAAATGAGATATCTTAATGGTTCAAGTTTTGGGATCTTACAAGTGCATAATCACATCATTTTAACGTGACATAATCCGAACATGATTCCCGTTTTATTATAACATTCGAAGGGATTTAAACTCTAGCAAAAGCTCCACCTAATATTACATAACAAACAGTTTTTCGTAACGAATAAAACAACAGCACAATTTAGATTAATTAATAAAACAAAAGTTAATGTTAGTCAAATGTAAGGGAAGAGACGAAATGAAAGTGTTTGTTAGCACGACAATTTTACTTGGTAAAATAGTGAAAATTTTACACCAAATCCAAATTATTAATATTACAAAGTATCTTCAGAACATCGTGCTTATAGCATCTACGTATGAAAGTAACAGCATAAACAGAGGACTCATTAATTTTCGGCTAAAAAAGAAAACGTAGATCTAAATCCAACTTAATCCATTGCAATCACAGTTCCACGCAAACGTTTTCACATTCACTTTCTTGTCGTCTGTGCTCCATTAATCGATAAGTTTGTTTTAATGAACATTAATGATCGTCTAACGCCAACGAACTCTTTTTTTTCTTACTAACTTTAATTGCTCTCAGCTAAGCCTACTTTCTTACTGGCTTTTGTTGATTACTTCGAAAACTTTTACTGGTGTTCATTATATGGACATATTTCTTGTTAGGCTTAGTGGATAACAATGAGATTTCATCGTTTGTGAATTCTTCAGAGCTATAGAATAAATTAAGATTTTATCACTAAACCATGCAACGAACAGAAATCTTATCATCCAACTTTTCCGCAGTTATTTTCGTTATTTTATTCTGTCAAGCTCTTATTTAAATTTCATTTCTATTGTTTGTCATTCTTCATGCAGCTCACATAAATCACATCAGAGACGTTGCTGGCATAGATCACGTCGGTAAGTTGGCTTCAAAATGTGCTTCTCAAGATGCATAAAGAATTGACTTCTTCTGAATCTTTCTTTTTTACATTTAATTCCGGTGTAGGCTTAGGCGCAGGCTTTGATGGAATAAATATGTAAGTAGCTGTGAGAGCACAAATAAAAAGTGATTTCCACAATCATCACATCGCAGCCTGAGTGTTGTTTGGTTTATTAACATTTAACTTTTATTGTTGTTTCTCAACTTTAAAGCGTTCCGCAAGGACTTGAAGATGTGTCGAAATATCCTTACTTGTTTGCTGAACTGCTGGCAGATTCAGATCGGTGGTCGGAGGATGATATCGCCAAGCTGGCTGGTAAAAATCTGATACGAGTTTTCCGACAAGTTGAACAAGTAATTTCATCTTCATGAATATTCACATGTGACATTAGAACTTGACCTATTTTAATGTTTATCTCTAATTAGGTGAGGGATCACCTCGAAGCTCAAGGGATGCTTCCAATTGATCAGGCAATTCCACCCGAAGATATTTTAGGACGCTCGTATTGCCGATATTCCGGACCAAGAACGTGATGAATACAAGTGAAAGTTTTCCTCGTTTAAAACTTGTAATTTTAATTAAATTTCGCAGCCGCTGCCGACGTCGTGCCGGCGATACGAATAAAAACAATGAAATTTTAGGTAATTTCGTGATGGAATGAAATAAACTTTTCCATCGCTTTCCCTTTTTTCTCATCGAATACAAATCAACATGGTTCGTAGAAAGTTGGAAGTGATTGTAGAAAAGCCGTTTTTTGTCGCAGCAATTTGTTATTTTGTTTATTTTTGTTTCTTTTGTTCAATTCTTTGAGTGAGAAATTAGTTAATCAGGAGAAGAAGCTAAGCGTACGTGAAATGAATTGTTTACTTTGTACCAACTTTTCTAGTCTGTTAACTTAACAAACAAAATAAAGTTTAGTCCAGGATCTCACAAAATAAGCTGCTCGGAGTACCATAGCGCATTCCATCCGCAGTTTCATTAATCATCACTAAAATATGATGAAGAATTTCTTTTTATTTACTTTAAAATGATTGTTAAATTAATAGACGAAGGAAAATGAATAAAGTTATCAGAAAATCTGAATAACAAATGAAGGAGAACAATTTTTTTGACCAATCTATGTAAATAAACAATATTTAAAAGCTCTATAAAAATTAAATCACTACTAGGACTGAAAACGCGCTATAAAAAAACGTAAATTCATGAAAGTCAAATCTGTATTAAATATCATGTAGATATTTTGTTTATGTTGAGGGCGGGAACATCAGGGGACAAAAAAATAAATTAACATTATCATATATGGAATGTTTGCGATGAAAATGACACGCGAAAAATGAAATTTTAATTTTAAAAATTGATATAAATGATGATGAGAAGAAATTTAAGAAATTTTATGGCAATGAAATTAATAACTGGTTTGACGACTATTTAGTAAAAGGAAAACTAACAGCGGGAGCTTTTTGTGTGCGTGGAAATATTTTCCACATTTAAAGTTTTATAGTATAGCATAAAAAATGTTTCTCGTTAACGTGCAAGTTGCAAATGGCGATAAAATTTGAAAGTTGATTATTTGCCACAAGTATAAGCCATTGGTAACGTCCATGATAAAAATTCTTTCGCTTTGTTCTTCCTTTTTTCTCTCTTTTTTTGCAAGTTTAAAATAAATAAATGTAATGAAAAGCAAATATTAGTTATAATATTTGGAAAAACTCCATACAATTCAGTTTTGCTGAATAAGAAACAGAAAAAAAACATCACAAGTGTTTTATTGGATTTTCTTCCTTAAACAAATATTATCTCAGAACTGGTTGTTTCGCATTTTTTAACATCCCTCAAAGAGCGCTTAAAGTTTTATTCTTTTTTTTATGGAACCGAATGAATAAAAATATAGAGTAGAAACTCGTCAAACTTTATTGTGATATAATAAAAACTATTGCAATGGCGTATGAAATTACATTTCAAAACAGTCTAATCGATTCGAAGCTTTTTCATTTCTTCTTTAAGAAAATCATCCCCATAACGAGACATATCATGCAAAAAAATTGAATTCTTTCCACTGCATTCCATTATAGAAATCTACATTATTTTATGCTTCATAAATATAATAATGAAATAGTTTTGCGAGCATTTAACGTCACTCTTTAGTTTAATTTTTAATAAACTAAAAAAATTACTTTTTTTTTTACTTTTATTATAACTTTCAATTCGAGAAACTTGTACAAACCAAGGAAAAACCAATTATAAATGGAAATGTATAAAATATGAAATTAAAAATGAGATAACGAATAAAAGAAAGTGAATTTATCAAACTAAATAAGAGCACAATTATTTTTATCTGGGATTATAAAGAGCGAATTGATATCTTTTTAACGATTTCTTTACCAAGTATTGGGGGTGGAAACGTAATCAAAAATTATTTACATAACAATTAATTTCTCTTTTTATTAAAAATGAGGATTTGAGGTTAGTATCATCAGCCACTGAACATTTTATCCTTCAATATTTCCACCCTTAAGTAACTTCAAAGTTCATCGCTTACAAATTCGAAACAATAAATTCAGTTGTCCATTCGAATTTATTACAACGATTATTTACTGCCATTAAATATTTCTTTAAAATATATGTCAGAAAGCAATCGAACTCAGGCACTGAACAGATTTTAGCATACGAAAATAAATTTATTTTTTACAGCTTACCCATAACAGTTACGACTTTTCTTGTTCTCATTATCAGATTGGGACAAACTTAACTCACAATATATAATCGCATTATTATATATTTGACTTGTAAAAGCTGTCGTTGTAAAAAAATTCATTTACAATGCAGAACATTAAAATGTCCATAAATTATATTCATATAAAAGTTCCTAGACACATTTTTTCTGCTCATGATTGTCATCATGGTTTAAAGTGTAATGGAAACTTAAAAGTCGACAACTTTTATTAAGTTCGCCTCAGTCGTGGCATATCCAGCAGTAAATTTCTTTGAAGTCCCCCGAGAATTTACATATTTCTTTGGTTTTAATATTTTTGCGTAAAATTTGAATAAAAAATATTGATTACGATCTCCCAAGAACTGCCAAGAATGTTACAAAATTTACTGCAAAACAATTAACTCCTGAGTAATCAATTTTGTCCTTAAAATAATTTTTCTTTTAGCTTTTCCGCTTTCTTTTTTGCTATTTTATGTTTCTTCGGCTACAATTCATGCACCATAAATAACAGTTGCCTAGTGCCTACAGTCTGTAGGATTATTGTTCCCTTTTTCTCGATCAATACATCCTAGAAAATTATTTTTGAGAACACAGCAAACCCACAAGATGTTTGAACCGAAATAAGAAAATGAATAAAATATTCGATAAACTTCTATTATTCAAAAATATCCTTTCCTGCCTTTTCAACATTGTCTGTATGAATGCTTAGACTGAAGCTTTTCTCGCTACAATAACATGTCGATGTTTATTCGAAAAAGAAAATCTATCGATATAAATAATAGTTTATGTTGCATTTGATTTTTTTTTTTCAGCAAAACAATTTCTACATAAATTATTATGTAACTTGAACCAAATAGAAGCCGAGGATGTTCTGCTTTTGCTTTTCAACATTTCACAATCAGCAAACAACATGAAACGAATAAAACTTTAAGTTTATAAATCCACAATTTTCTAAATAAACAAAACATAAATCTAATTCAATTTTTAAAGTTTAGAATTCAATGATTCCGTGACAGTAGTGTTTTCAAAAGTGAGATTTATTTAATTAAAGAAATAATTTATGCTTTCTCACAACGATTCACACAATAAATTTTTGATAAACTTTCAATGTGAGCTTTGAACATGGGCGTATGAATGGAGTACTGGATCATGCATGAAATATTGCTTAATAATCCAGACGAATGTAAAAAATGGCTTTGAGCACTAGGGATTTTTTTCTCCCTTTTGTGGTGAAATAAGCCGGGATAAACTCAGACAATTTAAGGAATTGAAATAATTCTTGTGATGTGAAACGACTTTGAAGTGTGCAAGTGATGAAATTCATGAGATCTGTGAACAATCCTACTGAACATATACGGTTTCTGTGTAAACAAACTACACAATACGAACAATGAAATTTAAGAATGAAGGAAAAGAGATGCGCAAGCGTCTTGCTAGACTTTCCATTCTTTGTAGACTTTTCTATTCTAAGGTTTAAAGTATCTTTTATGTCAATAATAAAAATCTTGAAGTTTCCTTTTCCCTACTTCACTCTCTCTCCCTCTTGTTTTTCTAAATTGAAGGTCAAGACCAATCTAAGTATAAATATTTCTAGAGAAGGAGAAGAGACGGTGTTGAAAGAGACAAAATCCCGAGAACATCAATATAATAGATTTGAAGAGCAAAGGAACTAAATCTTTGATGTTTGATGTAACGGAAAGATAAAATGTTCATTTCAATAAAATTTAATTTGACAAAGTGTTTTTGGTCACAAACAGATACTTCATCGACGAAGGCCAATGAATAAAACATATTTGGACCACAGTAAACATTTTATTTTAACAAAAACCTTCATATAAAGAAGCCTAAGTATCTTAATGAGCTTCATAAAAAGTTCTTTTGAGTATCAAAAGTACCTTTGAAATTGGTGAAAAGAAACAATTTCAAATGGAGAAGCGAGGGATGCGTTATCTTGTTCAATGATCTCGTACAGCCTAAATTACATTTCGGATCTTCTTAAAATTGAATTTATCAGATTTGAGCTTTCAATGTTCTTTGAATCTGCTTCACCCTCCGACGTTCTAATGTCATACGCTCGCTTTGAACTATATTCTGTCACTTTAAACGTAAGTAATGTTAATGTTTTTTTTCCTTGCTCTTTTCACAGTTTCTGAAGTAAATAAAAATAAATTTTCACTTACCGTGCATCACTGTTATCTCTCATCTGTTTTGCGGAATGTTTTTCTGTCTCACAGATAGAAGAAAATCGTTTTAAATGCCCAAATATTTGTTGCAGAAGACGCAGGTGTGCTTTTTTCCTTCCAAACTACTAAAGATGAAAAGTTTTTCTCGTTAATTTTTCTGTATCACTTCGCGAAACTTTTCCTTCTTTCAGTCCTATCATGGAGATAGGGAAACAGAACACTTTTTCCATTCATAATGCTTTCAGCTTGTGGCTATGTGAATGCACTTTAATAATATTAAATTGAATACCTCAACAGTGGTTTCAAATTAAAATTTCATTGAAAATTTTCATTCAATTCATTCCAAATCATATGTTTACTATCGTTAATATCGACAATTTTATGTTGAAAATTAACAAAAGCATAAGCAAAACATGATTGCGGTTATCAATTTTGATGACGAACTGATTTTGATTTATGATCCTTTTCTGTATTATCAATCAACACAATCATTCGTGAAAAATGCGAACATAAAAATCGTTTTTATTTCCGTCTATTGGTAAAAGTTTTGTCCATAAAATCTTTATAACATGTCTAAAGGTTATTAACATGCTTCTCAATAAAAGGGACGAAAATTTTTGTACATATTCGAAAGTTTGTTGTTTCAACGGAACACATAAATGTTCTTTTTATGATGGTTAAATCCAACAACTCTTCTCAAGACTTGTCGATGCTCAACGTGCGATTTAAACTTCTCTTTAATTGCTGCCATTAACAACTTTCGGAACAACAGCCTTTGATAATAACAATCGTAATAAGTTCAATTGTAAGGAAAATTCTAACTCCAAACTGTTGTGTAAAACAAGTTTTTGTCTTTCGAGAAATCTTTTAATCTTCACTTTATCGATGATGTTGATGATAATTTGATTAATATGTGATGTTTGAGTAGATAATTTATTATTCTATTCTTACTTAGGGAAAGCAGGAAAATATCTAACGATGTAATGAGTGATGATGTCTTGCCACTTGCCAAATAAAAGGGAAATGAAAAACATTCATTGTTAAAGGCTTGTAAAGTTGGGAAATAAATAATCTAACAAAGTGCTTTTTTATTATTTAGAATAATCAAGAGTTATATAATTTCCCTAGAGGATGCATCAAACATTGTTTATAACTTTATTAAACGCAAATGTAAAACTTTAACATTTCAAGTTCCTTTTCGTATTCTTACAATTTTTATATCACAATTCATAATTGAAAAGTTTTTGTGGTTGAGATTTTGTGGTTCCTTTTCATTGTGAAATAAATATGAAAAAAAAGAGTGAGAATTGCTCGAAATTAAAAATTAATAAGAAAACAAAAGTTGCCTGCCTTGCTTTCATCTTCACTCTCTGAACCATCAATTTATGAAATTGATTCAAGTTTTCAAACAAGTGTTCTGAGGTTTGTTCGTATCGCTTCTTATTTCTATGAAAAGAATTTTGAAACAAAAGATAGAAAATGAGAAATAAGAAAGAAATAAGCATATTTATGCAAAAGTTTACCAGTAGAAATTTCTTACATTAATAAATAAAAGAAAAATATTTTTCTATTGTGAAAAAAGTTCTCATGGTGAAAGTAAATTTCGCTCTGATACCGAGTACAATCTTTACAACTTTCCACGAGAAAAAGCAAAAGTTTCTTGCACACAGTTTCAATAATATTATTAATGTAAACTTTTTTCTCTCCCCAAAATGTCATTTTTTGCTGCCACGGATGAATTATTGAATAATTAAATAAACCTCACCATGAAACATATTGAATTATTGAAAATAATTAATAATCAGCTTTTGCATCTGCATTTTCGAAGTTTATTGAAAACTATTCGTGCTTAAAACTTAAAGCTTATTAAATTCAACAACTTTAAACTTTAAACTTTTTATTTATTTCATCACGAACTTGTTTTGTTCATAATTTTCCTATTTTCAATAAATCTCCCCGCAAAAGCTTATTAAATATGTCAAGTTGAGTTCTGAAAGTTTTAAGTGTTCCACAACAAATCCTAATAAAATCAGAAAATTTGTTTTCAATGACATAACAGATTTGTAATTACTTTATTAAAGACATGTTGAATCCAATTTTCTTGTTATTCACGATTGAAATGATATAATCTTACAAAGTAATTAAATTTAAACACATTATAATCTCATTTGAACAATTCTGCTCGAAAATCTTGCGGTTTCACTTACCACTTATTTAATTTATTTACTTGACAATGTGCCTTCATTTGGTTCATGTTAACAAGTTTTCTAAAGTTTTTGACATTCTCAACCACAAAATTTGCTGAAATTTTTATTTTTCTTTTCATTCCTATCGCTGAAAAATATCTGCAATCAATTGATGGAAACTCGGGAGTGGCCTTTCTGCCTCTGAATTTCTTTTTATCTTCAAGTTTGTCGCTCTATTATTTAGGTTTAAATTTATCTTCCGTATGGCGGCAAAACGATGAGTGAATTTTAATTTTTCACATAGAAAGATCTCTTTGGAAAATCGTTACATAGCTTCCGTCCATAAAGTGAAGAAGAAAGAGTAAGATGACATTGTAAGAGCTTTAAACGAGAACTTTACATCTAAAAAAGAAGAAAAAGAATTTCAACGATTTCAATTACGTGATTCAAAGATATAAAATATTCGGTTCTGGGATCTACTTTAATTAGAAAGTTGACGCTTATCATGGCAATTGATGAAGCGTGAAATCCTTGAGATAAAATTCCTACGAAGTCATTTCTTATATTTCAAAAGGTTCAGCAAAGCAAAATATTGTTTCATCTTTAAGAAATTCGAATTTCTCGAAATATCAAATACAAAATATTTCAATTATGACTCACAATTTGTGGCTCTTCAAGAAAATGAATTCCAGAGAAATTTTACGTAATCAAATTATAAGAGAGAAATAAGTTCATTTGATATTTAACTAGTTTTTTTATTGCGAAAACTTTATTTCTATATCTTCATTCAACATCTTTGATAATGCACAGTGAATACAAAAAAAGAGAAAAAATATCTTAGAATCAATTTTATGTTTCTATTCACACTTATTCCAGAGGGATGTTTTCTTTCACAATCTGAAATGAAATGATACAAAGAGAGAAAATTACAAAGATTAGAATTCAGTTTATAGTTGAAATGAAGCATCATAAAAGTTTATCTTTTGATGTTTTAATTTCGCCTGTTTGAACTTTTCTACTTATCCTTTCACGTTTCGAAAAGTTTCTCAAAAAAGAGAAGAAAAAAACTTTTCAAACTTCGACTTTTGCCGAAGGTCATTTTCAGTTCTTACTAAGAATAAAAATCAATTTAATATTACTTTTTGACACATTTCGCGATAAATTGGGTCAGTGTCCCATGGTCCTCTTTCGGGTAAAGGAATCCCACGTCGTCTTAATTCCTGCACACAATCAGTTAAGTCCAATATAGGAAGTGGATCGATATTAGCTTGGTAAACAACTGACACCAAATATTCGACATAATGTGATCTAAAGAGGTTTTAGTTTATTGGACAGCAGCGGCAGGCAAGCAAGGGAGAGAAAAAAGAAAAAAAAGATATGAAAAAACATTTTTAAGCTCACCTCAACCAAAAGTTGTCGATAAAATGATTCCAGAATTCCATAAGGCTTTGGAGGCAATTTTCGATTCTCCCTTCGCACGACAGTTTCTAAATCGTCGGCTTTTAAAATATCTAAAGTCTCCAAGCGATTTTGCCGAATCAACTGGCACAAATACTCAACATAGTGACTTCTGAAAATTGAGTTTTACGAACGAGAAATTAGTCACGTTTAAATGTGAATACTTCGTGTTTATTGACTATGAGGCCACCAAGAAGAATCGTCATTTGAAAAAAGTTATCCCAACTTTCTTCAATCTCAAGCTTAAGCATTATGGCATTCTTGAGGAATCATTTAAATACATTTTTAACTAAGTTTGTTAAATTTTAAGGAAAATCGAGTAACATGTTTGAGTTTATTAAAGTTTAAATCAAAAGTTCATTCAATTATTTAGAAATTTACTGCTGTTGGCTGTTGTTGTTGCAAGAAAGTTTCTTAACTTTTTGTATAATGTTCTCAAATTGTTATTTCCTAAAGCAGTTGAATGAGATTATAATGGAAGACTAACCAACTAAATCTATGTTCTTATTTCATGAAACTTAGATATGTGAGAGGCTTGCAAATTGCAAGCTACAAAAACCTGAAGAATTTATATGAAAACCAACCATTTTCAATTATCTCAACATGTCAACCAATTCCCACTTAACTAAATCTTGTCACTTTTACCTGCACAAACCAGCATGACCATCTGGCACTTCATTGCTACATACAGTGTCCACTAATCCCGATGGTGTTTCTTTCTGCAATTGTACGGGACATCTCACAAAAGCTTTTGCGCCATCAGACGATGATTGAAAATCTTCATCGAATTCGATATTGTTAATCTGAAAATTGAATTAGAAAACTTTTCTCATTTCCTTTTTAATTGAATAAATTCAATTTTCAATTCTTCAATTTGAATGCTTGACGCAAATGTTTCTTATTTACATTAATCTTTAAATATTTATGTTTGCTTATGTAATGCATACAAACCTTCAAAAGACTTTGAAGTTCTTGTGGTTCTTTGTCACGTAAATAGAATAAACAATTTCGAGGATGATGAGCGTGTAAGCCAAGTTTGGCACAATAAGATGATACTTTACATTTCGCACCCATGAGAAAGTCTTTGTTGCATCCATAGCAAAACTCGTACTTGCATTGAGTGCATGTAAAGTGCATGCATCCGCCACGAGCTAAATCATATCTGAATTTACATTTCGGACAATCTATGCCATTGAGTTTTAGATGCTTTGCCACACCCTCAGCTTGTACGTCTGGATCATTCGCCTCCTTCCATTCAGCGAACTTCTCACATGATAATCCCTCATGTTGTTTTTCCCACTTAAAACAAATGAAAAACGAACGGTTTATATGGTGTTAAATATATATTTTGATTCTAATGAATAAGAGAAGAAAAACGAGGCTTTTGTGATGAATTTATGTGCTTTCCGACAGAGTGGAAATGCGAAGCATGAATGAAACTATTCTCCTGTTTCCAACCAGATAAGTTTGAAACGTGAACAAAAGAATGAACGGAATTTTCATCGATAAGATTCATTTTTACAACTTTGTGATGTAAGGTAATAAATTGACAAAATCTCACCAATTTTCTACACTTTGCACAAGTCACCGAGCCGCAATCAGGACAAATTAAGCGACGTTGTTTTGGACGAGCAAAAAAACCAGATGAGCACTTCGAAAAGAATGAAAAAAAAAAGTAAATTAACATAAATCATGATGGAATGGCAACATATTCTCCTTGTCTCTGTCACTATCACCAGTGTTTTTAATTTAACGATAGTTGCAAAAGAGAAAAGTTTATTTTTTCTGACTCTGCTTACCTGAACACACCACTTGAAGTTAGGATCTCGTAAAAGCGCTCTGTCACGTATTTTACGCTGAAACAAGTCATGAACATCAGATTGCAAAATGTTCTTGAGTAAAATGTCGAGGTTGGAAAAATATTCAAGAATTGAATCTTCATCAGAATCATGAAGTTCAGGTAGCTTGCAGAACGGACAGACACAATCATTTATCGATCGATCAGTAATCTTAATTAGAGGGAGAAAAACATGAATAAATAAACAAAGGAAAATCGAGAAGAGCAATTTGGAAATCTACTTGAATTGTGAAGTAATTAGAAGCACATTCCTTGCAGCATTGATGTTCACATTTAAGCATGGTAATCATTTGATTCAATGGATATTTATCAGTGCACAACTCGCATTCTTGTTGTAGTAGTTCGATAGCATCTTCAATTGTTGATACTTGAGCTGACACCCACAATGCAGATTCTTGTGGATATTTCATTTCAATTAACGACACTGCCAACTCTGCTGCTAAGTGATTCGGCACCAAACCTTCGAGTAGAAATCTGTTGACCTTTTGCTATTCAATAATAAAAAACGAATCGGAAAGAAGGGAAGAAAATGTTTATTAAACCATGAAAATAAATCAAATTCATTGAAAGGAAAAAGAAAAATCTTTTCAATAAATTTAAATGTTGGGAGGAAAGTTTCCAAGTATTTGTTGACTTACGTCAGATGTTTCATCTTCGAAATCTTGAGTTGGAGGCTTTTTAGTCAGAAAAGTTGATACTGCTTTTGCGCTTTCCTCTTCATCGTCATCTGTTGTCGGATATTCATCACTGAAACAATGTTCCATGTACTTTTTCTCTGGAACGACATCTTTGCTGTGATCTCTAAATTCCTTTTGGCTTTCTTTTTGATCAGAGTTGTCGGAAATTTTCGTACTCGATGACGGGGTGATTAATTTTGTAAGCCTATTGGCAAATGATTGCGTTGGGTTATTGGAAAATGACTTTTGTGGGACTAATTTTGTTGGCTTTAGCTTTGATGGCTGTGCTTGCTGTGGTTTGGAAGATGTTGCAATGTTTGATTTATTTAGAAATTCCTTTTGAAGATTTTTAACATTTGAAGTAACTAAAAGACCAAATGATGGTTTTTTCTTCGAGTTGGCATCAAACGAACCTTTTCTTGTAGAGTCAGGAGCGGTTTTTATAATTGCTTGTGGCGGTTTCGAATTGGTTGCATGTAAAATATCCTCTTTAGTGTTATCTTCCTTCTTCAAAGGCGCTTTAATCTTTTCTGATGATGAACTTGTAGATTCATTTTGACCAGATTCCTTCGAAGCTCTTTCGTTAGTGTCTTTGACTGTTGAATTCTTTTTCTTTTCACTTTTTATCTTTGCAGGTATTTTACTTTTTGAAATTGCACCTTTGAGCTTTTGTTCGCTTGAATCTTGATTTGCATTCTCTTCTAATTTCACTGTTTCATCGGTTTCCACAGAACTTCTTCCAGCACTTGCCATTTCAACTTGGTTATCAACAACTACGTTCAATTCAATTATTAATGGTTCTTGTGACTCGTCGATTTTCTGACCATCATTCTCGCCATCATCCAACACTGCAAATTGTTCAACGCCATCATTACTTGCTTCTTCGATTGAGAGAATCATGGTTTCCTCAACAATTTCATCATAATTTAACTGATTTCCGGAAGTAATCGATTCATTGGTGGTATCAGAAACTTTTGGCATTACTTCCGACGATTGAATTTCTTCTGAATTATTCATAGCAATACTATCGATAATAGATGTGTCATGTTCGTCGTTTTCATCGTTTTCGTTGTCGTTCTCGTCATGCTGAAACGAAACTCCGCCAATTTGTGTCGCACCATTGTGAACGTTAATATCACTTTCATCAAGGGAAATGGCGTTAATGACCTCGTTAATAGCTTCATTCACTATTTCTTTGATCGAACTCGTAGTGCCATTAATCTCGTTATTTATGGCTGCTGCTTTTACTTTTTCTTCTTCTTGATTAGCAGTGGGAGTTAATTCTTCATCGTTCACTTCTTCAGCTGCTTGAATTTGTGAATTATTTAAATTAACGTCATTATCTTTAAGAGCTTCTGAGCTTGTTTCCATGCTACCTGGTGAATCTTGTTGAAAATGATCAGCCGATGACATCAGCGTTAATGGCAACGATTCGCCATGAAAATCGTTTGAATTTTCTGCATTTTCAACATCGTTCATTGCATTTGGATTTGCTAAATCACCAATATTACTAATTTCTAGATTTAAACCATTAATATTTGTTAAATCCACCGCAACCTGTTCATCAGCATGCAATTCACGTTCGTCTGTGGTAATTTCTGTTTGCTCTGATTCAATGTAATCACCCGACCAATCTTCATACTCCGACTCTTCATATGAATACTCATCTTCAATCTCTTCACCTTCGTATTCAATTCCCCACTCATCGGAATATTCTGAACCTTCACTTGATTCATACTCATCATCCGACACATAAATAGCATTTATTTCATCCTTCATTTGTTTAATCAAACGTTGCGTATCTTCAACAAGTTCGGAGAGATTTTGAGGTGCCTTCAAGGAAGGGTCATCTTCATTTGAACTTAAAGTGTTTGATGATGTTTGTGGTAGAGATTGAATCTCATTCTCGTGAGAATTCTTAATCAAAACTTCTTCGATGTGCTGTGTATCATCATCATTAATAACGGCCGTGGAAGACGCGCTTTCATCATTCATTGTTACAGAAACTGTTTCAGTTCGTGCTTCAATAACATCGTTTTGTGTTGAAGAATTTTCCAAGAGCATTAAACTTTCGTTCTCGACTTCGTCTCGAGTACTGCCATTAATAATGTTTGCTTCATTCCCGACATTCTCAAAACTTTCAACATTCTTCTCACTACCGGAAACATTAATTTCATTTGGATTTAGCACAGATTGTTGTTCAATATTTTCGCTTATTAAGCCAGCAGGATGATTAATGTTGCTTACAAAATCATTTAGTATCGATACAGAAACAGAATTGTTATCTTGAGCACTTGAATCAGCATTCATTGTTGAAGATTTCAGTTTCGATTTCGTTGATGATATTGACGGCATCTTTCCCATTAAAATATTTTCTAATATCAAACTGTTGCGTTTCTTGAAGTCTCGCTCACATTTGGGACGTTTCGATGGTTTCTTGTTTATCTTCAAATTGAAACTCGATTTATATTTCAATGGTTCTAACTGTTGAGTGTTCGATTGTGAATTTAAATCGTCAACGTCGTTAGGAAGAACAGTTCTCAAGCTCTCATTGAAAATATTCTCAACAATACTTTCAGCTTCGTTAGTCAAATTTTTTGTTAGTTGATCCATTATAATATTTTCTTGTGTATTCAATTCATTCTCATTCACGGCATCATCGACTGCTGCAGCTACAATCGTGTCAAAGTCATCGTTCGCATTTGTTTGGCTTACAACCATAATTGATTCATGACTTGCATCATCATGCACATTATGAAAATCATTGTTCCGTTCCATATATTCTTCATTGTGGCGACTTCTGAAAAAGTCATCGAATTCTTCTTTGTCACTATTACCAGATGACGTACGACGACGACGACTTTGGTCGACGACACTATTCCTTTCATTAAATTCTTCGTCATGACGACTACGAAGAAAATCTTCTAATTCTTGTGAAAAATGAAAATCTTCTTTGCTTTCAATAGCTGAAAAATTTCTTTCTTCAAATTCCTCTTCAAGTCGATTACGCTGAAATTCTTCAAGATTTTCCATAGCAATATCGCTACTCAAATCTGTTGTAATCTCCTGTTCAACTTGACTGACTAAATCAGGCACAATATCTTGAATATTGTTAGAGACAAAATTCCTTATGTCGTCGATTATGCTATAAACATCGCTTTTAATTTTATCATCATTGCGATTCGGTATCATTATAGGACTTTTCATCCTTATAGGCTCAATGCTTAAATTTGATTGAGGTGAATGAGATCTCGAATCATTTAATTTAATATTGCTCAAGATATTATCAATGTTCTTCAACATTGTACAATCATTATCTTGTGTTTGCTTTCGTTCCATATTCTGAATGAGATTCTCAATATCCTTCAGCAAATTGGCATTATTCACTGAATTATAATCCACAGTTGTAAACAAATCTTCGTTATTTATATTTTCATCGAAAATTTGATCATCTAATGATGATGATTGAAAGCTCATTGATTGAGGCGACGATGGACTAAAATATTCCTTAAATTCATTCTGATGATGTTGAAAATTATTATCATTTTGAATAATGATGTTATTTAAATATTCCTGAATGTTTGGATCTGAAACGAACGTTTTCATTAATCAAACGTCTATAAATACGTGAAATCAAGGAAGGGAAAGTGTTGACATGCGATGAAAGAAATATGGAAAATTTCATTAAATAATTTTTATTTATTAATTTGTTTATATAATAAAGCAGTAAACTTAAAATATTTTAATGCAAACAACACTGAAATGGTTCATTAATAATGTTATAAAAGTTTTGAGTTAAAATGTCTAAGGAATTAGCGGAAAATCAAATTAATTCAAGTAGAACCATAAGCATCACTGTCAAACAAAATTCTCTATCCTTGAAGTCAGTATTTTAAGTTTAACTCATACCTAGACTGTAAGTGTCACGTTCCATCATGTAATTGCCACTTTCATTATCAACACCCGAAGGAGGCCCCCAAATTTTCATCAAAAAGGGTTTCAGTTGTGTTTTGTTCAATTCGATTAGAGCCAATTCAATATTTCCGTGATGTGCTGTTAGACTTGTAACAATATCCTCACGAGTAAAATTTCCACGTGCAGCAATTGCATTGTACTTTTTTTGACGTTGTTCAATGCACTTTGTAACAGCATGCCAAATATTTCCCTTGTGTAATCGGAGGGCTTCTCTTGCTTCAATAGCGGAAATGGTTCCAACGGTATTGACTTTTAATTCATGCCCATACTTTGTTGCTAAATGTTGAACAGTTTCAATTAATTTTTGCCAATTTTCACGTAGCCATAAAATTGGATTGGAGCCCTCGCAATGATTTAAAGCTGCTTGCAATTCTTCGGCATTGAACTTAAAATGTTCAGCTTCCTGTGGCACATAAAATATTAAAATTTCATTTGACTTCATCATTTCTCAATTAATTATGATTACACACCCGCAAAAGATTTGCTAAATGAACCCCAGCAGATGCGTTTGATGACTCCTCAAATCTTCTCTGATTCATAAAATTCTCAAACTTCAGCGCTTCAAAATCCTAATGAATAAAATATTTCTTTTGAAGCTTTTGAAAAATTTAAATTGGAAGCCTCGTGAGACTTACTTGAAGTTCACTTGAAAAACTCATTCGACTAAGCGAACGTTGGAGTGTCGTCGGGGGCTCGACAAGTCTCGAAGTGTTTGCAAACGACTGACTTCTTCTTAAGCGATTTGAAAAGCGTCCTTCGACTGGGTACTGACTCGATTCCGCTTCAGAATTGATGTCGAAAGGTGACACGTCATAAGTCTAAATATTTCTCAAATTTCAATTTACCCTCAATATTTTGCGTTGAAATCAAAACCTTTTACCTGGGTGGATATACTTTGAGGTGGCGGAGAAGTTCCAATTGACACTTTTGATGATCGACTTGGGATTTCTCTTAAAGGAGTGAAGGTTTCCAACTTTTCTTCATTAGCAAAAATTTCTTGAATTTCACGATCTGGTGAAGGTCCACAGCCAGTCGATACTTTCACTTTATTTTCAACCTTTTCTTCAAAACTTTCTTCTTTCACTTCTTCTGTTACGACAACCTTTTCAGGTTGATATTGAGACAGAGGCTCATCGTCTGCGATTTTTAAATCATTCACTTCCCTTCGAAACACAATATCATCGGGTTCATCATGAACACTTTCATCACTTGAAGCAACAACAACATCTGTAAAGAAGGTTGAAATGAAAGACACGATTAATTTCAGGCCATTTAAGGATTTATTAAAATTTTTCTCATTTTCTAGTGTTCACATCAAACGTGGATAAAGGCTAGATATGATGATACATTTACAGAATTCATTTGGGTATAAAAATTTTATGCGATGAAGTGTAGGTGAAGGAGAAGATAAAACAACATGAGGCACAAAACAAACACTCCTAATGAGCTTTAGTACCAGGCAAAAAGGAAATTTTTCTGACCTTACCTTTTTGCTTAGCATTCTCGGTTTGCGCAATTGAATCATTTATTTCGTTTATATCAATATCTTCTTCTTCTTCCTTCGGCAATTGTTGCAGCACTTCAACTCGAGTTTTACAACATATGATGCAAATTTTTGATTCGGGCTCGTTAACGAATGTACAATGTTTACATTCCCAATCCATTGGCAAGAGAATCTTCTCAACCTGAGTTTTGAGCTTATCAGAGTTTGTATCAACTTCGTTTGTATGAGTTTCAGGTTGAAACGATGTCACGTGCTTGGAAACTTCCTCTGATTTTTTCTCATTTTTTACCTTTTCCGGTTGAGAAATGTTTTCCCCTTCCTTGTTATTATTATTCACGATGTTTGATGTTTTCGCCTTCACAACAGAATGAGTTACAATTTTTAATGGTCGACTTTCGCTAACTAATTTTGTTTCAGGGGACTTTTTGTACACCGTTTCATTATCAGAATCCGGTTGAGTTTTCTTTTTTGTTTTATTTGTTTCTTTAATTGGTGGAGAATTTTCTTTAATTAATTCCTTTTCGGATGCAGAATCACTTCTCAATGGTTGCGTAAACTTTGAAGTTGATTCTTTCTTCTTAGGATTAACAACTTCTTCTTCTTTTTCTTTCTCGGATGTTGAATCAGATAAAAACTTTTGGCTTTGTGGGATAGAGGGTGACGTCAATGAAGATTTTCGTTGTTTTACTGCTGTCTTTTTTATTTCTTCATCCGAAGGTGTCAAGCTTCCGCTATCTCTATCCTTTGTCGTCGGCCAATTAGTCAGCGATCCACTTCTTCTTTCTCTAATAAATTTCGACTTTTCTTTCATTTTCTGAATGCGATTGATAACTTCATTATCACGATAATCCAACTCAATTTGTTCTGGGTTTCTACGAGGTCGACGTTCGAGACGTTTTCTTGAACGAGAATCATCCGTGAAGTTTTCAATGTCAGAATCCTCGTCATCAGTTAAATCTTGTGGAACATATTTATGACGACTTCTTGAAGTTGTTAATGAACGTCTCGATCGAACACTCAATGAGGGTGACGCTGCGCGAGAGAGAGTCATCGATCTCATTGGCATGACTAAAATACAAGAAAAATTAGTATGAAAGTCAAGAATTGTCAAATCAATTCACCATTTGGCATAACTGGAAATCCAAATTGCTGTTGTTGCATCCAAGAATGCCACATCGTTTGATCGTTTTGAACGAAAGAATTTGGGATGTTAAGACTCATGTTGGATCCATTAAAATTACTTCCTGGCCATCCCTGAGATGGTAAATTCCATTGATTTCCCATCATATTCAATTGCGCCATTGAGTGAGCCTTGGGAAAGATGATTAATGAAGTAATTCAAGAATTATGAATGAAAATATTTTATTTTAATCCGCACCTGATTCATCGGATTCATTCCCCATGGGTTTGGCTGTTGAGGTACAAAACCGGGCTGCGGATAACCACCTTGATTCAGATTAAACACTGATGAACTCATATTTCTTCCAGCATGATTTGGTAAGGTTCCTGACCCGGGTATGGGGACTGGTCGACGTGCTGAAGATGCTTGAACCTGGTCGATGAAAGGTTTTTGATGATTCGAATAACTCTGAGGTGAAAGTGGGGGGTTTGACATGGAAGAAAAACTGTCGGTTCTTGGAACACCGTTTTCCAAGTGATTAGGGTTGTGAATTACAGAATGTGGAGGCAAAGGTGGTCGATTAATCAAGGGGAACGACTTAAAAACAAAAAGAATGTTATGAATAAAACATGCGACAAATTACACACAAACAGGTTGATTAAGCTTACAGTGCTGTCAATCGTTGAAGTTGTACTCGTTCGTCTACTTTTATCGCTTGAATTATCAGAGTTCATTGCTTCTTTATGTTGTCGATAGCGTTGCTGAAGTATGGCCATTCGATCTAAAGTTGCGGCAGTTGTGCTTTGAATCTTTTCCATCGCCACTGATGGTGGCTTTTTGATGGCATCGAAAATATTATTTTTAGGTCTGTTTTGCATCCTTCTCGAGCCTGGCACTGGTTAAATGAAATATGATCAACTTGCCGATAAAAGATTAAAAGCTGTATCAACTTACATGGAACATCTGGCATGGTTCTGGTCACCCTATTTAAATTCTCAAGTTTCTCTCTAAGCGACGCATTAAATACTGAAGCGTTTTTCTGTTGTTGCTTCGTTGAAAAGGCCTTTGAAATTTATTCGAATACAAAAATACTTGACAGGAAGCTCACAGTAAATGAAATATAAATTGGCAAAATTAAGAACTATAAATGATGAAATTTATGGAATCACTCACAGAAATGCCGACTTTTATAGAGCGAGCGTCAAGAAAAATCTTTCGGAATGATAAATAATTTCTCTAAAATATTTACTGCAAAATTTCTTACAAAAACCAAATTTCAGAACAAAACCGAACGATTAAAAAATCAATTCTAAAGTTTGTCAATTTATATTTCTCGTGTTTCAATGTTTAACATTTCTACTTTTAATTGTTTTCGCTTCGATGAAGCATCCTAAGCAATTTGGCATACCTGATCCTTTCTTTCCGGCATGGGACTTGACAAACAACTTTTTCTATTTCGTCTTGGAGGTGGAACGGGTGCTTGTGGCTGTGATGTGTTTTTTGGTGGTAATGGTGGTCGTACATTGACAAACTCAACACGCTTTGCATCATAAAAAAAATATAAAAAAGTTAGAAAATGAGTTCATGTTCTATAAGTTAGTTAAGTGGCAATTAATACTTTTCTTAAATGATTTTGACGCTTTGGATGACGATGGAACATGTCATCACATGTGAAGCAAAACAAATTCTTAACGCATTGTTCACACTTGATGACAGGGCCGATAGTTCCACAAAGTTCACATTTCAAGCCAACTTCAGAGGGACTTTTCTGCATGATATCTTTAATAACTTTCGATGGCACTGAATTACTATATTGCTGACTAGAAAAATCTATCACTTCGTAATCTGGATCGGGATTATTTCTCTTAGTTGGTAATGGTGGTGGGTTTGGGCCAATTCTTCCTGTTTGCTCAGACTAAACAGAAAGAAGAAATTTCTAAAATATCTGAAGTAATTTAAAAGTAATCAAAAGCTTAATTACCACCCAGTTAGGCATTGACCTATTAAACATTTGATTCGACATTCTCTACCAACAATCTGTGAATAATAAATGAAAGATAATTTTAAAACTCTTAAAGATCGGGAACTAAAATCTCTCTCGAGAAGAAAATAAAATTTTTCCAATCTTTCTTTTTATATTTAGATATTTGGCCCAATTCATCGGTTTAATGTTCGCGAAATATTTCAAACAGAAAATGTGGGTGAAGTACTTGTCATGGCGATAATCATCTGTGCTTCTTCCTGTGCATAGCATTTTCCTCTCTTCTGTTCATGATTCAACGGAATTAAATCAAAGCATCGGTTTACGACGACTAAAAATAGTTCTGTTTTATATAAACGCTTTATGTAGACAAACGCCCGACAGTTTTATATTTATAGGAATTTCTTTATTTATGTCTTAGACGCGTTCTTATTGCGGCACAGTTTTTTTTGTAAATTGTAATTTACGCTTACAGTGACCTCTCCTAACCATACATTAAACAACTTTTTCGAAAATGTTTTGATCTCTGTGGATTTTTATGTTTAAATTTTGACAGAAGTCAAGATAAGTTTTCACTCCACCCAGTTAGAGAAGAGATTGAAAATCTTCAGGGTATTAATTTAATTATTCTGGCAAATACTTCAACAATCCCTTTTGTTTGTTTTATTCAATATAAATAAATAAAATTTGAGCTGTTCAATGTAAAGAATTCGATTTTCCTCTCTACAATTTCACAATGTTTTACGTAATGCTGAGAAAATCATTGAATTTTCCAGTTTCAGCTTCTTTTAGTGCTCCCCACATGAACATTGTTGTGATGAAATTTCTTATCTAAATAAGCTAGCGTTAAAAAACTTCCTCGTTGCAGTTTTAAAGAGAGACAATATCTAATAAATTTGACATCACTTTCTTTCTATTTTTATACACCTCTCACACTTACATTATGAGTTCTCAGACCAATTCACTACACCCGGGAGCAAAAAATCACATAAGTAAAAATAACTTTTTCATAACTTTCTGCACAGATTCTTGGAAAAGTTTTTCGTTTAAAATTGAGCAAATACCAATTTTCGTTCCAGATAATGATGCACTTTTAGGTGATCTAATGTTCTATCTTCAGCAGTTTTTATTTAAATGACCCCTTTGAAAAGCTTCAGCAATCGATAACCAAATAATTTTATGATCTTGATCTCACAATGATCTCCGCAAAACTGAGAAAATCTTTTGTGAAAAACTTTTCTAGTTTAAAAAATCAAACACACGCATACAAATTCATTCCGCGTGAAAAGTTATTTTGAAAAGTGAGAAAATTTGCGGCTTTTGAATTTAAAGCAACAAAGCATTGAGAGAAGAAAACAAAAATTACTTAAGGCGTTTAAAGTATCTGTTTTATTTTCATCTCAAATTTGTTTAAGAAAGCCGACCGGCAAAGGTAAACAAGAAGCAAGGAGAGAAATGTGAGAGAAGCAAAATAATTTTCATGAAAACCTCACATTTGGGAAGAAATCGCTCTTAGTAATTAAACAAATAATTACATGATTGAAGAAGTCGCTATAAATAATGCTTACAAATTTCTCTTCCTCAAGTTACTCTGAAAAGCTCAATTTATACTTAAAGACATGTTTTATAGCAAAAAAGCTTCCGAACTTCGTTCAATTTTTAATAAATTATCATTAGGCGAATCTGCAGCGTTCTAAAAACAATAAGAAAATCAATCAATAACAAATTTTATAATAAAACGAATCCACAAATAATTTCGCTTAATAGACGAAGTAAAAGCACTTCTCAAGATTCATTTTACGAGAGAAAAAAATTTATTGCTCGGCTTACATCATTTAAGTAAAATGTTGAGAATAAATCTTAAAATGAATCCATGCAGATACGCAAGAACCTTTTGTTGCCAATAAAAATACTTTTTCCATAAATCTACGTAAAATCTACGTAGAATCACATCCCGACCCTGAATTATGGATATGTGCATGAAATTCTAAATTCAGTCATTTCACGAGTCGGCACCAAGACCCGTGTCAAAAGGTCGCCATAAAAATAACGAAACACTCTACGAATTTGTTGATATTTTGCTAATCAAACTTTTTTTATTTCACAATCGAGCAGATGTGTACGAGTTTTTCCCCAGTCGATTCTACAGTATGTCTATACACTCAACGTTTGTAGCTTATGGGTAAATTATGTCACTACATAGTTGAAAGATTCGTTCAATACATTCCTAAGTAAGACTCGTGAGTAGGAGAAGAATTTTAAGAAATCAATTTCCTATGAACGTCAATTCTAAATAAACCAAGTTTAAACCTTCTTAGTAAATGTGAAGCAATTGAATTTGAATAAATTACAGTCACTTTCAAGATTTCAGACTCAGTTAGGAAAAAAGAATTCTTGAAGTGACATTTCTCCTAGAGCTAATTTCAAAAAGTAATTTTTCGTGTAATTCCAAAAGTGTTGTCTTGAGAATTTAAATTTTTGTTTATGTTTTATTTAGGATGAAGTTCATAATGCTTTTCGTGGCACTTTTCGCCTTCATATGTTCTGCAATGGCATTGACATGTACAGCTGGCTTGAAAGACATCAATGGCGTTTGTGGCGTTCAACGACCAGTTCATGGTGAATGTCCAAATAACACCAAATTTGACATCAATAAGAATCTTTGTGTTGCCAAGTAGAAAGATGGAGAAGTTCATTTCATGAAATAAACTTTAAATGTTTAATTTGAAATAAAAGAATAAAGATTAAACCTTTCTGTAGCTTTATCCATTTTATGTACTTATGCTTATGTATGTTACTTTCAAATATTTTATGTAAAAATTAGTTCTTTTAATTACTTCTCTTCATTTTAAAATGCTTTAAAAAAATTTAATTTTACTTCTAAAAGCATTGTTTGAGTGTTTTACGTTCTTACTGTTTTTCCACTCCATCTCATTTTAACATTAAAAAACGAAAACGGTTTCATTTTCAATTTTTATTTCTCCACTCAACATTTCATCGAAACCGCACGTATCATGAGAGTTAAGGAAACTGAGAACGTAATAAAAATGATTTTATGTGAAAGTGTTACGATATGTCTTAAAGTTTCCTTCCTCGAAATCGCTACGAGAATGGAGAAACTCTCATGAATAAATTCACGTTCATTCAATTTCATAAGAAGCATAAAAATATATAAAAATTATGAGCTTTAGTTTCAAAGCCAGTTGCGAGTCATCTTCAGCTCGTTTTCCTGTGAGGTGTAAAAGACTGCTTTCCACTTACTCATCGCCATAGTCTGCACAAAATATTTCAAGTTGAATTAAATGAAGCCACTTAACTCATAAATCACATTTCCTCCAAAAGAATGTCGCGAGAAAATGTGGCTGCAAAATCTCTGATCTGGAATAAGAGATTGGAAGTTGAGTGGATTTATGATGGTTTGTGATAGGACCAAGAGTTCCGTTTTTTTTGAAAGCAGGGATTCAAGTTATAATAACGAATTTACATTTAAAAGCTATAAAATCCCAACGTGACCTTTTCTACGTTTCAAAAATGTTTTCTTCCCGTTGGAAGAGTGATAACTGAGTGGCAGTAGAGCTTATCAGTTTCGAATACAGCCAAAACCGCACAAAAAAATAATTAAACATTTAAATTTACGCTTCTTCTTGCTTAATATTAAAAATAAAAACTTTACGATGTCATTTCGCGTGTCTTATCAATTTTTTGATTAATTAGATTCGTGTGCAAAGTTAGGTAATTTTAAAGTCGGTCGATGACTTGCCGTAAAGATTTTATCCTTATGAAAGCATCGATTACATTGTGGCATTGCTGGAATTAATTGAAGTTTTGATATCAGACACTAATGAAAGTTTCGATTTTGAATATTAAAATATTGAAACTTTGCTTTTCAATTTGAGAATACTTTTAAGTGAGTTTTAATCTAGAAATTTCTTGCGGAATATTAATAATAAATTGTGAACTTCTACTAATAGTTTAACTATGAAAAAATAAATAAATAAAATTTAAATTGACTAACTTTGATCTCTTTGCACAATTTTTATCAAAACCTTTTCTATCGCTTTAATGGTCATGCTGTGTCCATTGAGATATTTTCAAAGAATCCCAACATATTTGAAGTTTGTCATTTCATCTTCAGGATCTCCACTACCTTGAAGCTTCAAAACTCAATTAATTGACCAAAAAAGAGCCATCAATCAAAAGAATAGAAACAAGTAAAATTATTTCCTAACCAATCCATCTTCCACAAAAACGATTCATTCCCTTTTAAGAGCATCATTTTGTGAGGGTATTAAATGTAAAACATTGAGGTTATAAATTGTCGACATCAAAGAACCGCAAAAATATGATGACAGCAAATCGTCGCCATTAGATGATATAAGGGCCTTGCTCCTACAACTTAGAAGTCTTACGTACCTGCTTCTAACTGCTAAAACTGCCAACAAACATCAATTAGCTGTTTTTATAAACAGAAAATTAGGCTCGTGGACCTTTTTTCTCTTATTAATTATTAATTAGCTGTTTCCATTCNTATTCAGATAAAAGCTTTACATAGGCCAAACACGCAAGAGTTGAAAAACAAATTTCTATGATGCAAAAAAGTATCTGAAATTATATTCCGAGGTTTTAGACAATAATTTATTATATTTTTTATTAAAGAAAAACTTTACATAGGCATAGTAAGAGTAAGCCTATCAGCGATAAAAAATCTGTTTAGAACCCGTAATTTATGGCGTGTAAAAAGTGGTTATCATGTCGTTGTGGGATTTGTGAAGAGCTTTCGGAAAATTTCTCACTCTTGATACAAAATTATTCGACTAAGAAAAAAAAACCAGAAAAGTTTGAGCGAAGCTGATAATAAATTTTACGGCAAGAGAGATATTGATTAACTAAATATTTTCTCCTGAGAAAAATAAGGAAAAGAAAACAGTTTTCATTCGCCTGTCGAAATCAAGATAAAAGGTAATAAATTTCTCTTGGAAAAGCGGTTTTCCTAGGAGGAAATCCTTTCAAACTTTTATTTTGTTTCTCCTTCTTTTATTTGATATAAGGATGAATTTGTAACATATGTAAACAGTTTTGGATTTAGATTTTTAATAACTTCTTCAATCTCTTCGAAATGTTAATTGATAGCAAAGTGTTGATTGACAAACCTTTCAGCTAGTCAAGGCAGTAAGGAAAAATATTTTCATTTATCTCATTTTATATCAAATTAATTCCTTTTACAGAAATTCTCCTATTCGAGAAGATTTTCTGATAAACATGTTCATCAATTTCAAATATTTGACCATTCAAATAGACATCGCATCAAGCACGTATCAATCTACGCATAGAAAAACATTCAAATCAAATTCTAAATAAAAAGTTTTTGAACAAATGAAATGTGAACAAAAGATTTTCCTATTATCGTATATTAAGTAGAATGGATTCAAATTTAAGAAAGGAAAGGAAATGCTTTGTTCGTAAAAGGAGGCAAAAGTCATCTGCCATTTCATTTCAGCATCAAATAAGTCATTGTTTTAATCTTTATTTGCCATTTGGGACATTCATCATAAACGACCTATTTTATCGACCTTAAAAACAAGTGTAAAGGAAATCGAGAAAAGGAAAGATGGAAGAAAATGTGTCCGATCGGAAATGATTTATTTTTGCTTTAACAACTGACTTTGTGAAGAAAAATTCCTTCTTTTTTGATATGTTATGTTCGAATACACTCGGGAAATCCTTTTTGATGTTTGTAGGAACTGATGCAGAACTTGTTCGATTGTAATTCATTCATTCATCAAGCTATAAATGTTTTGTCCTTATAGGAAGATAAAATAGCTTTTTAATTACTATGGTTTGCACCACATTTATCTACCTTATTTGTTTACTAAACAATGAGAGCATAGAAAAAAGAAAGAAAAACAATTACAAACATACCAATTATAAATCAATTTCAGACTCAGTCTAACAAGACTATTGCGAAACATATATCGCTTCATATAGATACATGCAATAAAAACATCGAGATAATAACAAGGAATAACAACTGTAAAAGGCTGCTCGTTTTCCCACAGCTATTAATTATTTTTTCTTCCGCTTGGATATTTCATTAGATATTATCTCACAGTAAACATCCACTTTTTAAGAATTGCTTTTAAGTCAAATCCAATTCTCTTGCTGTTCTTCTCGTGCAAACATTAACGTGCTGCAAAATTATGGTAATTTATATGTAAAAGGAAAAGAAGAAAAATTGGAAGAGCTGCAAATGCTTATGATTGATTGCATTTCAATAACCTATTTTATGCGAAGCCAATCTGTTGCAATTTATTTTCGAGCTGTCTTTGAAACTCGCTTATTTAGCATTTTAGATCCTTCAATGTAATATCTACAGCAATTTGTTTCCTTGTTTTCAACAAAGCAAAAAAAAATAGCACAAGGAGTGGGATGATTCTTCTTGGAATGGAAAGGTTTTTTATTTTCATTGGTATTGTCAATAGAATGTGCAAGAAATAAACTATGGGCATGAAATAAGAGAAACAAGTTCAGAAGCCAATTTTTTGGAATTCAAAAATGATTTATGGAAAATCATTTTGAAGCATTGCGCTTTTTATCAACTTAATTTCTTAGTGACGAATTTAAAATTCGACTTAAAATATCTAATTTAGAATGATTTTCCCATCACGAAATTGGCCTATGAATTTTTTCCACTCATACCTAATCGTGCTGATGAATCGATTTGCATGAACTTTGTATGTTGAAGCATCAAAATTTATTTCAATGAATTAAATTCCGATTTTGGTTTTACGTTGTTTGAGGGGATTTGGTATGAAAATTTTATCCTCAAAAATTTCCTCTCTACATAAAGCTCTACATAAACTGGGAAATCTTACACTTTTGGGGGCTTTAACTGAAAGACAATTCAAACTGATTTGAAATCTAATAAAGGTTGCTAAATTACCATAAAATGAAATATTGGAAATTTAATGACGGAACAATTTCCACGTTCATCCAAACCATGTAGATGTTATGTTCTAACATTAACTTTCACATGTTTTACCCTAAAAGCAAATAGGAAAACCTCAACGCATACATCGTGTAGATAGGCTTTTAAGATCAATATGTTAAATATGCTTTCTTCACATAAATCACAGCCCCAAATTGCTTGTGAAATAATAATTAAACGTGATTCTTTCCCATGACACATGTGCTTTTTATTTAAATGGTTTATATATTATTAAATATTTTTCCTAAGAATTCGAAATCTCTCAGATTCAAACAATGAAATTTTGTTTTGTTAAATGTTTTGAAATATGTGAAACTTAGTAAATGTATGGTTGGGAAATACAAATGTTTGAAATCCAATGTTTGTATCCCATGTCTGACGTCATAAACCAAATATCATGTTGCCTAACTGTAAAGTTTACTTTGCCAACATAGAAAGCAATGTAAATATGTTGAGTAAACGATCCAATTATATATATCAAATATATCAAATTGAGACAAGTTTACATACACCAACATTTGTTAAATAAAGTTTGTTAAAATTTGTAGTGCATCACTTTTAATTTCTTCTTCTCATTTATTGATTTGTTTAATTTTTGAGTGAACTTCAAATTTGGCACCCAAACCAAAGAAAAGAAAAAAATTGCTGCTTAATGAGATTTTTAAATAAAAATGAACTAAAAAGTTTTCACGTTAGAAATACAAAGCGTCATTTTCTATACAAATAGCTGTATAAATATACAAAGCCTTGAAGACATTTTGTTCTGGTAATGATTACAGTTTGGCAGACCAATTTTGTCCAATGAAAGCTTCATTCGTAGTGAAAACTTTTTTCCCCGACATTGACATGCAAATTTTATACCTCGCAGGGGACGAATTAAAAAAACGAAACAATGGAAAAAGTTTTTAAAAAAAGTTCAAACAAGTCTTTTAAACTTTGACAAATTCAATTTCATTAATTTATCTGTTGAAGAATAAATTAAACGGAATCCTTAAATACATGTTCTCATCTTGAAGAAATGAATAAATCTTAGATGAAATAAGAGCATTAATATGAATAATGCTTTCAAGAGCACAACAGAATTTTATCATTCACTCAAGTTTTAAAATAAGATCTCATGAATCTATGATAAATACGCTTCAACTGAATTTCTTGAATTCTTTTTGCTTTTGTTTCCATTTCGAATCGAAAATTCTAATTGCTGATGGTTCAAGCACGAACTGTGGTAATATATCAAACAAGAAAACGAAAATAATGACAATTGATAAATGAGTCTTTATAGATTGTGTCATCCATGGCCGAATATAAACTTGTTAAAACGAAATGCTTCCTATTGTGTTGTATAACTCCATTGTATGAGAGAAAAGGAAAAGTGTAAAGAAGTGTTTAATGGATGCATTATGATTGTGTTTCAATTACGATCAGATTTCGCTCCATCCAAGTCTTTAGTTACTTCTTTATTCCTTTCATCTGTTTGTTATTTCATCAATAGATTATCATCATTCACATGACATCATTAATGATAATGTCACGCAAATGAAATCTGATCAGACTTGTGCCTTGAAATTAAGCTTACTTAGATCACATTAATCAATCTTGAGTCAGGAAACTTTTTTATTAGAGAAAGAAAAAAAAAAGTTTAGGAAGCCTGTCATGTCAAGCATAAATCCTATCTGTTTAATGATATAATTTGTGGTTTCTTGACTTGTATGTTTAAGCCTTAAGTAAGCAAACTTTGCACTTTTTGCATTTTTATTCGAATGTATTAATATAAATATTTCTTTTGAAAGTTATACCGTATCTCACTTTCTTTGTTTATGTTGGACCTTCCGGCATAAAAAAAATTAATAAATGACATAAATGACACAACACGTTAATCTACTTAAGGCGTGGTAAGAATAAAACGGAAACTTTGAATTGACGAAATTATTTCTTTTATTGTAGGTGTGACTGGAAGTTTCGTGTTAATATAATATTCAAACATTATTGCATACATTTATAAAAATTAAATGTCAATGTTTGTTTGTAATTTAGCAATTTTTTTGAATATAAAATTTTCCCAAAGTGAAAAATGGGTTTCCAACATTTTAGAATGATTGCTTCACTTTAAGGATATTTTTATTATGATTTGGCCATAAAGTGAACTTATTGTGGTCAAATGGATTAGTGGTAAACTTTGTCACAAGTTGCTGATGATTCTGACAAGTATCGCACATTTCGTTCATTATTTATGAAATAAAATCCCAGAAATTCTCAAGCAACAAAAAGAAATAATTTTCTGGTTTTTCTTTTCATATTTTAACTGTTAAAATATACAAATTGTGTTTTGGTAGATTTAATTCTCTAACCATGCTGCTTTATCACTTTCGGCAATTCAGCTCACAGCATTTTTATCCTTTTAATGTTTTCAAAAAATGATAAAAATAATAATAATAATAACATTAGCAATTCTCGAGACGAAGTAGGGCGAAAGAATCTTTAAAATGAATACTTGGACCATAAATCATAAGCTTTTTATTGTTAAAAGCAATTTTCAATAAAGCTTTATTGTTTTCTACATATGTGTGGCTTGAAAGTAGGCAAAATGTTGCTTAACCAACCAAAGCAAATTGTCTAAAACGAAGGAATTTTAAGGAATTATAGAATTCAGTTTTCTTCTGTCTCGTTCGTTCTTGAAGTTCAACCGAAAACATGAACGCTTTTTACATTAAATTTCATTCCTTTTTTGTCGAGGAGAAGTGTAAGATTTGTACAAGAGTGATTTAGATGGACAATCTTCTAACATGATCCTTTATCACGACCCTGACACCTTCAATTTACTTCCCAAAACATTCTGACAATAAAAAAATCCGTCCGCTTCCAGAAGTGGGAACAACATTAAAGGATGAAGATTTTCAAGGGAATAACGCTTAAAATTTATCAATACTGTGCTAGATATTAATGTCTCATACTAATCTAAACATTACAAGAACGCATGAAAATATTTTTCAAAGCCAATTCTAATATTATTTATTCATTTATGTATCTTTTTATACTACATAAAGGTCAGTTAGAAATTTTTATCGCTTTTACATGTATAATTTTCTCTTGCTTACAGCAAATAATTCATCTTTAAACTAAACCTTTTCGTTCAAAGCACTAAAAGGTAGAATTCTCACATTTCTCTTTAAGCTACGTAAATATTTTACAACATCACAACATAAGTAGGATTAATTGTAGGGTTTTCTGAAAAAGATTCAATCAAATATCAGAAAATTACCCGACTACTTTCATAAGTCTACAATTTTTGATATCTTCTTTAACTCTAGCAAACATTTTTATTTCTACTCGAACGACGATTCAATTTACGTCTCGTCATTCAAAAGCTTGAAGCTGTCATGTGATAAATTCAATTTCTTCGCAACTTTAAAATAAATTCTTTAGAAAGTTTGGACATTTCAATGATCGATTTCTTAAAACTTTTCTATAATTTCACGAAAGTTTCAGTGGCATTGAGATTAGTCAGATAACATCCAATTTTAAACTCAAACTTTTTCAAGTAATTCCAATAATTTTCAGATTACGTAAAAACTTATTAAAATGCTACACATTGTAAACACTTTAATCGAAGTAGAAGAGAAAACATTTCATCGTCCCTAAAAGATTTACAACAATGTATTCATAATTGTACTTCCAACTTCTCTCTCAACTACAGTTTACTTTAACATGAAACAAAAACCTAAACAAATTGCTACACTTAGATGTAAAAAAAGAAACTTATTAACAATGAAATCTAAGCTTCATTAAAATCACAAAACCGTAAAGCACATGCATGAATGGGAAAAAGGTGCACGAGTGACCACAGAAAATTCCCATTCAGTATGGTTATAAAGTCTATTTACTACAATTGCTTTTTATTGCTTAAATTCCCAGCATGTTTATATAGAATGTATTTGAAAAAATCTAAACAATATAGAACAGGAAAAGCTTAAGAACTGTTTCCATGTCTTTAAAGGAAACATTCTCTAGAGAAACTTTTCTAATTATTGAGTGAGAATACATGCAGGAACAAGAATAATAATGTTAGATGTATTCAGAAGCATGATCTTGAGCCAAGATCTAGTGTTATAAAACAGTTAATTTTCAAAGTATTTGAGGATGACAGATAAATAATGAAAAGAGTTGTACTTTGTTTGAGACACAAAAACGATATGCAGATTAAAATATGCTGCAATAAAAGAGCTTTCCATCTATAGACTAACAACCATTGGTTTAGACAACAAACAAGAAGTAATTGATTTTTGCTTTATATTTCAACTACAAAAGGAGATTAATATTGCAAAAGTTCAAGCCAAAAGTTAAAAGTATTTGAAAATGAAAATTTATTCGCTTACGATTGTAGCAATTAAATAGAATTTCTTTTTGAAAATTTTCTAATATGAAAAGAAATATTTTACTTTGATGTAGAAATGTTAAATGATTTAAAAGAAGCTCAGGGAAAACATCTCTAAAGCAGAAATAATTTTATGAATCAAGATTTGTTGAAAAAGTTGGTAAATATTAAAATGTGTAGTTCAGATGAACGAACAAGCAAAATTATTTTTAAACACCTCCACAAACGAAAAACGTTTAAGAGATTATTCGGAAAATTTTTTTTGTTCTAATTTTAACTATAGGGGTCTTTCTTTTTTATTAAGAAAAAACATATTATGAGAGAGAACAATGCTTTGAAGATGAAAGAAAAGAATAAAGAAAAGATATCTCGAGTTATCTAAGGAAAATATCTTTGGTTAATATCCTTTTGATCTCGGATCATGGTTTTCTTTAGTTTTTCATGGTTTTCTTTTAAGTAAGTTTAAAGTAGAAGAATTTTGTCGTTATCTCAATGCTATATGTTTATTTTTTAAAGGTTATTATTCTTTTAAGCAAATATTCACTTGACTTGAGATAATTCTTTTTAAGCAACAACTTTATTTAAAAAAATAACGCTGGGAATCAAATATTGATGTTCATTGAATTTCAAAAGCTTTTGACAGTTATCTTGAAACTCAAAGGAATGTCAAACGATGTTTTCAATAAGTCAACCCTTTTTTAGCTTAGTTTATTCTTATCTCAATCTTATTATTAAATATTTAGCATGAATATTCTATTTCAAAGCATCTATTTAAGTAGTGAAATATCCCTCAGCGTTTAAAATATTCCTTTGAGAATGATTAAGGTTTTGTTGACTCAATTGAGCTAAGAAATTTAATCTCCTTATTGTTCGTTTGACCAAAAGGCTATAAACAACTTTTCTTTGTTGATGTCAAGGTTGTGGTAAAATTTCAACACATCTGCTCTTATTTTCTTTCTTTTCTTGTCTCATAAACCACTTGAATAACATAGTTGACATCTTACAGTTTCTGACGTAGATTTTATTTGATAACAACAATTGATTTCATGGAAGATGAGTCAAGTTTTTCTATTAAATGTTTAAATGGTTTCGAGTGTTTATATTCTAATTCAAATAACTCTACCATAAGCTTAATTCACATAAATAATTTCAGGTTGCCATAGAAGAAACAATTACGTACTCACAATAACTTTTCTAAGCCAATTTCTTACAGAAAACATACGCCTACAAATTTCAAATAAACTGCATGTATACAAGTAAGGAAAATATGTCAGCAGATTGAAATTAAGAGAAATGATACCAAAGAAAAAGAAACTCCTGAGCATAAATAAGAAAAGTAGGGATAAGAAGGATAACAAATACCAACAACACATTTCAAATATTAAAGAAGCTACCGCAGAAGCAACAACTTTGTACGCCTCATGAAACTTGGCGAAAAGATAAAATTCAAATTTTTCGCCGCCTTAAGCTTAGACTCACATGATATGCTCGCTCTTTGAGAAATGATAAAAGAAATGCTACGGCTTGTTTTCATTTTACTTTTTTATCAAAAATAAATTATCATATGTTGAAATTTTTCTGGTTTTGGTGTTCTGTTAAGATGGAACTCCCTAGAACTTGCCGAATCTTATTACATAATATCGATTTAAATAAGCATTTTGATTTAACATGATCTTTGCTGAATGTCTATGAACTTGAATGGAAGAAAATTTCTTTAAGCTTATTTTGTTGTAAGATTATTTTATCGGTTTGGGTAGATATGAAAACAGCGTATGCATAGACGTTTGCTTAAAAACTTAACATATGAATGTTTCTTAACAAGGATTTATTTCTTAGACGTGACTTTAACTAAAATTTACGGAGGCCCCACCCTAGGGTGACGGGCAACCGTATTGGATTTTCAAAATTCCAATTGAAGAAAGATAAGTGTGACTTTAAATAATCTGCCCTTGAGCCTTTTTTTACAATGTTTCTTTATTTGTATGCAGATATGCAAAATATTTATGTTTTTGTCATTTCCTCAAATTTTTCCGGTTTGTTTCTTTTGCTGGAAAACTTGTTAATGGCGAACATATTCTGTGTTAAAAGGAAACAACTTTAAAATGTGGTATGGAATATTAAAATGCATTTAGATTATTTTTTTGCTATTCATACTAAATTTCTTAATACATTTTAGATATTAAGTGAGAAGGAAAATATATTGACACACTAATAATTCAAGGTTTTTTAATGTTCTGCAGATACATGAATCACGAATGTTCTTTGGAAATGAAGAACATTTATCTTCAAATTCACATCTGGTGATTAGAAGAGTTATTGACAGACAAAAAAAGAAGCGTAATACCAATTTTTTAAGAAATGTCCTTTTTTCTGCTTCTTCCTAGATAAGTCGTGGGATGGTTTACATTGAATCTTGAATTAAGGTTTTGGGACGAGATGTCATCATCAGCATTTATCCATTTTTTGGCTGTGAATGGAGAATTTAAATTCGAGTTTTATAAAAAGATATCGTAAAAAAGCATTTTTCAATGAATAAATATTTTCAATTGGAGCAAGACTCAGTTTTTCTGTTCTTACAGATTGAAAAGGGAAAATTATTTGGTTTAAAGTAAACATAAAGACACTTTATCAAAAATTAAAAACCGAGAAAATTATTCGGAAGATTTGATTCTGTGGCATTGTTGGAGTCTATCAAATTGTCTGCTGCACATTCTTAATCTGAAGATTATGTTACTAAGGTATTATCTAATTCAGGCTGAAAATTTAAATTTAAAGCATAGAATTCCTCAAGCAATCACGTTTCATTAATGAATTAAATTATGAGAACGGAAATTACATTTTGATTTAAATTAATGACATGTTAGATATCTTGCAGCACTTTTTGAAAGCTTTTCGCGTAAGTAGAACAAAGTTTAAATTTATGACACTCATTATTAGGCTCTCTTAATAATATAAAATGTAAAATATAAAAATGCCATGCTCTAAAGCACAAAAGACAGATTTTTCATTAAAATAGAATGAGTTAAGAGATCTTTTTTTATTAAAAAATCTTTTAAAAAATGGACACACTCCTGGCCCAGTAGCATTCGGCATTTAAAATTAAAATTTGTAACTAGAACGATGTCATTAATTCCAAGTGTTGCATAAGCTTTAATTTAAAACTTCATTCTTTATGATCTTGACAAAGTTAATATCATAACTTTTAGAGTAGTTTAGGTATACAGTTTGCTGAACGGTTTTTGTCTTCTGAGATTAAAAGTTTCAAATTCGATAAACTTCTATGAATATTCAAAAACCTCTTGGTGGAGTTTTATACTAAATATTGGAAGGACTGAAATCTTCGGCATATTGCTGTACAAGACATCGTGTAAGATTCTTGATATCGTTATTATTTTTAAAAAAATTAAAAGTGCATGTTACATAAAAGCTTTTATGTTTACAGTTCCAATGTTGCTCATGAGTAGAATCGTTTCTTTATTTCTGTCTGCATTTTATAATTAAATGATTAAGTAAACATAAGAATGAAAACTAAATAACATCAAATGTGAAGAAATACAAATGAGTGAAATTTATTTGTCTGTTATTGAATTAAACTTGATGTTTACAAGTTCATAATGTGATGAAGTAATTTTTTCCCGGAATCACTTTTTGCTTCAATTTCGCATCTTTGAAGCGAATTTTACTTTCTAAAATAAAATTTATAAAAATATAAATTCGCTGAAACATAAATGGAACAATATTCAAGTGGTTCTTGTTGTCAAAAAATATTAGATTTACTTTTCACTTAGAAAGATAATATCAGAATCGATACATATGATGAAGTTTTAAAACAGATCCTATAAGTTATATGTAAATCAAGAATTTAAAAAATAAATATAAATTATTTGCCATGGATCGTGGCCAAGAAGTTAGAGAATTAAAACTTGGAGCTAGTTTTGCTAGCTCTAATGCCAGAACTGTGTATCACACACTCAAATGTAAGTAATAGTTAATCATATTAAATTTTTCAATCATACTAAAATTTGCCACATTTTAAATTTTGCTTTCTTTCCAACTTGCAACCTTTTGCCTTTTAAAGATGATTTCAAGCCTGCTAGTGTTGATGTTCATAAGGAAGCAACCCTCCAGACTGGTTCTAACAATTCTGTAACAGTAACACTTCCACATTTAGGTATAAAAAGAAACAAATTTTAATTTAAATAATTCAATAATTGAGGATTTTGATTTCCATGCCAGATGGATCTGGAGTACCTAATACCATCTTTAAAGGAAACCAGCGGGATTACACGAAGAAAGAGTGTGTTCTAATTATCAATCGTGATACTAATGAGATAATCCTGGAAAGATTGAATAGTCAAATCCTCGTGAAGAAAACAAGAGCTGACAACAGTAATAAGCAGACTTCACTCAGCAACAACAGCAGCGCTCCAAGTATTGCCAATAAAAGTGACACTTCACAAACAAATTTTACTCCAAAAGTTGAAAACCAGACAGCACGTCATAGTTCGAAAACCCGAGTATCAACTGGTTTAAGGAAGAATAATATCCTAAATTTTGTGCCAAAACATTCACCTTTACAAGGTTCTCCTTCATATGCGCATAGAAGTCCACAGCAAGCGCCATTGTAAGTATAACTTTTCTTTGTAACATATCGTTTCGTAATTCCTTGAAGCGAATTTCATTTATTGTATCTGTTTTGTACATAGATGGAATGCTAATAACCCGCAGCAGACTTTGCCAAGTATACCCAGCTTATTGGATGAAAATTTCTCCAACAACAGTCAACCACCACCATCATCTGGCTACAATAATAAAAATAATAATAATAATCCTAACACTAATATCAGCTTGAGCAATCAATCGGCTTCAACGTCTGCATCTGGTGCAATTTTGCAACAACAGCAACAACAACAATCTCTTGCTCTTGATGATGTAAGAATGTTTTATTACTTGTCGATAACTTATTTTATTCCAATTGTTTTATGATCAACAGATTGGCGAACTCAGTTCGTCATCTTCTAGTGATTCGAATGATGATGAAAGTGATTCAGACTCTGACAGTGCTGATAGTTCAACGAATAACGCGACGAACATATGTAACAACGTCAATAACAACACGATAATGGCAAACAATGTTCTTAATCAAAAGAAAGGTGAATTTTTCTTTGTTCCGTTTTATTTGTGAAAGCTTCTTCAATCATTTGATTTACAGCTCCAACATCGTCCAATTTAAACAATCATTTGGATAACTCAGCAGCAATATTGCGAAAGGATCTGTGCCTTTCAGACTCTAACTCAGATTCGGATTACTGAAGATATTTAAAGTTTGTACGTATTGAGTATAATCGCGGAATGGAAGGAAACTTTTCTTGGTTGATTTCTGGGAATGGAAAAATTTGTAATTATTTTTTATCTAAATAAATAAATATTTTTTATTTGTTACATATGGCATGAAATTAAAAAATGAATTTTGTTTTATTCAAAAAAAAATGCTTCGCTTCGGTGATAAAGTTGAAAGTTTGACATTAAAATTGATGATAAACAATTAGTAAAACGCTTAAAAATCAAAACGTGAATTAAAACGATGCAGTGGCATTTTTATTTCTTTTTATTTTTGAGTTTCTGTTTTTACAAAAGCAAAAATGTAATTACAAATAAAAACAAAATGTTTATGGAAGTCAAACTGTCACCCGCATTGTATGGTGATGTGAAGATTTCATTGCTCAATAAATCTTCATCGTATCGGATATCATACTCATTGGCTTCTGTTGATGAACTATTGATGGTTTCAGCTGAAAATGATATTTGAGTTTGAAAAACTTGAAAATAATTTTATTTTTTTTTTCATAAAGGCAAAAGTTTTTCAATGTTTTTATCAATACATCGGAAAGTTTGAAAGTAAGGTTACCCTCTCTCATGGTTGTAATAGAAACATAAAAGTTATGATCATAAGTCAACCCACAAATAACTAAGAAAAACTATGAGAAAAACTTACTCTCACTGGGTGTAGCGAAACGAAGAATTTTGCTATCATCACTAGAACCAAATTGGTTTCTCGCTTGAATCATCACTTCGTAAACTGTTGCGGGTGCTAGAGCTTCCAATTTGTAACTTTTAGTATGAAAAGGTCCCGTAGTTCGATCCGCTGGGATGGTCAATTGATTCCAAATGAAGTTTTCACTTTTTCTAAAGTTTTCATTTCCAGTTGGAACCCTTCGGAATTTAAATTTGTAATCAATAATTGGGGAAAGTGATTCTGTTTGCCATGATAACATTTTACTGGATATTGTAGCAGGATGACTTTTGTTCTCAAATGATGGCTTCAATGGTGTCCCTGTCAACATTATTGAACCACTTTGCATACCAAGCGAATTCTCGGCTATGCATTCATACTTTCCCAAATCTGTTTCACGAACATTTCTGATCATCAAAATGTGACGTTTTTTTGAGTAATACATTGGATATGGTTCAGATGCAGTCTGAGATTAAAAATATTAATGTTTGGTAAGCAAATGTGAACTTTTTTCATTTCCATATTACCAGATCTGTATCTTGCGTTGTGATGAGATTGTTACGTTTATTAACCGGTGTTCCATTAAAAAACCAATGAATCTGAGCGACAGGATGTGAAACAACTAAACAATCTATTTTTGCTTGCAAACCGGGACGAGTATGTACTACCGGCATTGAGGTTTTGATTTCTGGGGCAACTGTAAGGACAAGAAAAGGTTCATAAATTGTTGTTCACATGTGAATATTTCATGTATGTATCTACTAACAATTTACGACTAAGAGAATGCCTGCTGCTTTCGGCTCTTTCCCTACTCCATTATTCGCCACACATTCTATGCGCCCCGCCATGTCGTAATGCTTCACCTCTACAGTTAATCTTCTATCGCCATCATAAGTATTTGTCACATGCTTTCCATTGTGATACCAGGAAATTATTGGATAAGGAACACCCTTAGGTTCACATGTTATTTGAAAAATTGCGCCTATAGTAACATTCATTGTACCAGCTGGAAAAGTTATAACATCTGGTTCAACTGATACCGAGAACGTTAATCGATTTTGAACAGAATCCAATCTTTGTTTCTTTAATTACCTTGAACTTCAATCGAATTGGTTTGTCTATGCAATCTTGTTCCAATTGTTACTTCGCAGAGGTAATCGCCTGTATCGTCAAGTTGGATGTTGTTGACTTCGAGAGAGCCATTCGAATGCAATACTCGATTCGGTATTTTATAATTTGGATATCTGCTATCTGCAATTAATTTGTTATCTTGACTAAGCCAACGTACTGCAGTGTGACGTTCTGTTTTTGAAAACAAAGTAGATCGTTTGAGAACTTTCAGATACATTTTTGCATGTTTATATAAAAGTCAAAGTGTTAAATGAGCAACAAGCTTTAAGCGCTCAGCAGAAATTTATATGAGAAACTTCATAGAATTTTTTTTTGCAGGAAATTAAATAAAAATTTAAATTTGGAGATTATTCCATAGCAAGGTGTGCTTTTTAAAAACTTATTCATGCTATATTTCCATTTAATGTTCAAAACTTTTCCGTTTCAATATTTTCCTACTGAACTTTCTAAACTTTGCTATCAGCAGTAAAAAACAGAATATTAAAAATAATTCTCCACAAATATTTATTTAAGTAATCTAGATGAGATGTTCTTCCTTTTATATTCCAGAGGACAATAGAAGAATTCATAAACATCTTTTTTTACATTGAAAAATAACTTTCATTCAGGATTTTTCCATATTTGCTTAAAGCCAAATTTTTTACAAACGATTAACACCAACAATTTTGGGTGGAACATATTTTAGAGAATGAAAAACGTTTCGAGATGTTCTCAAACATCCTTCTAAAACCGAAGCTATTTTCATGATTAAATTCTCTATCGCCCAAAAAATATTTTTCATCATCATCATCATTGCCAAGGCAAAGATGTCGTCGAATGTTATTCACATAAAATAAAGAACGAGATGATAAAAATTTGCAACTTTTCTCACACTACCTGTTGAATAACAAGGCAAAAGGACTGAATCATTTTCAAAGGTCTTGATTGTTGTTGGTTTGCTTTTAAAGTTAACATCTGGTTGCACCCCATTATCACTAATTAAGGCAGCAATTACAATTAGAACACCTGATAGGCACTGTTTCAAATGACAACTTTCCATAATTTCCTTCTTATTATATTTGATTGTTGTTTATTTTTTAATTTAAAATTATTTCGTCGTTGATGATGAAGAAAAGAATTCATCACCAAAAATATTTCGGATATTTAATTGTTCATCGGAAATCACTATGAGAAAAATATTTTCATGTAATCCATGATCAAACCGAACCTCTCTCAAATATAAACAGCTAGTGACTGAAGGAAGGAAACATATTAACACAAGCCCGTCTCATCATCTTACATAGCTCGTTCATTCTTGTTCTCTCATTGATGAGAATTAACTAATAATAGCAAGCTATAAAGACACAAATTTCAATTTATTAAATTATTGTCATCTCATGTGTGAAACCAGACGTGCAGTGGTGTGCGAACGTCAGTGATAATAGGGAAAGCAAGAAAATGCAGGCAAAGCCTTAAATTAACTCACAATAGAAAGAATGGCGAAGCCATTGAATTTAATTAAATTCCTTAAATGTGCAAGATCAAAACTCACGAGATAAAATTGTAATAAATACGACAATGTTAGACCCTTCCAATGTTTTATTTTGCGATTAATTTTCGTCAGATGGTCTCAACATTTGATGCTGGTTTATTTTAAAAAATCATTTTAATTGAATAAAAAAATAAAAATGTTTCTTAGATGTTTGTCGTTTCGGTTGATAAATATCAGCTTTGAATGAACTTCAATTTCTGAGAACTAAAAAAGTGCCAATCAAGTTAAAGATGATCTATTTATGGCACTTAATTGAAAGAGAATGTAAACAAAATGATGATAGACTTGAAAGAAGAAGAACTCTGATGTCGTCGTTGCGTGATGATGGACAAATTACTCAAAAGAAGACTCATATCTAAATTGAGTGCCGGCATGACATGCCATCGGATGGATATCTGACACTTCAACATTGACTTAATAATGATAAGGGCAACTTAACATGTAAGAGACTTAATCCGATCAGATTTGAACTCTTAATTTGATAAAATCAATTTGATTGATGAATTATGATGACGTAAAATATTAAAATTGTTCATTTATTAAATGCAATTGTAGATTATTTCTTGTGATGAATATGCATGTCTATCTATTAAAAAAAGTATCGAAAAAAAGAGAGAAAAAAATTAAAAGTGATGAAAATAAATTGGAGCTCTTCGCTTCGAAACGTTGACTATTTTCAATTAAATTACATGAAAGTGAGTTGAGGCTTTGTAATGTCGTAAAAATCATTTCGAGAAACGAAACAGACGATGTGATTTGTCGAGTTTTTATTACAATATTTTATGGAGCTATGTGGAGCTGTGTCAGCAAATATTGACAAATGCTCCCTTTATTAGATCATATTCTTTAAAACGGAAACATATTGGACATGAGAAAGGGTTAATGTTCGATGTATTCTGTGGGAGAATTTGTCACTTGATTCTGAGAATATTTTTGTTTGGGAAATATATTCCAATCACGAAGACACTTACTGCTACATCATTTTGACATTAAAGCATCAAGACAATGTTGAAGCATATGGCATTTATTAAATTGATTCCACCCTTCACAACATGATTCCACTTCTGCATTAATTTGTAATCGATATAATTAAGCTCACTATAAGAAAACTCTTTTATTGAGTTGAGAGTCTTAAAAAATGATTTAGCAATAAATCCACTTTAAAAGTATTAAAAAGAAACTTTTGTTTCTTGTTCGTAAAAATTGTGAGAAAAATTCTTTAAACTTTAAATGTTCGACGACAAAATCTGTGGAATATTTGATTGCAAGTTTCGCTTCGAGTGTAGTAAACCCATTGTTCGCATTTTAAATGGATTTCAGCTTTTGAAGAGAAATTAAAATACAAGAGCTTTGTGTACTTCCTTCAAGTATTTGCATAGCATTATGTTCCAAGGATTTTCATTATGAGAACAAAGAGTTGGATAATGCCTCAAGCGGGTCAATAAAACAAAACCATTGCTTTATGCTATTTATTGAAAGTTTTTTTGTTATGTTAAATGAAAAATCAAACTTCAAACTCAACCATGAAAAACAATCTATTTTACGTCCGATGTTCAAAAAGTGCAGGAAATTTTCCCTAAAGGCGACTTAAATTTGTTATAAACCTTTTTGAAACAATACGGAAGTGCAATGATGGAATCAAATGTGATTCGATTTACGTTCGATGCAAAATATGTTTGATTTCGTTGTTGCTGTTTGCTTTGATCATTGGAGCATTAAGCATTAAGCATGAGATGATAGATAAAGCTCGACACGGGATTATGATTGAACAATTTAGCAGCAAGAAAACCACTTCCCACTTTACCCGCTGGATAAGCACTTGAATGATTTTCTAACATTGTTTTCTAAATGTCGGAAGCTTTTCTCGACAATTCAATGAAACGACTTAGCATGCGATGAAGGAAAAGAAATCCTTTCAGTACTCAAATCGAACGTTTTATTTAGTAAGCAAAACAGCAAGGAAGGATTTTCTGAAACCCTTGATTTTTACGAGTGTATAAATTTATTCAATGTGAACAGAGCTTATTGGACAGTAGCATCTGGTTGATTCAATCAATGATCCTAGTTGTCATTTGTAGAAGCAAAAATATCAATTTCCATTTTTATAATATCAAAAGCAAGATTTGCCATGAATTCTTGAAATTCTTTTCAACTTGAAATTGAGTTAAATGAAAGTTGAGTTTGAGAAAGCAACAATCAAGTGTTTTTTCTTGAAAAATCCCATCTGGTTTGTGTTCGATGATGCTATTGAACTTGATACGCGTACTGTTTAACAATCGATATCGATCAATTTCATCGCATTGAAGCCACGAAGGACTGCGAATTTGTGTTGGCAAAATCGATTAGATGCCGTAAGAAGACTGCACTATTTACAATTTTTTGAGATCGAGATTGTATCACAATTGAGGAGGCAGATAATGCGACAACATTCAGACAGATATCAAAAACAGATTCTTTTCCAAATCACGCAAATAATCGACGATTGTCGTTGTAAGTAAAGAAGAAAATTGATTTCCATCAACTTTTCCTTCTTATTGTCGCTTGGTGAAAAGCTATTTCCGTTAGCTTCTAAAAAGATTTTCCTGCTCGGGGAAAAGTAAAATGATTTATGGAAAAGCGTTTTGCTTTATACTTTTCTCTTTGTGGAGTCAGAAAATGAAAAGTTTCTTCATGCCATTTGTCGAGACTGTCGTGAATGGGTGGAACAGAAAATTGTCTCAGACTGAAGGGACTTTTTTGGCTTGCGAAAAATGCGTTCGCGAGTAGAAGTAAATCAGTGAAGAATAATGCTCAGGAGGGTTGATTTATGATTCAAGAATGAATGTTTTATAAAACGTATGAGAAAACAGTATTTTTGTCGCTCAGGATGAACTTCAAAATAATGTCACATTGCAAAATGATCAAATTCCATCGCTCCAGACCACATTGTGCCGTCATTTTATATTTTCTCCTGGGCCATGACTTTACCCAACCACACTTCAGTGAATCTATTTACGAAATATTACACCGCCCGCCTCATGAATATAGTTAGCAATTTTTCTTGTCAATCATATTTCTCAACATTGCTGCTAGAAAGGGATTTGTCAAAAGAAAAAAAAACTTCACCGTATGTGAAAAGTTAAGCACTTTAAAGACACCATATAACTTATGAAGGTTTTAATGGAAATTCTGTATTTTGAATAATGTCATTGTTTTTTTACTTACACCTCGCATACTTTGTTACAGGAAAAGTCGTTGAATTTGATAAATAAAGGCATTCACTAATGTACAAAATTAATTTACATCATTATCAAGCATTTTCAGGTAAACCACACAGAGTTATGAACACATGTCTTGACATATGCTTCTAAATAGAAAACAATAAATTTATTAAATTCATTCAAGTGAAAAATGCTTTTGAAAAAGGCGAATGTCAAATTGAACAATTTAAAATGAATAACTCATCTCTTATTTGTTTACTTTCAATGATTTGATTTTTATAGTTTTCGTAAGATATCAGCAACTATCAACATAGATAAAAAACATTTAATTGAAGCAATTACTGTTCAATCGATTGAATATTATTGGACTGCTGTGATGGTAGAATTAAATTAACCCTTTTATGGAAGTGAAGTTGCCTCATACGATTCTCAATTTTTCTATTTCAAGCCATATGTCTGCATCAACTAAAAAGTATTAAGAACTGTACATTCAATAGTTTCTCGAAATTGATGTCATCGACATGAAAGCGATTACGAGTCATGCAACTATTGCACGTTTTTCAGGCAATGCGCCTTAAAACGAAGCAACAATTTCCATTGCAGAGAAAAGAAATAAAAACGATTCGTTTCTGAAAATTCTAAAAAAAAATTATCAAATAAATACTCAATAGATGTATTCAGAGCTTGGAAATTCAAGATTCATTATAATTTTACGTTCCATTCAAACACGATTCATTTATGCTTGTGCTTGAAATATTTTCGGATAGGCAATTCATTGCTTTTTAAGATCAATGATCCAATTTACGATTCACTATGCAATTAGAGCTCTCATTCGTATCATTTAATAGCGTCCAGGTCTGTATGTGATCAATTTCATCGTATAAAAATGCTTTATCATTGAATTTAAATTGTTCTCGTAGGAGAGAAACGAGACTCGTTACCATTTCATTTGTTTGTCCATTGCAGTGAACTTTTTCAACATTACTAGAGCAAACTGGAATAATAATTTTCACCCCTCAACATATCTGACAAAATTATGAAGTTTATCAACATATAACCGTCAAAAAGTTTCCTTGTCGCACATCTTGCAAGTTGCAATTGAATTTTTGTCATTCTCACTCGAATCAAAAATTTTTTATTCATATTTTCATTTCGTTTTTCGCCTTCGAGTAACTTGTTGCAAAATGACAACATGGACAAAAAGGATTGAAATTTTTAATGTCAGCAACAGACACATGTGGATATGCTTTGAATATGGTGAGTTTATTGTTGGAAATGTGAATTAAATAAAAAAGATATTTTTCATGCCATGTCAGAAATGAAGGATGAGCTTGTTTAATTTTGAAAGGAATGATGTTATTTGGTGGTATAACGAGTTAAAGAGAAACCTCTCGAATTTTTTTTCATGTAAAAGTCAGTTAAAGGCATTGAAATGTCACAGATGTACATTTTTGTTTTGTTATTTCGAAATATCCTTTTGTGTTACTAATTTTTAATATTATTATTTCTGTAATTGATTGTTCATTACATTCACGTTGTTTCTCTTTCTTCTTGAATTGACTTTATTTATTCACGTTATAAACTATCCAAAGCTTCGCATTGATCTTGTATTTGACTCAATAACATTCTGTAAATGAAACTTTTTAAACTCCTTCCGAAATTGTTTATATTCAAGCTGTTCTGCATTTAAAAGATTAACTAACTATAAACTTTACTAGAATCAAAATGAACTGAAATATTTATTAGTATTTCATGGACCCAGTGGAATATTGCTAATCTGAATAAAAGAAATCGTAGAATTAAGGACTTGAAATAATTGCTTAGAAACATATTTACCCTTTTAATTAAGTCAATCTGACAAATATAAAATATAAAGGAAAACAATGAAAAGCGAAGATTAGAGATGAAAAATTACAGTTCCTTAATATAAACCATAAAATATAAAACTTTTTAATAATTTTAATGTCCAAAAAGAAAAAAAATCTTTCAATAAACTTTGAAAGCTTTTATGATGTTTAATTGAATGCTGTTCTTAATCTCGAGAAATTTCCTTAGAGTAAACAAAAAATCTTGATTTTGTATATAATAAAAGATTGATTACCCTACAAGCACTCTGGAAATACAGTTTGAGTAATTGAAAGCTATAAATATTGATTTTCTTCTTTGAAGCTTCATGAAAGATATTTAAGTTGAAGAAAAGTTCTTGAGATCAACGATTTTCTATATTTTATCTTCAGTTTCCGAAATCTAACAAAGGAATCTGTCGAAAAGCATTAAAAACAATATTAAACTAAAGAACACAAAGGCTCTTCAATCTATTGAATTGGCACGTAAAAAAGCCGTGTTTACGCATTTTTTTCATGGCCTCGCTTTCGGTTTCTGTTCGCTTGGAATTTTTACTTGTCCCTAAAAATCTTCTGATATTTAGCAAAGCGTTATAACAATTTGATAACATCTGTTTTTATTCTTATTTAATATCTTACTCTTTGAATTCTGTCCCATTACGATAGATACGCTCTTCATTCCTAAAGCGAGCAGTGATAAAAAGAACGTCTTTTGACGGAATTCTTGTTATTATTGAAAGAAGTACGAATTGAGGCAGCTATTTTAATCTTTTTACAATAAGTAGAGCGTAGAATCATTGAATAATTTTAAAGATTGTCATTTCTATCTTTTAAGTTATTTACAGTACAAGTTTTTTTAAAAATCATGATTAGAATGTTCAATGTTGTGACCAGATTTATATGGGGACATAATTCTGTTTAAATATCCAATTTCATCTACAATTTTTGTAGCTACTTCTTATATCCATATTTAAAGTCTTGTTTTTGTTGTTCCTTCAAATGTTTGCCCGCTTATAATTGGTAAAAAGATTTTGTTTATCTTATTTACTTGGTATCCCATGAAACTTCGCTGGTTGTTGTGTTTAAGAAACAACCCAGATCATAAAATTATGAAATTTAATGCGACTGTGAAGCAAAGCTCTAGACGATGTTGAACAAAGAACAAAAAATATGAGAATTTAATTTTTCATGACCCATAAACAATTCATGCAATTTTGCTAGGATTAAACTTGACACAGAAGCAGAGAAAAAAGTGAATTTTTAAGGGAATTCCGTCATGCGAGAAAAGCGTTGGATTCACAACTTTCCGGATACGGTAAAAAGCATGAAAATCTGAAATGGTAAAATTAATAGGAAAACATCAGACAGAATATTTGGAAATGTAATTGGATTACTTCACCATGACTGTTAACAATTTTTTACTTCAAACTACTCAACAAATACATCAAATTACTCCATTTTAATAACACTTGCTTATGTTTCTGATTTTTTCTCCTTTTTTGTTTTCATTCGTAATTTCCGAAATGTTAAATCCTTTTGGGATCAAGCAAAACTTCTCATTTACCACGAGATCAACCTCTCAAAAACGACATCCTGAAATCCCTGTGCACATGTTTCCGTTAATTTTATAAAGCAAAGTTCAGTGCAAAAGCAAATAGTTTGATAATCTCGAAAGGAAAAACTCTTTTGGCAGCAGCTTTTTAACATTGATTTCATTTTTATGAATCGTTTTAAATGTTCCGGCGCTTATCCTTTATTCTGAATTTAGGAAACAAACATTTTAAGAACATAAAGATAAAAAAGTAAGCTTTCCCAGCAGTTTGTTTATTTATTTATGATGATCCAATTCACGAGAGTTTCAAATTTGTTTCCATGGACCGTCATAAAACTGTTGCTATAAATTATTGTATAAAATCTCTGAAGTTTTAATTGGAACTTCACTTTGTATGTAAAGATATACTTTATGGTTGATCTTAAAAAATTCTGGAAAATTCTGCTCCCTGTCCAATTAAAATATATAGAAAATTGTCACATCTAAATATTTATTTAATTTCTTTGAATTAGATTTATCCAACATTACATTTCTTTGAAGTTAAGAAACTCTAATCAATTAATGAAGAATGGGTTTTGAAAGGCTCGTCATGGGATTGATTCTTAAGGAAAACGCCTACGAAAGTCTGTCAAACAATCTTTGGAAACCGGGAATGTTAAGAAACTCTAAAATAAGTTTTTATCTATTAATACGTGCAAGAGTTAATTGATAACTTTGCAGATATTTCATAGTAATTTTCCAAGTTAATTCAATTTGATTATTTAATCAGGGTTAGGCTTCATTGAATTGAAATAATGAATTTTTTTTCTTATTTCTCCTTTGATGACATTTTCATTCTTAGAATTTAATGAAAATGTTTTTGCTCATTTCCCGTTGAATGGATCTGGGGAATAGAAAAGTTTTAGTCTCTATTGCCACAATTCGCTTTGCTTCGTTAGCAGATTTTTTTTCTTCGTATGGTACGACATTCGTTTTCATGCTTCCGCTTTCATGATTTTTCCATTTACAAACGCTCATAAAATATTCTATTGAAACTGTAGCAAAAATAAAATATTACGGAGTGAAATCTGAAATTATATTTCACGGGAAATCCTCCGATGGATTGTGTCAAACTTATGAGTTTTGATGTTTTCTTTCTTGTTTAATTTCATTTATTCCTCGTGAAACATGATGAAATAAATTGCGTCCTAAAGAACGAATGGAAAGAAATGTTAAGAAGGTCTTGCTTCATCAGAAAACACTTTCTTTACATTTTTTATAAAGATCATTAATATTTAAAGCTCTTAAGGAATAAATAAAGGTAAGTAGGTGATGATGAGTAAGATGAGAATCTAAAATTGAAATATGTTTAGATATTTAACAGGACATGAGTTATGAGTTTTGATTTCCATTTTTTCTATCAATCAAAGTAAATAAAAAGAAATATAAAAAATTTATGAGCTTTTTGAAAGAAACAGAAAGCTTAATTTATTATTAAAAGCTTTAAATTCGTTTTTTCTCACCTACTTCTAAGTCAACTTTATCAAAGATTGAGTTAAAAATGAGATTGATGCCTGTTTTAAAAAGACATTAGAAATAAACCATAGCAGATCAATAGAATTAATGTTCAGAAGTTCGTTTGAAAATTTGTAAAGGGAATCGAATTTGCTCACCTCTTATTTATTCGATTTCCCTTGAAATAAATTGGCAATAAGTATTTTATCATAAAAGATGTTTTTCAAGCGAAACGTCGCATTGAGATTAAAATTAGTTTTCTTTTCGTCATCTTCGCGCTTCATCCATACACACCAAATCCAATTTATTGGGATTTATCTTGTGATTCGTGATCTAAGTAATGAAAGCACGCAAGCAAGAGAATCGCTAATACCCATCGTCTCATCACAGAGTTATTGGAGTAGATGTAATTGAAAGAAAATATATTCTCTCGCCTTGAATTGCTTTTCCACTGATTTCAAGTGCTTAATTAACTATAAACTAATAATAGCGCGCACAACTACTCCCATTGATCCACCTTTCCGTCTTATTAAACACAAAAACTGCTATAAAAGCAAATAAATTAATTCAGCACTACGCTGCCTCCAGGGAGATAATGCCTTTTGTTATTATTCGCAATCAACCGAACGTGAAGAGGTTTACAAGAGTTTAGTCACTCATTCCGTAGTACCATGTAAGGGCTGCTGTTCCTTTTGTTAACGATAAGCAGTGAAGGGAGAGGGAGAGAGAAGGAGGGAAAGAATAAAAAAATGACATTTATATGTATCTAAGAAACATAACATAATTTTATCACAATCAATTTTAAGAGATACTTCGAAAGGATTGAAGCATCACGACATCGACTGCAGACCCTTAACTAAGTATTCCTATTTATGCTTGAATGATTGCAAATAAAACTTTGAAGTTCTGAATAAGGAAAAAATCAGCGTTTTGCTTTGTGTGTGTAAAAGTTTCTGCTGACACCACTTTCGATTTCTTTTCTCCTTGGAATAGGAGAGTTATTCGTAAATTTATTCAATAAATTTCGTTGCTACTTTTCCCCTTGAACATTGATTAATCAAAGCAAAGATACGTGATGGAGTAGTGGAGGAGTTTTGCTTGAATGTAAATGCAAAGTGTACGGCGTGAGAGAAAACATAACATAAACATTTTGTTGACACGTAGGGGAGCATTGTCGTGTTGAAATTTCATTTGAAAATATTCTTTTTGTATAAAAGAAGAGAGAAATGAATCGGAGTTGATTTTAATAATATTTTGTGAAAGGTTTAGTAAGTAAAATGGACGTTTTTCGGATGACAATTCACTCTCCACGTCAAGCCTTGTTCAAATATATGTTTGAAATCAATTATGAAATTCCAGCTTCGTCTGTTGTAGTTAAGTTAACGAAGGTGCTGCAACATTTCAACCACGTAAACAAACATTTATAATCGGTCATAAAAAAGTCAGCTGTTGCCCATGTCATTTGTTTAATTCCATCCATGAACATAATGAATTAATGTTGTGTGGATAAATATTATCCTACCTTAAAAAATATGCAATACCAAACATAATTTGTCAACGTATCTGATGCAAATTCGTATTAAATTACAAAGCTTTAAATATATAAAATAGATTGGCTTTTCCAGCTAACTCAAAGCTTCTTCAAAACTTGGCTTAGAAGTTTCTAAAACGATTCAACAGAAAATGTATGATGGAAAGAAAATGATCAAAAAAGAAATTTATGCAATGCTTATTTGATTGAACATTATTTTATCAGTAATTTTCATTTAACTCAATATTCTTCTTGACATTTGTTGATCCAATCTTGAAGCTTGTCGATATTTTAAATGACTTTGATGTTTCTTGATATCATTTCTTTTTAAGAACCTGAAACCTCGTAATTTGCAACGTCGTTCAGTGGAAAATGTAATTCAGATTATTAAATTGAACAAACATCAAAAGGAATTCGTAACATTTGAATTTCTGTAGTAAACAGATCATGTCATTTGTTTAAGAATTACTTAAGTATTTATGACATAAGTTTTGCTGTCAATTTTAAGAGTCATTAAGTTGCCATTTCAATGATTATCCTTATAATGATGCAAATGAATCATAAATGATTGCTCTACTAAATGCATACTTTGTTCGCTTCCCATATAATGTTTCATAACTTTTAAGCTTTTGCTAAGAGACTGATGCAATCAGAAACTTAAGGAAGAAGCTGCAATGTCAACAAGAAGACAAAGCAAAAATATGAGAAGGAAATTTTAATCCTTTGAATGTAAGTTTATTGACTTTCATAGATGGAGAATGATTCAACTTTACAAACATTTTAATACGAGATGACGTTGATAAGGAAATTTCGAGTTTTAATGCATTAAAATTATGACGTCGCTTTATAATCGAAAAAATTTTTAAGAACTTTATCATTCAAAAGCTCACATTTCTGTCTCTTATTAAAGGAAGCTTTTTAAATTTTAACATTTTGCGATTCCCGAGGAATTTACCAATGTTAGTCTGACGTATCTGCACAATGTAAATTTCAGAACAATTTTTCAAATATTTCAGAAATCCTTTTCACTCTTTATCATTTTATTTATAAACGCTTACAAATTCCTTTTTAAAATATTCTCTCGACTCTTTCAATTGAATTCTTCATGGCATGAAGAGTCAGACTTTGTGAAAGCAGCGACAATGAAGCAGTAGATATGCACAAAACTTCTAATGTGAGACTTGTGATGAAGGTTTTTCTCCGAATTAGATATCACAAGTTTAAATTATTTATTCCTTTTTTATTAAAATGTTTTCTATTTCTCAACAAGAAACTCAGAGAATTGAGCTAAATGAGAGATTGCTTTTTTACTTTATTTCCACGCGACATAGGGTAAGAGGTTCATTTCCCAGAAATACTTCAAATTGCCAGTCTTCCCTTAAACTTCATCGGAAATTGTCGAGTATCCTATTTAGTTTAATCACATTATTCAACTTTTTATATGCTGTCATAGCTTAGAGATGAAAATTTCGTAAGCTTTCGTATACAACGAACAAGTGTCTATTCTCAACATTTGCTAAACAATGAAAATTGTTTGTCTGTTCACTTCTAAGTATTCCATGCAGCTGTCGATGCAACGATCGTCGTGAAAACTTATCATGCTCAAAACTTTTGTTTATATTTTTTACTTGAAGCTTGAAAAATGTTTGAAACTTTTTCAAAGCAAGTAAACGAGACTCGACAAGAAAGTTTTCATTCTCTGAAATTATCTATTTCGATTTTTTGCTGCTTGTTTAACAACATCATACAAGAAACTTTCTTCTTCTTTCAGTTTTAAAAATTAACAATATTCGAGTGGCTTACAAGACCAGTAATTGGAGTGAGAATGTTTTATGTGATGCTGTAAATTGAAGTGCAAATACAATTAAAATGCTTAACTGAATTTGATAGAAATTAGATTTATTAAATTAAAAAATTAAATTCATTTACAAAACCTCATTTTCAAATGGTGCGATCATTTCAAATTAAAAGAAATTTCCTCAAGATAATTGCAAAGTTCGATTGCAATTGAAATGCGAGAAAGAAATATGATGAAGATTTCAAAAAACTTTGATCAGTTTTGAGTCCATCGACTCATTCAATGAAAAATTCAAAGACACGTTCAAGCAGTTCAAAGAACAAAAACTTTTTCCTTTTTGCTTGTATTCTATTGCCCCGAGCATGACTTCGTTCTCGTACAGTCAAAAACATTCATCTTTAAATTTCATTCTGATTCATCCAAAACTTTTACTATTTCTTCAAAACTTTATCATCGAAAGCTTGCAACTTATGTTTACTTCTTTCGTGATTCAATATATTTAGTTTTTTCCAGAGCACTTTTACCGTCGGATGTATCAGTCATTCGATTCCAATCTGTTTGCCCAACAATGAATCCAATGTCCCGCATTCTTTCTTGCGCTTTTTTCTCCTCAATATCAGCCCATCGAACTCGTTTCTTACCAGCAGTCGAAGGTCGCATTGTCCATTCATCATCTGTTTGTAGATATTCTGCCATTGATTGAAGACTTTTTTTTCTCGTTCCATCTAAACGTTCCATCGTGATGTCTGGTTTATCATCGTCGTCCCATTTACTCTTCATCGTTGTCTTTTTAAGTGGCCCGAATAAAATTTGTTCATCATCATTTTCCATGTCGTCATCATCATCACCGACATCGAGAAGATTTGAAAAATCATCATTCAAGTTGTATTGATATTCATGATACAAATATTCAGGATCTAACAATATCTGATCATCAGGCGTCGGATTTGACTTCATAATCGAAATCTCTGATAGAACTTCCTTTTCATCTCTTCGATGGTCGTTGAATTGATGGCAAATATCATCATCTTGATTCAACTCTACAGCATATCCTGTGAAGCCATTAGCTTTGCCAATATCAATCATTCGATTATACAAATTCAAGTCACAGCAGTCAACATCAATAACAATGAACTTGCAAAGATTTTCATCCACAATTTTCACCAACTTTCTCAAGAGATTTTCTTTATAAACTTCAAGCTTCTCTAACTCAAACTGATAACTAAGATATTTTTCAATCACTTTCATTCCATTTTCCTTTTCATATTGACGTGTTTCTTCCTTTTCATAAAACTCACTCATCGATAGAATTTTAAAATTTTCAATGTTTTGCTTTTCTTCTTCTTTTCTTTCGATAAGTCGAGCGAGATAAGATTTGCCTGAACCTGGAGCACCACGTAGCACTATCATGATCTTATCGGGACGTTGCAATCTTCCAGGTTCTTCAAGTATTTGACGAATATCAACACACTCGCGATTATGCCAATTGAATTCAGGTAATTTCGAAGGTGCTTCTACATTTCTTTCAATAAAAACTCCATTAACCATAAGTGGTTGCCTAAATCGAGCGAGAAACTTTTCATGAAGCGTCTCCGAAATCATTTTCAATCTTTTTACTTCACTTTCATCGTAGTCATTAAACGGAACAGTTGGTTGCTGTTCAACTTGATTATTATTGCTGTAAAGGTATTTTGTGTCTAAAAGAAGATTCTTTCCTACAATTGGATGAAGATCCATTTCCATTAAGACATTTTCAACATCTTGCAGTGAACGATTATGAATGTTGCGATTGTAACAAACATTGGGATCGTCACGGAGTTCAACAGCGTAGCATTTGAAGCCATTTGATGTGCCAACACCATAAAATTGTTGATATTCTCTTAAAGTTTCATTCTCACTGTCGATAATGATGAAGTTGTGTGATCGTTTTTGTATGATTTCTCGAAGACTCTTTAACATTGCAATTACATTCTTCTCAAGATCTTTCCTGCTGTAGAAATATTTCTTTGAAAAGGGATTAATAAAGTGATCGTCAATTGATAAAACAACGACACGAGCAACATTTCCATGAGAAATTTCTTTCTTACGAATCAAATCAGCGAGATAAGTTTTGCCAACACCTGATGGGCCTCGAAGAATGATCATAACATTCTTACTTCTCTTACTTCGTCCAGGCTCTTCCAATATCTCACGAATGTCAATAAAATCTTTTTTTGTTTCTTCACTCATCGACTCATCATCATCAATATTAATGACTTCAACTTTATCTTCGTCGCACTTAGTGACATCAGGATTAATCATGCATTTGTATTCATCATAAAGTGCTGTTGCTATCAACAGCTTCTTATCGTTTTGAATTCTATTTGAATTCAATTTCTCAATTGCCATTTTAATGTCACTTTCGGAACGTTTATTTCTATTTTGAAGAAGACAAATATCCAAAGTCTGATGAAGTTCAATTGTATAAGTTGTGAACTTTCCAACTTTTCCCTCCCATAAAAAGTTATTGTAAACATCGTTATCAACATTCTCAGCATCAACAATGATGAATCTAAATTGACCTTCTTTGATTGTTCGTTTCAGCAGTTTAAGCATCTGATCTAAATATGTTGCTGACATTTGTGGATCGTTGTCAAAGTCATCATCTTCAGGATCATCGTTGTACTTAAAATCGTTAATTGAAATAATTCTTAAATCATTATTTCCCATTTCTTTCTCTTTTCTCTTAATTAATTGAGTTAAATGTGATTTTCCTGATCCTGGCGCTCCACGAAGAACTATCAAGATACGATAAGGTCGTGAGAAACGTCCGGGATTCCATAACAATGTCTTTATATCAACAATATTTTGGTGATTAAAAGGATTAAAGTCAGGAATTGTTTGGTTTTTTGTAAGAATTTTGACAGGAGCTTGAACTGGGAGATCCAAGGGAACTTCTTCAACATCGGAATCAGAAAAAAAGTTATTAGAATTGCTGTCATCAGAGGAAATCTCTTCCAACTCAAATCGAGTTCCTTGAGGTGCTTCAACGTAGCCTTCCTTCATCCAACTATTCGAGTACTTAGATTCTGCAATTATTCGCTTTATTTTCGCTGTCAACTTCTTCTTTCGTTTGTTCTTCAATGGTGGTCGGTCTTTTTTAATAATTTCCCAGTTTCGTGGATATTTTGGGTTACTGACAGTGTCTTCAGGTCGTTCTGCATTTCTTAAATATTCTAAAATTTTCTTTCTTTGTGCAATTGCTTTTCTCTTTTCAATAATCTTTACTGTATCAATATCACTTACATACATCTTCAATTTGGGTGTTGCACGATGTTTATAATCAATCACTTGAAATATTTTGAACTCCATTAAAGTTTCTTCAAATGTTGGCATATGACAATGCTTGTAGTCGATTATTTTCGAGGGAACAAATGTTGGAACGTTATCGTAGTTTGGTTCTTGTTGCTGGTGCTGTTGTTGTTGATGATGTTGCTGTTGTGAATGGGGAGCTGGTAAATTTGAATTAAAGTTGAAATTTTCTTTTCCAATCATATTTTGTGTTTGTTGATTGTGAGATGAATTGAAATTGTCGAAATTTCCTTGTTGAAAGTTCATATTAGCTGATTGATTTTTGAATGGTGGAATTTCTTGATTTTGTGATTTCGCTGAGTCCGTGTGAAGCGGTACTGATAATGGATTTAATTGCGAATGTAAAAGATCCATCACGTTTTTATTTTGTAACAATTGTGCTAAGTTTGAAGCAAGATTTGTAATGTTGCCAGTATCTGAGATGTTTGAATTTATGGAAGTTGATTTTGATTCATTTTGTTTTGAATTTAATCGTAATAAAGATGTCGGATCAATTAAAGGCAGTTTATCTGGCGATGGGTTCATGTTAATGTCGTTTATTATGCTTGAGATATCAGCTAATGATCGTCGATTTATGTTGTACCTCTTGCAAACATCAAATGGTTGATTAAGTTCTATGACGAAGCTTTTAAAATTGCCATCTCTCATTAAAATTTGCATAAATCTATTGAAAATTGTGAGCTTTCCGCCTTCAATCTCAACAATGATGAACTTAAAAACATTTTCATTGATCTTCTTGCGAAACTCTCTAATAAGTTCTTCTTGAAAAGTGTCAATTTTTGAGCTTTCAAAACGACTAATTATGTATTTGTTAATGCTTAGTACTGTGCAGAAATTGTTTCCCATCTTCACTTCCTTCTCTTGTATGAGATTTGCTAAATAACTTTTACCCGATCCCGGTGCACCTCTAATAAAAACCACAAATCTAAACAAAGGAAAATATTAATTAAATTTTAATTTATTTTTCGGCGCGTAAAAAGTTATATTAATTAAAACGAATAACGAGTAAAGAACGCGAAAATTCTTTATCTTATAAAATCGAGAAAGCTCTCAA